GAACGGTCAGACCAGCCAGTTGGCCTCTGCTCGCTGAGGTACTGCCTTGTGAGAACTTGAACCATTTCGAATATTATTTGCAATAGAAGCTAATTAAGAAAAGTCTTTTCAGTGACTCTACATTGCACTGATAATAAAATCTAACCCCCTCCAATGGCCTACAGTCCTACATACCTCTCAACGCGTATCATCCATCTCAATGCACTAGAATCCCCCTGGCCTTTGTCTTCCTTAAATGTGATAAGCATATTCCTAAGATTTGTAGGCATCTATTCATTGTTTGGGGAAAGATCTTCCTTGGATTGGCAAGGCTGTCTCCTTGTGATTCAGGCTTCTATTTAAATACCACTAAATATTTAAATCACCACGAACGACACACTTCAAATGACCAACCTCCTAGTGTAGCAACTTGTTTCAAATTTTCCTCATTGTGTTTCTCACTAGGTATAACACTTTGCTTATGGATTTGTTTATTTGTTTATTTGCTGTCTCTCCCGTTCTCATAAGAATGGACCCTTCATAAACACAGAATGAATGACTCAGTGACAGTCTGAATCAGAGCAACTGGGGGCACGTGATGATCTGATGCCACAACTTCGTGACACAGAATTTGTTTTCAGTGTACAATGTTCACGCCATTCACTAACCTCACTAGTTCAAAAAGTGTGGGCTTTAAAGAGAAGTACAGATTAGTAGTTACAAAAAGAAAACAAGAGTCTTTGATTTTAAATAAAAGTTTCACCATTTATCATCTGGGTAAACTTGTATACATTTCCCTTAAAGTGGAAATCATAATATAGAACTTACTGGCTGATTAAATAATCCACATAACTTATCTAGCATTGTTATTGACTCTTCACATGATCTTAAAAGTTAGCAGGTATTGTGGTTATCATTACCTTTTCTGTTAAGTAGCAAATCATCCCTACCTATTATTTGCTGTTCTGGAAAATCTCTATAACTGAAGTGGAATCCAATGTTTCTGCTTGTCCAATATCCTTACCCTGTACTTTCTGTGACAGTCCACTGGTCTTCTGTGGTGTTGAACCCACCAAAAACTGGGTGCATGGCTTGGGTCTGGCTAATGAGTGACTTTGCTGGAGCTCCCAGTGGGGGAAGTGGGAAATACAGGGTGTACCTTCTCTTCTTTGAATGAAACACTGGTCTGTAGCCATTATCCTTACCCAAATGTGAAACAACCCTGCCTGAAAATGAAGCCCCAAAGAGGAAAGTAATACCAAAAGATACAAAGACAAGGTATCTTGAAAACCCATACCCCTGGAACCAGCTGTGCCTGAAGCAGCCACATCCCCTGGATAAACCTATTATGTAAGCCAACACAACATGTTGTTTATGCCAGTTTGACTTTGGTTTCTGAAACTTGTAATCTAGAGAATGTTTTCTAATAAAATAATAGTTTATGTATTTATTTTTATTTGTTGTAAGGCTAAGGGGATAAAGGCCTTTTCTGAGGTCTAATTAATAAATAAACAAATTATTATACAAAATGAAATGATTTTCAGTGAAAATATTAAAAAGGCTGTAGGGCTATGAGGAACCAGCAACCCATCCAGGTTGCTTTTTAAAAAGAAACAGTAAGAGTCCCTTTAAAGAAATAAATGGTGATCATTGCCTATGACACCAAAAATCAAGAACAGATGGCCAAAGACCAATTTTACAGTGTTTGTGGTTACAAAGCTAAAGGAAAAATTAAGGAAGAAATTTACACCCTTATTCGAGAAATAAGCAAGAAGAGGCCCTGGCTGGGTAGCTCAGTAGGTTAGAGCATCATCCCGATAGTCCAAAGTTACGGGTTCAATCTCAGGTCACGGCAACCAATAAATGCATAAATAAGTGGAACAAGAAATCATTTTCTCTCTCCTCCTTTCTCTATCAACTTTTTAAATAGTTTTTTAAAGAAAGAAAGCAGCAGGAAGAGAAGGCATTATTGGAAATAAAGAGGAATATAAATGGCTTCCTGTACAAGGAAAATCTAAATGCAAGAAGCAGGTAATTCCTGACAAAGGCACCTAATTTGTACTGAACAGTTTACAGTTTTAAAAATGCTTTCTCCAGGAAAGAGACATTAAAATGTTTCTTAGAGGATAGCATTCAATTAATACAATTCTGTTTTTCTCAATAAAGAAACTTAGCCCTGGCCGGTTTGGCTCAGCGGTTAGAGCGTCGGCCTGCGGTCCTGAGAGACCCGGGTTCGGTTCCCGCTAAGGGCGCGTACCTCGGTTGCAGTTTGTCCCCGGCCCTGGTCGGTTGTGCGGGTGGCAGCCACTCGATGTGTTTCTTTCATATCGATGTTTCTCTCTCTCTCTCTCTCTGTTCCTCTCTCTCCCTCCCACTCTACCTGAACAAAAAATGGAAAAAAAAATGTCCTCGGGTGAGGATAAAAAAAAAAAAAAAAAAGAAACTTAAACATCTTATCATGTGTGTTACATACAAATATACATGATGTTGTCCTGTGCACCAGAAGGCTGCAGGTTCAATTCCCAGTCAGGGCACATGTCCTAGCTGTGAACTCCATCCCCAGTAGGGGGCGTGCAGGAAGCAGTTCATCAATGTTTCTCTCTCTCCAGTATCTATCTATATCTATCTATCTATCTATCTATCTATCTATCTATCTATCATCTATCTATCTATCTATCTATCTATCTATCTATCTATCTACATATACACACACATATATACACACATTTTATATATATACCTTATATATATACACTCTATACACACACACACACATATATTTACATTTTTAAGAAAAAAAAATTCCACAGCTAGAAGGAAAAAAATTTCCTTCCTTTTGCTAGTTATACCTAAATAATCTAATGCAATGAAAGATGCATTTATGGAGATCTTCTTATGCAAAATATTTTGATAAACACAATGGTAAACACCAAGATTAACTTATCATTTCAAAGAGGTTATAAAAGAATAAGTTTCACTCATATGTGGAATCTAAAGAACAATATAAACGAGCAAATAGAAACAGTCTTATAGATACAGACTGATGGTTATCAGAGGGGAGGAGGGTTGGAGGGCTGGGTGAAAAGGTGAAGGAGTGGAAGTACAGATTGGTAGTTACAAAATAGTCATGGGGATATAAAATACAGCATAGGAAATATAGTCAATAATACTGTATTAACTATGCATGGTGCCCTATCAGGGGATCACTTTGTAAAGCATATGATTGTTTAACTACTATGCTGTACTCCTGAAACTAATACAAAATAATATTGAGCCCTGGCCTCACCCCAGTCCAGTAATAAGAGAAAACTATCCTATGAAGGAGACTATTCTAGAGCTGGGCGTTGAACCATATGAACAGTAGTTTTATAAACAGAGACACGGAAAGCAGATGCTAAGTGAGAAGTCAGGGAAGGAGGGAAGTGCGGGGCGCGATCAGACAAGGCGGGCAGGGCACAGCTGGTGTGTGGGCACCGCAACCCCGGGCCAAGTCACCAAAGACCTGGCCTCTCTGGGGGGAGCGCGAAATCACGGATGCTCTGAACACGAGAATGGCGTGGTAAGATCCGATTTAAATTTATTATCTGGAAGCAAAATCCTGAGTAGATAAAACAGCGTTGGTTCTTAGAGAAAGACTGGTTAGATGCCACAGCAATGGTCTATTTTCTCACACTGGACTCCAGGGATGTATTCTCAGGGCCCATTTGTTCTACACAGGTGGTCTAATTTTGTGTCCTTATTTGAAAGATAACCTAGGAATATATTTTATTGGCTATGCAGGCAAAACTTCTCTTTTGTGAAGATAATACTCAATGTTGATATTTTCAGAAGATTGAATTTAAGCCTTCTTAAGTCATTATTTCTTAGTCAGTAGGCATACTATTTAAGAATTCAAGACTAACTTTATTTTTTTCCTGTGCAAGCAGTCAGTGTATTGTATGCCTTTGAGATACGGGGAGCTAGACCAGGTAGTAAAATTGGGGCAGCCTCAGAGACATATAGTTAGAATCATCAGGATCTCCGACTACATTTTAAAAGGAGGAGAAAATGAGAAATCAAAAGATGTTGGGGGCTTGGAGGCTAGAGCATCAGAAGATGATACAGTGCTGGAAAAAAGTAAACAAACAAAACCCTAGGAAAATGGACAGGTCTGTGTAAAGCTGAGGTAGGGAGACAAAGCATTCTTAGTGAAGGAAAGTATACCCATCCGTCATAACCACAAGGACCAATATGTTCCTCCATGTCAGGGACTTCAGAAATTATCTTTATAGTTTAGCCATATTGCAGACAAAACCAAAATAATGTCACAATTGTATTTTTGAGTTATTAGGTCTTAAGGTAGAATGGAAAAAAAATTTTTTTTAAATAAAAGCAGTAATCAGCAAATTTTCAAGGGTAATCTGTCGTCACAGTCATTTATAAGAAGGGAATATACATGCTAATAATTTGTGGAAAATTAAAGCTGCTGAATTATAACACATTGTGGTTAATTTTCTCTGCCATTGATCACTGCACCAGTAACGTTATTTTTAGAGAAAAAAACAAACAAACAGTAAAATGCAAACATTAGTATAAAAGTGTTTGAAAGAAAATATTTTCCGATACCAAGTACATGTTTCATCATATCTTACATGTTAAACATATTTCTCTTTCTGTGTAATGGTGCCAGCTGCTAAACAGTAGGTAAAGAAAACGATGTTAGCCTTAATCCATTGAACCTCCAAGGGGACACCACTATAAAACATCAATGCTTTTTTTCCTGCGAATGGTCTACTAAATATTTAATCCCTTGATCTTTAACAGAAATTAAGGCAACAGCATGAAAATTTATAAACACTGTTTTCTATTTTAATTAGAAAAAGAGTACCCATTAGAATATCTGAAATATTAAACCCTAGAGAACTTTATATCAAAAGAAATATCATGAATCATCTAATATAATGAATAATGTCAAAAACACTGCTTACCTGCTCCTGTCAAAGTACAGAAACTTAAAAAAAAAAAAAGGAATATTTACATACCTGAGCTTCTGGTTGTATTGTTTGACCTTTTCCAAAGAGGCTGCATTTATTTGGGCTTGAAATTCTTCCACTGAAACATTGTCTCTATAATAATATCCTTCCATGCTCTCCAGTGCTGTGTAAACAAGTAAGTATGCTTTTCACGATTTTATAACTCAATTCTCCACATTTAGTGACGTCTTATTAGCTATTAGTAAGTGTATTAAATAGCATCGAATATGACCATATATGCAAGAAACTATCTTTCACCAGACCAAGAATGAATAAAAATCGCTCTTCTGCTCTTATAATAAATAGCAAACATTTGATGATTCTCTATTAAATAGGGAAAGGTAATTTCTAATTTAAACTGTTCCCTATTTTTATTTATTACAATTTTTTTTTCTTTATTGATTTTAGAGAGAGAAGGGGGAGAGAGAGAGAGATGGAAACATCAATGAGAGAGAACATTGATTGGCTGCCTCCTGCATGCCCCACACTGGGGATGTGGCCCACAACCTGGGCATGTGCCCTGACTGGGTATCGAACCAGCAACCTCTTGGTGCATGGGTCGATGCTCAACCACTGAGCTATACTGGCTGGGCTTAAACTGTCTTCTATTTTTAAAACATTTTATATATATTCTTTGTGATGGTAAACACAAACTCATATATATTATTAGTATGTAAGCACAAAAATATATATACACACATAGATATGTAGGAGAGGCAGAAATGTATATTAACATATATAATAGTAAAAAAAAATTGAAATTGTCACCCTCCATATATTCACATTCTCTTATAGCTGCAATTAAATTATGAAATATTAGAGTGACAAATAAGAAATATAAATAAAGTGAAATCTAAGAATATTAGATTATTACCTCTACCCCAATAGTCAGTAAATTTAGTTAAAAACAAACAAGCACAAATACACACACACACACACACATATATATATAATTGATTTTAAGTCTTTTGATTAATATAGATTTCCTTCTTAACTAACATTTTTGGTTAAGCAGTTCTTTTTTCTTTAAACTTTATGCAGTGATATTTTTAACCCTCTGGAGAGGAAATAAATCCCATGGAATTGCCCGGAAGTACAATGCGTCCCGTAGAGAAGTCACCGCAACAGGGATGGCAATGGGATTAATCTGGTCCCATGTAAATTAGTTCCCCGGAAACTACGGCCACTAAGAGCCTCACTTGTCAGCAGACCATTTCAAATTGGTTAAAAAATTAACCTTCTTTTAAAACTTCTAAATGCAACAATTTCTAAACTACATAATAATGTTAGAGTAGCCAGACAGAAAGACATGAGCTGGGAGAGGCAGCTGGAGCTTGGAAAAAGCATGTGTGAGACACGACACTGAAAACAGACAATGGAGGGGGCAGGCCCCTATGTGAGGAGGAAGGATTCAGAGCCCTCCAGGATGTGGTCTAAGCTGGGTGAAGGGGCCTTCTAACTTAAAGATACACTTTTTTAGACATGAAGGAGGGGGTGACTTGTTCCTTGCCTAGGGGCATTCCAGCCTATGGGTATGAGTCCTCTGAACTCAGATATGGGGGGACCTGGTTCGGTCTCAGGCAGCTGAGCTGCCTGCTCAGGTTCTGAGTGTATTTTTTCCCTACAAATAAATTCTCACCTGCATCTGCTATTCACTGTCTCTTGTCTGAATTCATTCCTACAAGACAAGAACTGAGGGCACAGAGTACTGGCCAGAGACCCCCTTGACCACCACTGACAATAAGATTTCTTTGAATTGACAGATACGTATCACCATTTTGGGGGGCAAAAAGTCATTGTTAATTTTAGCTGTGCTATATTTTCTAAACTAGTCAGACTTCTAGAGCATTGAAGAAACAACAAAATTTTGAGTACAGCTGCATTTGAAATTTTACAGATGGAATTATTGGCCTATAATTGAGAAAACCATTTGTGCAAAATTAGAGAGAAAACCTACTACATTTAGTTCAGAATGGGGAATAAAATTTGGAGCTTGTTTCAATGATTGTTTATTCCTTAAGACTTCTCCATTAATTAGAATGTTTGCACTGGTTTAGCAAGCTTCTGGTCCTGAACACACACAAGAAACATAAAGAAGTATTCCTGAAAAAAATCAATCCTCAAATATTCCAGGAGGATTCAATCTATCAATGGTCATTCTTAAATGTAGATTCCTCTACTAGTTGTAAAACTAATAATGAAAGCCCTTGCTTTGGAGAAAACCACAACTTCCGTTCCATAGTAGATATGTGACCTTGGGCATGTTAATTAATATCTGAGACCTTCAGGTTTCTCATTTGTGAAATGGAAAATAAGAGAATCTACTAATTATTGTACTTGGAAAAGAATTAAGTTAAATAATAGTGGTAAGAGAGCCTATGACTACTCTTATCATTAACTGCACATGTTTTACGTACTAGGCAACATGCCCAATGCCCTGCAGGCACTATCTAATTTCCAGGACATATAGATTATGCGTGAGTGTGATCAGCCAAGAGGAAGTTTTAGGAACTGAGAGAAGGGTCTACGCAAGGACACTTCGATTGGTGATGTAAGACCAGACAGACTAAAAACACCAGGAAGGAGCAAGAGGGAAATGGGGAGAGGGGAAGAGTACACCTGGGATCTAATTTTTATTCAGGTCTTGATGGCTCAACTTTAACTAGAATATCAGTCCTGCTCTAAAAGTCTGTTAAAATATAAAAACAAATTGGCATTTTCATTATGCTTCTTAACAATATTTCCCAGCTAACAACAGTTAAAATGCACACTTATGTAAAAAACAATTTTTTTTTAAAGAGAAGAGTTTAATAATTTTGCCAAGAGTCTCAGCAAAATTATATGGTGCTTGAATGGTGTTCTGGGGAAATGAACAGAAAAAGATGAGTTCTATATTTAAAAAATAAACTTTGTATAGAACCACATTCCCTATTTTAGGTCCGTTGCTTGGTTAATTATTGTTTTAAAAAGAAGAAAATGAAATGACATTATACCAAATTAAATCTCTCTTCTCAGAAAAAGGAGGTTAAAATATATAATAATGTTCAAACTTCAAAATTTGACTTCTCTTTTTTTTTTTTTTTTTTTGGTCTAGTTACCCTAATTCTCATCATGCGGACATCTTGATTTCAGATTTCTAGCCTCAAAATTCCAATAAGATACATTTCCATTGTTTTAAGCCAGTTTGTGGTCATTTGTATAGCAGTCCTGGAAACTAATACAGATTCAGTTCCAGAGCCTCACTTGGGGAATACGTGCTTCCATCCCTGAAACTCTGGCTCAGTGGGTTTAAAGGTCCTGATCCCCAAAGGAGCACACTTTCCATGGAAGACAAAGCAAGGGACCCGGAGAACTGAAAGCTGTGTTTGCCACTTGCGCACTGGAGGGTCCTTGTGCCAAGGCACTGACAGCAAGGAAGAGCAAATACCATCTTGGCAAGGCTAATAAACCCTGGTCATAATAAGGAGGTAGGGCTATTGTTACACAGTGAGGAATGTTTAGCATCCAGATAATGCACTCGGTTCCCTCTTGGTAATCCCTTTCCACTTTTTTTAAAAAAGATTTTTAAATTGATTTTTAGAGAGAAAGGGAGAGAGGGACAGAGAGAGACATCGATCAGCTGCCTCCAGCATGCCCCCTAAAGGAGATCGAGCCCACAACCTGGGTATGTGCCCTGACTGGGAATCGAACTGGTGAACTTTCAGGGTTCAGGACCATGCCCAACCAACTAAACCGCACCAGCCAGGGCTCCCTTGTCCACTTTTGGTGGCGACTGAACAACTGCATGGACCCTGGATTGAGAAGGGCATAGGGACCAAGAGATCAGGACCCTCCGAGTGAAGGTCTTTGCAATGTCATAAAGACCAGCAGAGGTTCAGGCTGAGAACAAGGCTAATCTACAGTGGATAGCAGAAGAGGAAAATGAAAATCTATTGCATCCCAAGACCAGCTGTAGCAACAGGGCTATAGTTGTCCCATTAACATATTTCTTTTCAATTATCCCCCCAGGAAGGGAGGTCCATTAGTCATGAAGGACACATTCCCAATCCTTACAAGAAGAAATGGATCAGAGAGTGCGAGATGTATATTATGGCAGATGTTCTGAGAGTCACCACTCAGATTCCCTTTCAGAAATGATGGGCTTGTTGCCCAGCTGCTAGGATGGCTGGAAGACATTCTCAGCTGTCAGCTCTCCAAGGCATCTTCAGCCTTTGCTGGAAAACTGTCCCACACAATCACATCTCCTTCAGGGGCAGCCTGCATCCTAATGACCTAACAACGCAGAAGCAAAAAGGCCCAGCTCCCTGGTCCCAGCTGCCCATAATCTAAAAGTATCAAACATTTGTGAAATGAATTATTCTAGTTAAGCAAATATTAACTGGATCATTGCACAGTGTTTCATATTACATATTACACATAGACCTGTGCTTTCTCACTCCCAGTGAACATTTAGAATCACCTGAAAAACTTCTAAAATATACTGGTATTTGGGCCCCACCTCCCAGAGATTCTGATATCATTGGTTTGCTATGGAGCCAAGCATGGGTACTTTCTAAAACTTTCCCAAGGTGATGAATATGCAGCCAGTATATTCAAGAGACTTCATGGAAACAAGCAAGTGAGGGAGGAGTAACCAATACCTTCCTTTACTCCCATTTTTATTTCCTTTATCTCACCAAGGGCTCAGGGATCCCGACAGGATTAATTCCCCGACTTCTAGGAAGTACTTACTGAAGATAGTTTTAGCATGATCTTCACCTTCTAGCATTTTTGTTATGCTCTGTACTGACTTCCTGATTGTTTCTGTGACCCTTACCCTAGACATCTGTACCACTCATGCCTACGATCCTGTTCTGCCGCTCTGATCTTCAGCGACACGTGCTCCCTAATGTGTTCCCTACTTGCCTCTAAGCCTGGAATTCCTGATCTAATTGTGGGTGCCATCTCTGCAAGGTGCCCCATTAATGAGTACCCTCCTCTGCCCAAGGATACATTCTGGCAAGAAAACTGGGAAGAAGGCAGTTCATTCATTTCCTATTCTAAGTATATGGTACCACAGACGACTTTGGGAGGGCTGACTTTAAGAAATTTCCCAGGAAGTTTTCAAATTCATCCAATATTTTTATTTTTTAAAATTTGTTACAAAGACCCATGTATGTACACACAAAATTAAAACCTTCCAAAAAAGCTTTCATCCCACAATAGACTCCATTTGGAATCTCTTCCATTTACCACCTCTTTCAATTACCCGATGGTAATGTCCATTCAAACTAGGGCTGTTTACTGTGCTTCTCTCAATCCGATGAATACTGAGAGCAACTAATGGTTCTTCGTGGAAGTTTATGAATGCAGAGGAACTTCCGCAAGCCCTTCTATAAGCATCCTTGTCAATGACAGATTCTTGATGAGACAAACAGTTTTCCAGCCTTCTTACCTATCTGTGACCTCAACTGCAGTATTTCCACTGTTGTTTATTCAGCTCATCTTTCCTGTTTTACTGCTGTGTGAATACTAAAGCTAATGTTTGCTGTAGTTTCTCTTTACATTATATTTTTAAAGTGCTGTTGACTTACTGAAATAATATATATTTAGGGATTCTTTTAAAATTTGTTTTAGCCACAATTATAAAATAGAGGTTACTTACAAAGTAATCTTTCTTTTATACACATTTGCAACTGGGTATGAATATTTATGGCTGTCACATGTGTAATAATTTTTTTTAGAAAATATGCTTAATGCCATCTGTCATCTCAGTAATGATTGCAAAGACAGAATTTTTAAAAAGAGACAAATAGAGAAAAAAAAAAAAGGCTGGGGTGGAGAGGCTTTAACAACTGTAAGCTCTGGTTAAGCTCTGTAAAAGTTAACATTCCAGACCAGCATCCTTCTCTGTCTTCTAAATCTGTGTCTCTATAATGGCTTTTAACATATTTTAGGCTGAACCATTCTCCTAATGTAGCTCCAAAGGTCTATATTTGCTCTCTTTTTTTTTCTTCTTTTTTATTCCTTTTCATTACAGAATCTTGCATTTTCTTTATGGACCCTACCACAGTCAAGGGAGGGAGGGAGGGAAGGAAGGAAGGAAGGAAGGAAGGAAGGAAGGAAGGAAGGAAGGAAGGAAGGAAGGAAGGAAGGAAGGAAGGAAGGAAATTCTAATAACGCCTAAGATCTCTTCACTGAAATTTTCCTCTGCTAAAATGTATTCTTCTCAAACATCTGTTTGCAATGGTCATTGTTTTTAGAATTAAGATAATATGCATGTGGTACAAGAAGAATTTTCACTTGGTAATGAATTTAGGCTTCATATTCCATCTGTTCTTTAGTTACAGAGTTTGACTTTATTCGCTAATCTCATTTTTATTAGAATATAAAAATTAGAATATAAAAATTTTATTAGAATATAAAAATTCCACAGCAAAACCACTGCAGATTTTAAAAGAAGAAAAATGAAATGCTCTACTGTATCACTCAGAAAAATTGATAGAATCTTGTGACCACAGAATAAATTGTGTTTAAAAAAAAAAAGATATAGTCTAGAGGAAATTACACAATAATCTGGATTTCTGATCTTTTCTAGGCAGCATTTATGACCCCAGAAATAAAAATAAAAAAAAATCTGGGACTTTCCTTTGGAAACCAGTTCACTGCAAGAATCTTCTCACTCATGTTAATCTTAATTTCTTCTACTGCAGTTGATGCTCACTGTTATATTGCCAAAAATTTTTTTACAAACCGAACACATTTTTATTGCCACAACTGACATAACACAGAAAAACTCAAAGAATAAAATATCATCATTAGTCATCCAATTACATTGAAAGTATCTTACATGCATATAAGTATATATGTACATGTATGCCATAATTGAGACTATAATATCAATTCTTTCTCATAATCTGCATGTATATATTGTCAACCTTTTTCCATCTCACAAAATTTATTGTTGTCATTATTAATCCTCACCTGAGGATATTTTTCCATTGATTTTTTAGATAGTTGAAGGGAGGGAGGGAGAGAGAGAGAGAAACATTGATTGCTGCCTCCTGTTGGAGATCTAACATGCAACACAGGTACATGTTCTTGACTGTAACCAAACCCATGATCCTTTGGTCCATAGGCTCTACCCACTGAGCAAAACCAGCCAAGGCCAAAAAATATATATTGTTTTGCTAATCCTCACCTAAGGATATTTTTCTATTAATTTTTAGATAGAGTGGAAAGGAGGGAGAGAGAGAAACATTGATGTGAGAGAGACACATCAATTTACTGCCTCCTTCATGACCCTGACTAGGGCTGTGGATTGAACCTGCAACTCAGGTACATGCTCTTGACCAGGAATCAAACCCCCAACTCTTCAGTCCATAGGCCAACACTCTAACTACTGAGGAAAACTGGCCAGAGACAAAATATATTTCTTTTTATTTTTTGCTCTTTATTGATTTTTAGAGAGAGAGGAAGGGAGAGAAAGAGAGAGCTAGAAACATCAATGAGAGAGAACATCCATCGATTGGCCACCTCCTGCCAATTGTTGGGGTTCCAACTGGGTATTGGGCCCACAACCTGGGCATGTGCCCTGACCAAGAATCGAACTGGCGACCTCTTGGTACATGGGTCGACACTCAACTACTGAGCCACACCAGCTGGGCCAGAGATAACATATTTTTAATCATACAATTTTAATGGCTCTACCATCATTTAAGCCAAATTAATTTATTTTTATTTATTTCAACCACTTGTGTCTTGTTTCTCCATTATAAATAATGCTGCAATCTTATTATATAAATATTTAAACCACACATGATTCTTTCCTTAATAAACATTCCCAGAAGTAAATATATTACCTAGGCACAGTGTGGAAATTTTTAAATTAATTTTTTAAAATGATGATTACAATTAAATTTATTTTTTAAAACGTATCATTATTATTTTTATCCTCACCCGAGGATGCGTTTTACTGATTTTCAAGAGAGGGGAAGGGAGAGTGAGGGGTGGGGAGAGAAGAGAAACATTGATCAGTTGCCTCCTGTACACAGCCCTCACTGGGGATCTAACCCGCAACCTAGGTATGTGCCCTGACTGGGAATCAAACCAGCAACATTTTATATGGGACAATGCTCCAACCAACTGAGCCACACCTGCCAGGGCACAATTAAATTAAAAAAAATTGATCAAGATAAAATAATTTATGTGCATGACGTAAAAAAGGGAAACAGTTTACCTTGTGCAAAAAGAACAGGATGAATTTTGAATCCTCCTCCATTTTTCAACCGTTGAGGCAGCTGTTCAAAGTGGTAACTATCAATATAGAAGTAAACTTTCAGAGCTTGCCGGCTTCCTTCCACTTGATATGTAAGAGGAACATCTAAAATGACATTTAATGTTACATTATTTTCTAAAATCAGGATATACTATGCAGCATATTTGTTAACCTTTAAAAAGAATCCTGAAAATTACTAGAAACTAAATATTGTAAAAGTACCCATGTTTATCAAGTTCAGGTTCGGCATACTTACCTTGCTATTCAGAGGAAGACTATAAATCAGGTTCTCATTAGCTAAAGCTACAGATTTATTACTGTACTGTATATAAAATCCTGTGAGGGGAAACTTCGTTACACTTCGACACACCAGATGTCTCACTTAACTAAATGAGAAGTTAAGCTACACGTGGTTTGGAATCACAATCTCCCAGGGCCACCGCCTCATTCATATTTTAGTCAAAATGAGTCCATGGGGTGCAGTTTTTAAGTAGTGTGCAAGAAATTGAGCACATAGCAACCATTATCAAAATGAGCTCAGGTTTTGCAAGCTCCATTCTCTGAGCCCCAGATCGAAACTGGATTATCTCTGTCAATGCCCAACAGTCATTAGAGATGATCTGTCCAAATTATTTTAGCTTTTTTCAAATATCCTACATTTATTTACAGAAGAAGAAGAAGAAGAAGAAGAAGAAGAAGAAGAAGAAGAAGAGGAGGAGGAGGAGGAGGAGGAGGAGGAGGAGGAGGAGGAGGGAAGGGGAGGAGGAGGAGGAGGAAGGGGGAGGGGGAGGAAGAGGAGGAGGATGTAGGGGGAGGGGGAGGGCAGGGGGAGGGGAGGGGGAAGAGATAAAAAAACGAATAATTCAAAAAGTTAAAATGTTTCAGGAGTATTTCACAGTGTTGTCATAAATCCTCTCTATTTTATGCTACTTTGCCATGAGAAATAGTTTCCACATAATTTTTTTAAAAAGGATTATAAAATATTTTTTAAAAGCTGGAATAGTCACATTAACTAGTTAAAACACAAAGCCAAAATTTAGTAGGCATTTAATATATGTTCTTGACTCAGTATTTATTATTTCTAACTCATTTTTTGAAATAAAACTGTATATAAAAGTAGAGCTTAAAGTTAAATACCATTAATAACAGATTTCAAATTTCTCATTAAATGTATGTAACTCTGCATATCAATAAAAGAATTGTATTAACATCTACAAGTCTCTTATGTCTATACTAATAATGCTCATTTTATTTTTGTTTCTTTTTTCTTTTTAAGGGAGATGAAAAATTTTGGTTTAGAAAAAATAATAAATAAATTTCTCAGTTAAAGAGTTGAAAATTAACTACATATTCATGATTGGGAAAATCCCTTTTTGTTTTTCTGATTCTAAAATAAAGAAAAAAAGATGCATGAACATCGCAGAAAATACAGATTTATATATTTTAAATATTGGCATCTTCTAGCTTCCTTTTTCATACAATGTCTTTCATATATATTTTAATTTCGTTAAAGTCCATCCCTTTACTCTTTGGCACCAACATGGCCAATGTCTGCATTACCAAATGAATAACGTTATAGAAAGGAAAACAACGCAGCAGTTGAGTTCCATCATGTAGGACTAACAAAGAACAAATGAAGATGCTTTGCCAGAAATTAAGGAACTGAAACTGAAAATAATCAAGTATACTGAATTTAAAATGAAGTAAAAAACTAAGAGTATCACATAAAAGAATGGAAACCCATTTCTCGCCAAGTAGTCAGTGTCCCTGAAAAGTGCATAATAATGTCGAGTTGAAAATTGCTGCCTTTTATTGGTGGAAATTTATCAACTAAGAAAAACAAACTTGACAATTCGGACTATGCAATGATTAAAACCTTCAAAAACAGTATTGTATAAGGAAAGGTCTCTGGTTACAGCCTACAGAGAGACTCATTCTTGAGGGAAGTTTCAGTGGCGGGATCCCATCCCTATAAATGTGTCCCCCATCATGGAATGGGCTAGTGAGTCTGAAAATAAGTCTTTGACTAAGAAGTTGTTAGTTCCCTTTGCCTGAATTGTTCTTCCTTTTCCCTCTGTAGGATTGAATTTTTCTTGTCCTTCAGTTCAGCTTAAAAGCTACTTCTGCTGAGTGCCCTCCCTGGTGACTCCTAAAAGGGCCCCCTTATCCTTTATTCTTCATCCCTTACTTGTTTCCTGCACAGGATTTATTATGTCCCTAATTGTCTTCGTTGTTGATTCCTTTCTGTTGTCTTCCAACTAGGCTGTGAGCTCCATGGAGACTGGGATGTGTCTGTCTTACTCATCACAGCATCCACAGCTCCAGGCACTACAGATTGAGTGGAGGCGCAAAAACATTCATTCCCCTAACAGTTACTATAAAACTACCTCTATAACAATGGAAAAGACAAAGATCTGCTGTCATTATATTGTTCTCCAAAAAATTAAAGATCTTTCACAAAATTTAATTATATACAACCTAATCATTTAGCTCCTTTATTCCCCCACCAATTACATAATATGAGATGGGAAGTATCTTGTACTTCCCACTATACTGAAGTGGGTCAAATTGTCCATTCATTCCTTTGCATCTCTCACTGGTCTCTAACTTAATGGAAATGGGGACTTTGTTGTATTTAATTACCATTAGAGCCCTAAAACTTAGTTTAGCACTTGGCATGTTGTATATACTTAATAATCATTAAGTCCAAGAAAATGAACTATCTTCAATGCAGACATTTGAATTCTACTTGCTTGGCACGCCATATTTCTTCCGAATCTCACTGTTCTTTAATACAAAATTAAGACTATGAAAATGCTACATATGGCTTTTTAAAAAGAATACAAAGTAATAAAGCAAGGAGGATAGATTAGAATATTTACTGAATACTACCATTAGCCTTTTATAATGCTAGAGACTTTCAAGTACATTCCTTTATTTAAACCTCACAACCCTGTGAGTGGGGGAAAGCTAATATTCTCATGTTTGCAGATAAGAATGGACCAAAAACTGAACTAAGGTTTCTTGATTTCAGCTTCGCTGTTCTTTGTTCTCTTTATGTCTTCATGTTTCCACTCCTCTGCACTCAGTCCTCTCATATATATGCAGCCAACTAGTTTTCATTACAGCGACACAAATTAATCTCATGCTTCTGCTTCTATGCTTATAGAAATCGAATCCCACACAACTAACGATAAAGCTCTAGTTTTCTTATACCATATAAATAAGATGTGATGACCCTCAGATACTGAATAATTCTCTTCCTTCCTCAAATTAAGTTAGAATAATTATTCCTATCATCCCTATTTTTAACTTATATCCAGCAATGCAGCATTGGAAGTGACCTTCCACTAGGTGAGGTTGTGCTTCAGGGAAATGCTTAAAAATGTACCACCAACTGTATTCCACCCCTGTTGGGTTTGTCACGGGTTCATTTGCATTTATATACTAAAGTTACTTAATGCTCTTAATTGTCTTTAATAGTACATTTTCAATATGCCAAAGCTACACCTCTCATAGTGGATATGTGATCAGTAAATATTTTATCAATGATATTGGTTCCTCTTCTGTTTGTTTAACAGGCCGTTCACCAGGAACGCCATATTTAAACTCTGGAAAACAAGGCTCTTGTGAGTTTATAATTTCTCAGGCAAAATTTGGAAGAATAAAACATTAGGTTATATTGTGAAAATAGAATTTCTCTACCTTCAGCAAAGTTGTGCCTACATTATTCAAGTAAATGAAAATATATTGTATTTTATACATGCCCACAGAAGACCATAAAATTTGTTTAAATAATATCCTTATCAAATAATTCCCTTTATCAGACTAATTCTCCCTTAAATATAACTTACATTCCTAACATTGTAATTCATGTTCTTGTTCTCTCTCATTTATTGATGAAGGTGAAAATTAATAAAATTCTGTCCTCTTATTTTCATAATTTAATACGGAAAGAATCAATGACTTCTACCATCTCCACAGCTACTATCAAGGTAAATTTACCATCATCCTCCACCGGGGTCACTGCAGTAGTTTCCTAACTGCTCTCTCTGCTTTTGCCCTGGCCCCCAGTAATGGTCTATTCAACACAGCAGTCTGAGGCAGCCTTTGAGAGGCAAGGCAGATCATGAGGTTCCTCTGCTCGGTGGCCTCATTAGAAAGGCAAAGTTCTTTCTGTGGTCTGGCCTCCTCCTCCTTCTTACCTCCTCTCCTTTCCCCTCAGTCACTCCACTTCAGCCACACAGGCTTCCTTGCAATCCTGAGAGCATGCCCGCTGTCCTAATGGGTCTGGAGCACCCCTTGCAAATATCTGTGTGACTTGCTCCCTTGATCCCTTCAGGTCTCTGCTCTCCTCCTCAGTAGGGCTTCCCCCTAGCTTGTCAAACATGGCACCCTTCCATCTGCCCCTTCGTTCTCATCCTCTGTTCTCTTTTATTTCCCTCACACATTCATATTATCATCTTCTAATCTAGGATCAAGTTACCTCATTTTGTCATGCTTGTTATTTATCTCTCCCCACCTGAGTATCAGCTCTGTGAGGGTTGTCTGTGTAGTTCTCACTGTATCCAGCACAGATATAGTGCTTAGTCATAGTAGGCGTTTAAGAAAATGTTCATGAAGTGAATGAATGATTGTCACTCTTAAATCAGATCATGGATTAAATGAATACTTATTTAGTTCCTACTTATTATACTAGACATTAGAAATGTGAAAATAAGAACCATTTCCAGCCCTAGAGAAGTTTAACATCTATCATAATACACAAAATCCTCACACTTATAGAAAAACAAGAGACAGAAAATTAACAAACTGCTAAAGATTTCTTGGATTCACAGATAAGCTTTAAACCTATTTATGACCATGTTGAAAGAGTAGATAAATGGCAACTTGCAGAAACTAAAAGATAGAGAGATTAAAACCTAAATATCGCTATTTCTTTGAATGTATACTTCTACTTTACTGCCTCTATTAGGTATAATGATGGCAGTCTCTCAATCAAAGGAATACTTTTCAGTCCTTCAATTCATTAAGTAACTTCTTTTCAACATTAGGTAAAACGATGTGCAGTTGAAGTCTCTCCTTCATTCTTCCCACTAAGTTTGTTTTTTTCCTTCTACTTTTATAATCATAAAGCCTTTTTGCCTGTGGCAGTACATATACTTAATTGATATTTGTTCATTCATTTCCCTGAAAAAAACAAATATTGCCTTTTCTGTTCCAGGCACTCTCTTGGGTGCTTGAGATACAACAATGAAGGAGACAGAAAAGGCTTTTGCCCTCTTGGGTATTGTAGAGGATAAATAAATGAATCAAGATAGTTACTGCATTTATATTTATACACATTAAAATTCTTGACACTCAGATGAAATGATATTCAATTTTCATTTTTGAGTGAGCAGAAAGTATAGAATAGGGATCTACTTCAAAATTAAATGACAATTTTTATCAATTATTGTCAGATCAAACAACTATAATGTCTTTCTTAATTGGTTTAGATCTAAATTCTATACAATGTGAGCATAACATAGGGCACCTCTGTTTCTTACTGGCCCTAAATACTTGTTTTCATTGCCTGCTAATACATTCTCTACAGACAAATGAAGATAAGAAGTACAACTCTCTTCAGTCAATTTTGCTGTATATTTGAGAAAAAGTTTCGGAAGCTACTGAGTTGATCCATGCAGCCAGAAATATTAGGGCAGTCCTTTTATAATTTAAGAAGAAATGCCTTGGTATAAAATAGCAGTAGAAAGAACAAATAGTCTATGATCCTGCTTACATGAGGTAGCTAGCATAGGCAAATTCGTAGAGACAGAAAGTTGAACAGAGGTTCCAGAACTGGAGGAGGGGGAAATGGGGCTTGTTGCGTAATGAGTATGAAGTTCCTGTTTGGAAAAAATTTCTGGAGATGGATGTTGGAAATGACTGCAAAACATTGTAAATGTACTTACTACCACTGAATACTACACAGAAAATGGGTTAAATGGTAAATTTTATGGTGTGTATCTTTTACCACAGTAACAAAAATAAAAAAGAAGGGAAGAAAATCTCGACTAGCACAAAATTTGATGCACACACTCAAAAAAATTTGGAGGCCAAACTAATAAATAAAAGTAAATGTTTAGAAATAACTGTAGATTTGTTTTATATGCTTTCTATCCCTTCCAAACTGCTATTCTTATTTCCCTAAATGATATTTCATATAAAACAGTTTAAACTTCCTATTAAATATATTAGTACCAAAGTATTACCATATGTTGTCATCTGATGCCAAAGAACTTCTATAAAACATTTAACTACATACTTGCAACCAGTGGTTCCTCTTCTGATGGTTTAAAGTAAAAAGAAACCTTTTCCAAATCAAATAGTGCAACTAGTGTATCTTCTAGCATGGCCTGTTCATCTGTCTAGAAAGAAAGAAAAACAAACAATACATGAGTGATATAATAGAATTGTGTTGAACATAACATAGCAAAACATAACCTGACATCACATGGCATAGCACAGCATAACATAACATAATATAGCATAGCATAGCACAGCATAACATAACATAATATAGCATAGCATAGCACAGCATAACATCTCCAGACCCAAACTAGCTTCATTTGTGTTTGATTCGTATACAAACCAAATTATCAACACTTAAGTTTACTATCTAAAATAAAATTAATAAATCTATCAAAGTTACATATTTTTAATAATTTTATATTTTTATTTTTCTCAAAGGTCTAAATGGTTCCACACATCTCTTTATTCTATTTTGTAGCAAGAGCCTAATCATATTTGTTTATTACTTACAAATAAATCTGTACAAAAAAGCATGTCATTTGTCTCTAAATTTCTATAACCTTATAAATGTAACAGCTGAAAGGTGAAATGTTGTTTTATTAAAAAGCCAAAATACATAATGAGCATCCCATTTTACAATAAGATAATCTATACATTATTCATTTTGCAATTTACTGTAACTGTGATCAAAGCAATTGCATGTGTGTAATGATTTTTTTATGGGACCTTAACCCAGAATCTTGTAAATATAGATACAATTTGTTTTGGTCATTTGTTACATTCTTACAGCATGTTATTTTCCAGCGGAGACAGATAAGGCCAGACGTGGTAACAAGTTCACTTCGTGTCTCAGGGATACCACCTTCCTAGTGCTAGATTCTGGCCTTCCTATGAGCAACTTAGTGCACATAGAGTCTTTCATGAATTTCCTTGTGAAAGAATTATGAGCCTTATCATATATCGCTTTTCTTTTACAGGTGACATATGTTTCCTCAAGAATGTCAATGATACTGTTAACATGCTTTACATACATTTTTTAAAAGTTGCCTTAAATTAATAGCCATATTTTCAGGGCAGCATTAGTAGAAACTGCAGAAGATGGTAAAGAATTTCCATTGTGTAAAAAAGAATCACTGAGTGGAAACCAAGAGGTTAAGAGAATTGTCACCTTTGCACATTGGTGTGGTACTCAATGTAGTGTATGGTACACAGTAAGTGCTGGATGAATGTTTATTAAACTGTTATTTTGAAAGTCCTTTGAAGTAGCAGAAAAATGTCATGAATGGAAATGGAAGGACAGGACTAAAGAATCAGCATTCTTCCAGTTGAGAGGAACACACAGGAAAAAATGTCCCAAAGATGCTGGCCCTGATTGCTAACGTGCATGCCATAACTGATGTGACTACAGCTATACCCAAGCGACCAGGACTATGCTCAGAGCTCAGGGAAACAGACCACCAGAGCCTGCAGCTCCCAGAGAGCCCTTCACAGTCTTAGGAGGCATTTATGCTCTTGTTTTAGAGACAGAAAGACTTGGTGTGATTTCTTTTTCTTGTGACCTTTTCATTATTTTTTATCCGCACTGGAGGACATTTTTCCATTTTTTGTTCAGATAGAGTGGGAGGAAAAGAGAGGCAGAGAGAGAGAGAGAAACATTGATGTGAAAGGGACACATCGAGTGGCTGCCTCCCGCACGACCCAACCAGGGCCGGGGACAAATTGCAACCCAGGTACACGCCCTTAGCGGAAACCGAACCCGGGTCTCTCTGGACCGCAGGCCAATGCTCTAACCGCTGAGCAAAACTGGCCAGGGCATGACCTTTTCATTTTTAATCAATTCTTTAATAAAAGTGTTTTTGCAAGAACAATTTAAAGAAAATACAGCTTTCTTAAGATAGAATTCACATACTATAACATAAAATTCACCCATGTAAAGTGTACGGCTGAGAGGTTTTAGTATATTCACTGAATCATATAAATATCATCACCATCTAATTTTAGAGTATTTTCACCAGCTCAAAAGGAATCTCCGTACCCATAAGCATTCACTCTCCTCATTCCGTCCCTCAATCCTTTAGCCCCGGGTAACCACTAGTCTATTTTCAGTCTCAAAGATTTTCCTATTTCACACATTACATAATAATGGACTCACATAATATGTGGTCTTTTGTAACAGGATTATTTCATGTTGCATAACGTTTTCAACATTCATCCATGTTGTAGCATGTATCGCTACCACATTCCTTTTTATTGCTGAATAATGTTCTACTGTGTGGACATACCACAACTTGTTTATCCACTCATCAGTTCATGGACATCTTGCTAGGAACATTTGTGTACAGATTTTTGTGTGAATGTGTTTTAATTTATCTTGGATATTATCTAGGGGCAACATTTCTGTGTAAAATGAAAATTCTGTTCCCAAATGGCTCTACTATGTTACATTCCCACCACCTCCCCAACACTGGTGATTGACTGCCTCTTGGATTATAGCCATCCCCGTCACATGTGACATAGTATCTCACTGTACTATTATGATGTCAATCATCTTTTCTGTGCTTTTAGGCAATTTTATATATTCTCTAAAAACACAACCATTCAAATCCTTTGTCCACTTTTTAAGTTGTCTTTTTATTATTTAGTTTTAGGAATTCATTATGTAACCCAGATATGTCATTTATCAGATACATAAATTATAAATAAACAAAATTTCAAATAAAATTAAGTTTAAAATTAAAGTACCAGCACTGGATTAGACAATGGCAGTGTTAAAGTAAGAACAGAATAGAAATAAAGCCTCATTCATTTATTTATTCAACACATAATACCTACTATGTGTTACAAAGTAGGCTTCTTATTTTATGTAATTTTTATTTTATAAGCAATGATTAAGATTTATTTTTAAACAGATTTCAAAAGTATCTTACTTAAAATTTTTCATTTATTAAATCTCTTATTTGGTTGTATTAGCCACCAAATAAGAAGTTGATCACTCATAGGAGAGTCTTTTCGGAAGACTCTAATTGTTTCTTTGATACACTGAGGTGGACTTCCTTACCTCCTCAGGCCGGAACCCTTTACGTCCACGCACTACAGAAATTACCTCCCTATCCTCAGCGTCACTGAAGAAAAACATTATTTGATGTATAAACTCATATAGATTTGTTTAAAATCTACAGAAAGCTACACTATCTGTGTACTTTAACAGAAAAAATAGCATCTCAATTTCAAAATCACAATTGCACTTAATTAGCACCTTAAGTGTATATGTAAAAGTGTTTGTCTTTAAACATCATGAGAACTATCAAAACCACAGAAAGTGGTGAAAAAACTCTAAGTTCACCACAGTGTTATTTATCAACTATCTCAAAATGTTTTCTTCATACCCACTGTGGAAAACTAATGCATAAACATGAGATATTCTACAGTAATTAAGGCAATGTTCTTAGATTTAACAGGACAAACATGATTAAAAAGGAAGGAAACAGAGTCATTTAACACATGCAAATTTGAAACAGATTGTCAGACAGTTTGGCATGCGAGTTGTCAGAGCTCTCTATCAAGAATCTCCAGAATATCAACCGCAGTGGGAGGGAGGTTAGGTTCCCGAGCAGGCTCTTTTTCCTGGACTGGAAATAAGAAAACATAGCAGAAAGACCCTCATTCCTCTGAAGACCTTTTCCAGTCAGTGCTTAGGGATGCAGGATTCATAACAGACGGAGGCTTTCTCAGAATTTAGCATCCACTGAGAATACATCAAATCAGGAAAGAAAGAACTCCTTCTACGTGCCTATTAAAACTACATTTGCCCATGGAAAAATATATTCTTTTGAAGTAGGTGAATGACTGTTGATACAATAATGAATAACCACTTGTTATTGGGAATATGTTGTAACAAAGGTTACAGCTGACATGGACAGTGGTGTGCACCGTGATCCTTACCAAGTTTGGTGACAGAAGGGACTGAAAGTGAAAAAGAACACCTGCATTTGCAATCTGGTCCAGCCACCTTCTGCTGGCTTCCCACGTTTCCATCTCATTGTCCTTGCTGTTGTCAAACATCTGGTTTAAGGCTGCCATGAGCTGCTCGGAGAAGGCACAGACTGTGGCCACGAGACTCTGGCAGAAAACCATGTCTCTTCGGAGCTGTGGCTCACTGTCTGCGAGCCAGGAGAACACAGAGAGTTTTAAGAAATGTCATGAATCAAACCAGTTCATTAAGCATTTACACTTGCTATTATTTCATCCTTTCACTAAACTCACCATGTGAAGAACGTACATTTGAGTTCTTTAAGTGAGCACATACATTTTTATCAAAAACATTTTTAGACAATGCTAAACACCAAAAAATGTTAGAAACATTAAAAACTTTTTTCTTAACTTATATGAATATATGCATAACTAATGGACACAGACAACAGTGTGGTGAATGTGGGGTGGGGGGGCAGGAGCAGGGAGGAGGGTGTCAATGAGGGGAAAAGGAGGGACATCTTTAATAAATAATTAATTAATTATAAAAAAATGAATAAAAATATTTTTCTATTTGATATAATGATTATTTTGTAATCACTAAATTGCTTTATAAAACCTAAGGGAAAAAAAACTAAGGTTTTATTTATTTACAATTTTTTTCTCGACGGTCCATTATTTGCATTTGTTGCAAGAAACTTGCCTAAAGAAAACTCAAAGTCCAATTTTTTAGTTTGTGCTAGCAAATACAATAAAATATTCATTAATACTAAATTGTTAAAAACTGCCTAGAAAACCTATTGAAATGTTTATGTGAAATGCACTAGGAGAAAGAGTATCGATGTCCACTTGTAACAATAAGCAAATCTGCATGTTCTGAATTTACTATTCAACTTCCCAAGTTATCTATATGTCCAGTTCACACACTGCTACAGATCTTTGAAATCAGTAGTATATTTACAGTTTTAGCACAAATTGATTTTTACTAGGATTCTTACTCTGCAATTGCCCGGTGTGTTCCCTGGACCGCTGGAAGGGGTGTTTACATGTGAACTGCACTCCTGGGCCACAGTGTGTTCAAGGGAAAGACGCTGTGCCTCAGAACCTGACCACAAGGGTCAACTCCTTGGGTGGCTGGATGTATACAAACTACATAAATACTACAAACACCAAGCCCTATATAATGTACACTGAAAAATCACTTGTACTAGAAGAACAAAGGTAAAAATAGTCATATTCCCAAAAGTCGACTGAATATTTTGAGGACCCAGCATCTTCAGAAATGAAGAAGTACTGTCAATATTAGCATCTAACAAAGAATAAATGCTGCCTTTATTTGGTGTCGAATTCTTGCTTTATTGATAAAAAGGCATACTTTTTAAGTTATTTACCAAGGACATAAAACATTTGTTTTTAATAACTATCAAAAGCATGTGCACACATAATGTAACTGCTGCATTACTCAGTTTGACTATTAGTGAAACTACCCTTGAAATTTTTTTAGAAAAATAATTAAATATTAAAATTATTTTATTTTATAATGAAACTCTTTATTTATTGGGTTAAACTATAAAAACCTGCTATTTTAGTAGGTCAAAAGAGTTAGATATGGAAATTCCACATGGTTCAACTTACTAATGTAACCAACAACATGTGTTAGACATTTTCCTTCAGTAATTCTATACCATGTGCCCTGTTCTAATAGATGGAAAAGAGCACGCTTTTTAAGTAACTATAAAAGGCCTAAGCTGGGAAAGAACCCTGTCCAATTCTCAATTAAGAAAAAAGCAAAACATGTATTTTGTGGTTGTGCATAATTTCTAACAAAATGTAGACATTCAATAAATGTGTACTGAATTAATGAATGAAAATTACAAACCAGTAGAGCAACTAACAGACAAATGAATTCAGTGAAATGACAATGTCTGAGCTCATTTTCTGGCTTCTTGAAATTTCTGAATGTAGTTTGACTTAAAAGGGGACTGCAGAGAGCTTGTAGTCCAAAAGTGCAGCTAGAGCACTGGCGTTCAAGGCTGAGACTAAAGAAGCAAAAACTGCCCAATATCTTCCTTGTGCATCGTTGCTTTGCTTTTCCTTTGTCCGATAGCAAAGCAGAAACTCTGGAGCAATTTTAAAATATGCTTCAGTAGCTTTGGTAGGAATACTCCTACCTATAGCCTGAGAATAATTTCTCAATGAAACTCTAAGTGGAAAGACATTGTTTATATCAAGAGAGTGGGAGGCTGCGGAGTAGAGAGGGAAGGGTCTGGTTCCACTGTGAGCATTAGAAGAGATCACGTGAATTAGTCATTTTGCCACGAGTAGAAAGAATTGTCTCCAAATTGCTTTTGAGAAGCGATTCTCAAATTTCTTCTTCTTTTATCTTAAAACAAATACATAGATGTTTCTTCTACTCTTGGCTACTAAATTCTGTATGCATTTTAAGCCACATTAAAACTTTTGTCGAGCCTCATTATAGAATCAGAACTAACCACACAAAAGGTGCATTTGTTCATTAATTCAAATTTTAACACTGAATGCCCCACAGGAATTAAACATCACACCAATCACAGGGGTTTAAGAAGTCCATTTGAGGCCTTGGCCCTGTCTATGCTCCCAGCAGACTGAGAGGGCCGTTAAGCAAGATGTCTTTGGACCACACCGCCATTGAAATCTTCAACCAACATATTTTCAAACTTAATTAATGTTTATTACTTCATGAGGTGATTTTCAATTGCCACCTTCCTATTTTCAACAGAGAGTAAATGACTAGTTAATATAGATTTCAAAATGCACATCATGTATTAAGAGCTTTTCAAGTGACTTTTGAGATTATCTTCTAAGAGTAACATAGGTAGAAAACTGAGTAGCAGAGAGGGGTCTCTATCTATAGCCAACTGATGTTTATAGCTTCTCGACACTTTGCTTCCCTCCATCCATTCCAGACAACCAGCAACAATCTTCACAAGATTTTTATGAGAATATAATAAAACAATGTATTTGAAACGGCCAGAAACGTGGTTGTATAGACCTCTCTGACCCCCACAGTACTGCTCAGTGTTCTGCAAACACGAAATCTCCCTGTAGCCCACACTTTTGTCCACGGGCCCTGGGACTACGGGTACTTCTCTCTGCTCCACTAGCAAAACTTGAAATCATCGGTCAAGAGTCAACTCACTGACGTACTGAAACTGTGAATTATTAAAGTATTATCTCCCCTTGGGACATGTGCCCTCTCTTTTAGGATGTACTGTGCACTTCTACCTGCCATTCAGCCTAGAGCATTCCTGTATGGATGGCTAATGACCTGTAGTTGTGAGAGTCTGTTTACTTGTTTGTGAACCCCAGGGACCTTCAGCACAGAAGGCCAGGGGACGTGCATATAACACATAATGTATGAATTATGTGCATGGACTTCAGAGGCATATAATCTGCTTTCGTCTACCCATTCCACCCAGTTTAAACCATCTAATCGTAAGTATTAAATTCTGATATGTAAAATGGGGTAGTCTTATTTTGTAGATCTGCAATAAAGATAAATGAAATACACACACACACACACACACACACACACACTTAGAGCATTGAACAAAGAAAAATTGGATGGCATTATTACAGTGATTCTTCTCTGCAGCATCTAGCATGGTGCCAGGCGCTGAGTGGGTGCTCAGCTTTATTGCTGAATGGAGAAGGAACAATGTGATAAAGAAAGAAAGCAAAATAAGCTCACTCCCAGCAGAAACACAGTTTCTTTCCTTTTAATTATATAGCTGTTTAAAATTCACAAGTGTCCGTCCTTTCCAAAGCTATTCTCACTCCTCATTTTTATCAATAAGAACTACAGCAAGAATCGTAATTGCTGCTTCCAGCTTCTAGCAAAAGAAGAAAAGCCGAGATCTGTGGTTTTGGTTTGTTTTTGTGACAGCCTGTTTATTTCTTTTGCAGAGTAAGTATTCTCTTGTAGTGGGACTGGGCTAAAAAAATGGATTTTTAAAAACTTATCAAATTGCTTCTGTTTCATTTCAGTTGTTAGGCACCTACTTAAACTCATCTTCAGCCAACATGTTTTAAAATATTAACACTTCATTTAATCTCACTGTTTTAAAAGGTCAGGTTCCACAGTTTGCTAGCTGGTCTAAAAAGGATGAGATGGTTTCTAGACACACAAGCAATACCAGTCATTTCTCTGAGATGGTAGAGAAAAGAAAGCCAAATAAAAAGGAAACAAAAAGAGAAGATCAGAGAGAGATGGTAATAAAAGCAAGTTAAGAATAATATTCAGCAGTCTACCCTTTTCAAGTGCAGAGCATAATTTCACAGCCAGCCATATGGAGTATTTGGTTACGGTTTTGGTGCCATGCTTTATATAAGAGGGAACAGAGAGTGAGTGCATAAAGTACAAAAAGAAGAATTATGACAAGAATAAAAAAATAAAATTAAAATCAAAATAAGGATCTGCAAGAACAGCCATTTGAATAGTAATGAATAAAGTAATACATTCCAGGATCATTTCTGAAATTGGCATAAGTTGGAATTTCAAATCTGCTACCTACTATATATTCATTAATGAACTCAATAAAGTGTCTTCCAGATGCTCAAAAATGGGTTGAATGAACACTGTTTACTAGTTATTATTATTAATCTGCCTGACTTTTATTTTAAGTATTATTTAATTTTTAAGTATTATTAATCTGCCTAATTATTAATTTCTTCACTTTTAAAACTGTGGAAAAATAATTATATTCTCACAGAGTCATTGTAAAGACCTGATGAAATATGTAAAAATGAGGTCCATCAACTGTGTGGTTATCAGTAAAACTTTAAGGATGTAATAAATTTATATTATTATTATTATTATTATTATTAATCTTCACCCAAGGATTTTTTTTCCACTTATCTTCAGATAGAGTGGGAGGGAGGGAGAGAGAGAGACATTGATGTGAGAGAGATACATAGACCGGTTGCCTCCCACACGACCCCAACCAGGGCCAGGGACAAACTGAAACTGAGGTACGTGCCCTTGACTAGAATCAAACCTCTTTGGTCCACGAGCTGACACTCTAACCACTGAGAAAATTGGCCAGGGCATATAGTATTATTATTATTCTGTCCAAAAACAAAACAAGGCTGGCTGTGTTGCTCAGTGGTTAAGCATCAACCCATGCACCAAGAGGCCGCCAGTTTGATTCCCGGTCAGGGTACATGCCCAGGTTGAGGGTCCAATCCCCAGTGGGAGGCATGCAAGAGGCGGCCAATTGATGCTCTCTCTCATTGATGTTTCTCTCTCTCTCTCCCTTCCTCTCTCTCTAAAATCAATATGAAAAAAATTTTTTTTTAAAAGAACAAAACAGAAACTTGTTTAAGCCCAAACCAACCAACAGACAGAAATGCCCTCTTGGTTAACTTGACTACTCCATTCATTTATTTATGGTTTAAATTTTCCAACTGTGGTACATTGCAAAAGTGGTCACAAATTCCTCTCCTAACTATACCATGCCCTTGCAATACGACTTTGAGATTGAGACTCCTTCCATCAAAACACAGCCCATTTCCCCACCCCTTGAATCTGAGCCTACCTACATCCTTGTTCATACAGAGAAGTTAGACACAGTTTCACAATACATCCCATTTGCACAATTAACTTTATCAAACCTGTTTCCCTTCTCTTTTAACTATATATATATATATTTAAATAAACTGATTTTAGAGAAAAGAAAGGGAGAGATAGAAGCATTGATTTGTTGTTCCACTTACTGATGCATTCTTTGGTTGCTTCTTGTATGTACCCTGTCTAGAGATTTAACCCACAACCTTGGCGTATCAGGATGACGCTGTGATTAACTAAGCTACTCATACAGAGCTCTAAATTATATTCTATATAAATGTTTATATGTATTTCCATGTATCTACTTGTAATTAAAGATGAGTATACATATTTTTGTGTTTTTATTAAAACTAAGGTTTTCTTTCTTTGCCAGATTTCTTTGTAGGAATCATATGTCCACCTATTTTGCTGAAGGCATTGTCTTGAAATCATGAGACTTCTAAGGTCAGGGTCCACAACAGTTTTAAGTAATAAAAATAATGAAAAATACTACCTGAATATTCAAGAAGCGCCAGAAGTATCCTACTCTTGACCTCTGCCGAGAAAATAAAGACGTATCAATTAGTTGTTCAGTCTTTTCTGCCATATTTTAACTGTATTATAATAAAAATTAGCACAATTTCATTATATCGGATAATAAAAAATCCCATTCACGTGAAATGCTATTTTTTCCTACCTGCCTATATAAATTGTATTCACTGCTGAAGACCCTAAAATGCCTCCTAGATTTTAATTATGTGAGCCTATGAAACATTACTTCAATCCTGCTACCTCTGTAGGTCCTTCTTCACTGCTAGAACTTAGACGATATTCTCTTAAACATCTACAGTTGTCATAGTCTTGATCAATAAGCTATCAAACAGTATTTTTCTTAGATATTTAAACTTTTAAAGATCATAAATAATATATATAGTTATGTACTATGCATTATATATCAGAATTACAGTTTATATATAACTATATGGATTATATTTATAGATTATGTAGAAAAAATATGTATATATAGTCATCTTTTCCTATTTATAAGTCAAGGTACTGTCCCAAAAGAACAAAAATATACTAAATGTTTCCAAATAGTCACTTCCCCATCCTGTCTCCAAACAGGTTCAATCACAAATGTTTCATAAATGATGTTATGTGAGCTTCATGCTCATTGCTGTGTGTCCAATGAGTTATGTGTCCATTGACTTCCAAATGGCAAATAGTTTACTTGCTATAAGTCAATATAAAAACCTACATAATGTTTTACATGCCCAAAATTATGGGAAATAACAAATCTTAGGTAGCATCCTATTCTAGATAAGTTCACCATAGTCAGAGCAATAAAATTAACCTACAAGAAATGCAGGAGATAATTAAGAGGGCATTAAATTTTACAGTGAGACTGCAAAAACAAAGTATTTCAGAGGCAGGAAAGTACACTGAACTAAGAGTCAGAAGATTCATATGTTATATACAAGTTGTGTGGTCTTTAAAAAAAAAAATTCTAAACTACTTTGAGTTTCAACTTGTTCCATTTATTACAAAAGAATATAATTCAGGAACACCAGATAGAAGAGAGGCCAGGCCAAGGAACAGGAGAAAGTCATGGAGCGTCCATGCTGTCTGAATAGGCCACTCTCCTAGCAGATAAAGGATGAACAGTTCAGAACATGATACCCCAAAATATGGCACTTCGGCATTCTAAATATTTTAAGTAGAATGAATCTGAGAAACGGCAGGTGCAGGAAGGACTGACTCTGATCTCACCCTTCTCCCTGAAGCAGGTCATAAGACCCTCATACGTGAGGTGTCCTCTCTATACCTGGAGAAAAGAAGCATCCTTATGTCCAACAATGCTGAGAGAAACAGACCTTCCTAAGTTCCCTGCAGGTTACTGCCCTTAGCTCACACCCTTTGTTTAATCACATTTTCCCACAACTTTCCACTCTGCATCAAACCTAATATAAAACCTCTTAGGTTTAACTATTTCTTTGGGTCTTCATTTCCTTATGAAGGCTCCTGTCTCATGTAAAACTCATACGAAATAGATTTATATGCTTTCCTCTTGTTAATTTACCTTTTGTCAGCCTCATTCACAGGGCCCCAGCCACACTACCCAGGAAGATAGAATAAAAAAAGATATTTATTTCTTCCCCTATAGGAACATCAGAATGGGGTCATCCCAGCTACATATATAAACATGGAAATTCTGGCCAGATGGCATTATGTTAATTGGCAGGTAAGACCTGACTTTCCATTAAATCATTCCCTACATAAAGACAATTTGAGAGATAAAGTGAAAACTTTCTTGCATTCAGTAAATTCATGCTGAACTGGTGAGATCACTTCAGAGTGCTTCCGCAGAACAAGAACTGATTACAAGGATCCCAGGGCTGCTGCTTCCGTCCCATGTAACAGGACCAGATACCACACACATTATCAGCAAATGGCAACTTGACCGTTCCCTTGAATGGTCCATTGAGCTGAACTAGTGATTAATCATTTTTCAGAGTCTCACTTAATATGGTGACAATCATGGCTCTTAACCAAAGTAACTGCATCTCACTGAAACCTGCAACCAGAGATGCAACTTAAACTCCCCATACCATTGACAGTAAGACTCTCAGCACACCTAACCACACTCAAGCAGCTGTTGGGCTCCCATGACCAACAGTAGCCCATATTCAATACCTATCAATCAATCAATCAATGTAGAGGTGGTGTTATTATCTGCCATGAGTTAGTGGTGTTATTATCTGCCATGTCATTGTTTTCTCAACACCCTTTTATACTAAAGGTATAAAAGCAGGACTTTAGATGAAAATGTATGATTCTTCAAATGAAGATCTTTTCAAAAATTAAGCATTCTATCTTGCATTCAAACAGGTTTATATCTTAAAGATGAAACTCTTCAAAAAAAAAATGGTTTAAGGATTTCTCTCTTCATAATTGATATTTCATTTACTCTAAAATCAATATAATGTAAAAAAATATATATATAACTTCAAGGATGATGACAACTGTGTCTAGATCCATGAATTTTAACTTGGAGTGTTATGATACTGGCATCTATTCAATTAAGAAAAAGCCAAGAAAGCCAGCTGTCAAGAACAAAATGTTTCAGCACACAATAGAATTGCTGTGATTTATTTGGAATTTTTAATATCTGTGCAAACTTCTCTACTGATCTCTAAACAATACCTAAGCTATTATATTGAGTATATTTCTAGGCAGAAGACTTAGTAATTATAGAACATTTAACCATCTCTGTCATTTATGAAGAAAAGAGGGCCTAAAAATGAAGAAACTGAGGCCTAAAGGGGTTAAGGGGCTAGCTCAGACTCTGTTGAGTTTAAGAGCTATATTTTATCAGGAAAGTATTGTAAGAAAGAAAACCACAGACCCCAAATGGCATAACTTGTGCTAAAACTCATGATACCAAACCTAGATTTACTACCTGACTTAACTGCCGTCTCAACATTCATAGAAATATAACCTTAATCAACAGTCGGGAATTTTCTGGTCAAGCACCACTAAGGTGATCTGTTGAGTAGGTGCTCTCCATTCCCCATAGAAAGAAGAGGCCACCAGCAAGATTTTAAAAGCCTTGCAGTTCCCTTTCCTCCAAAAGATGTCCTGGTCCAAACAAAATCCTTTCTCTTTTTGTTACTAGGTCTCTCACCCCACCCTTCTTTCTATAAAAACCTTCCATCTTGTACAAATCCTCAGAGTACCCTTGTAGTTGCTAGATGGGATGCCGCCCAATTCATGAATCACTTAACAAAGCCAGTTAGATTTTCAAATTTACTCAGCTGAATTTTGTTTTTTAACAGTATTCTAAAAAAAAAAAACAGCATATAATTCTCTCTAATTTAACCTCAAATAATGGTAATGACTGCAGTGATGCTGTAATTTTGCTGAATACCAGTTACCACATCCAGCTGACATACAAACAACTGGAGTAAAAATTTAACACAGGAATAATATTTATTGTACAGGTTCCTGGGCCGTAGCACTATGAACATTTTGGGCCAAATACTTCTTTGCTGTGACACTGTCCTGTGCACTGTAGACTGTCCAGTAGCGTCCCTGGGCTCCCCACCCCCTAGATGCCAGTAGTATAGCCACAGCTGTGACAACCAAAATGTGTCTCCAGATATTGCCAACCACTGGCCAAATACAGGGAAGAGGGTCATTGAATTAGCCATTTTAAACAATTAAAAAATTTCTCATTTCATCTTTTCCCCCATAACCATGTCAGAAACTCTCAGAATTTTCCACTTAATAACTGACTCTAAACATGCAATCAGACTTATTGGAGTTGTCTTGAAGTAACACCTCCAATTACAGGTTGTACCAATTACAGGGTGTTGAGGAAACAATGACATGGCAGATAATAACACCACTAACTCAGACAAACCATTCTAAAAATGAAACCAAGATGAATGAGGCAACTGATATCATTATTTTGATTCTCATCTCACATAGTTGCATAATAGATTTTTTAGACTTTCCCTAAACTTTAGCTTCATGTCTTTTATGAATCCTTTAGAACTTTTTCCTGATCTTGTTTCATATTATAAGATATGAAACTCTCTCCATGTTCCATTTGTCTTCATAAGTATGAGCCCTTATTTTATTCACTGAGAATATTCTCCATGATAAAGATCATTTAGAGTCTTGTAACATAAGGTTCTGCAATCGAATTTCTTTTCTCTCTTCCTCCATCCAACTATATAGTCTTTTTATTTCCCTCTTAACATGAAACACTGAAAAAGAGATCAGAGCATTACTGAACTTTTGGTTTTAATGGGCTTTTTAAATGACTACTGCTAATGTCATGAGATATTCTTTGCTTTTCATCCTGACCTTCAACAAACTTTCTGATGTTCTGGGCAAGACTCCGGACACTGCTGGGAAGATTCCAAGGATCTTGCTTGATGTGAAGCCTCAACCTTTTTGGACAGCTCAGCTTTGGTTCCATCTCCTGCTGAAATTCTAAGAAACACAGAAAGTCTCTCTTAACTCTCAACCATTGACCAGTTAACAAGACTGTAAGCTCCAGAATCTTCTCATGTTCCTTGCTGTTGTCCTACATTATTATCATGGTGGTAATTTCTTTAACTAAGTATCACAGAAGAAAATGTGTTAAACCCAGAAAACCAAATGTTAATATTATTTTCTTACACATGTTTAAACAAAGGAGCAAATTTAAATGAAAAACAATACTTTAAACAGCCTAAACTAGATGTTTAAAATGGAAGCACTAGATCCTGTCTGTCAGCCTGTTCTGTTCATCCATCCACATTCCCAAACCCCTCCTCCACCCCTGGGATATAAGCAACTCAAAACTTGTATCTCTTCAATTAACTGATTTTGATTCAGTCTGACCCTGGCAGGCATTAAACATTTTAACTTTCAAAGAAACCTAAAAGATCCTGTACTTGTTTTTTACTTAGATTCAAAAATTTTAAACCAGAAGCAGTATTGAGTGAATTATGAATCATGAGCAAACAGAACTTTTCTTCTGGTTCTATGCTTTTGCTTCATAACTATACTGTCTACCACCTTGTTTCCACATTGCTTCTAACAGTTATTTTTTAAACCTTACCCTGTAATCCTCGACCTGGGGTGAGGTCCTTGGTTTGCTCAAAGGCTCTGACCACAGCTTGCCCTTTTAGGAGGTTGGTAATTGAATCCACCTATGACAATAGAATTCTTAGAATTATATATTCTATTCCCAAGAGTAAATCTTGTAACATATTTTTTTCTTAAAGTAATGATTACTTTCTGAAATCCTATGATTCTTGTAAAATCTACCTTTAAATACAATATTTGAATAAACTTGCCTGATAACATTTGCAATAACGTTTCTTGCTATCCTACCATATATTAATATAAAATATACATTTACTTCACAAAAGAAGTAAAGGTTCTAGAGTTATTTAAAAAACTAACAGTTATCAAAATCCTTTTTAAAGTAGTAAAAGCTTCTACACTATGAATTTTAGTTATGGATATAAATTTTTTAAGACTATAAAACACCAATATGAGCCCAGAGACAATCTTGTGATTTTTGAAATTAGGAATGAAACTGAACAAGAAATGTCATAAGGGATTATGAAAACCCATAAAGAAACAAACAATAAAAAAAAGAACTCCTGTGTGTATAATTCTTTATAATTTTGCCAGAACTATAAAATCTTTGGGTTTGTTGGCTGAAGGAATATTTATTTCCATCTTAAGTTGTGGAAATTGAGTTAAAGTGGGTGGAGGAACAGATTGAGGCCTTTCTATTCTAATTCCAAGCTCTTTTCACTACATCTGGAAAAGAGATTCCTGATAGTTTAATGTGAAAAAAAAAAAAATGCCCACAAATGTCCCAATCATACCTGGCTGAAAAGATGCTCAAGGCAACTATGTATCTTATCCTGTTTTTCATGAGAAATGCGGACGCTTAGTGGAAGTTCATCACCTAGATGTGTATATATATATATATACATAAATTAATCTTATGTTTAACGTTCCAAAGTATTTTAATATAAATAAAATAAAAATATTTAAACACGAGCCCTAAAATAAATAAATAAATAAACATGAGCCCTTATTCCATGCATTCCTTCTTATGTTCAGAAAATGAATTCCGAAAGATGTAACAGCCAAGAGGATGTCAGATTACTGATCCCCGGGAGTGAATGTGGGCCACACAGAAGGAACACTGCACTATCTATGTACATTCTTTCAAATGGTACATGTTTCTAATGGTTTAGTAGTTGAAATAAACTTCAAATTTTAAAATTAAGATTTATCCTAACTGGCTGAAAAGTCTTGTTTTTAGTACAAGCACACACAAGACAAGGTGTTTATGAGGTTTTTATGTCAGCCAGCGTTTTTCTCATCACTGCCGTGTCCCACGTCAAGACCACTTCAGGTGGCTCTCCTGTCCTGAAGCCTTCGGTCTCAAACTCCTCCCACACCCCTCCCCCAATCAACAATGCCTAATGTTTAGTACAACGTGCCTCCTGTGTACCGACCACCCTTCATAATACCATGGAAAGATCACAAAACGTATATTAAGGTCCTTAAAATGTTGGTTTACTTCCTTCTTCTCTTTCTAAGTCGCTGGTTGTAATGGGACTGGGAAACTGACTATCGAGCACATGAAACTGAAATGCAACATGTGCAGTCACCAAGGATGACGGATGAGAATTAATACATGAGGATCAAACCAGCCAACCCCTGAAGGGACGAGCATCAGAGCACCGCTGGCTTCGCCACACGCACCTGAGTCCATGTCGTCGCTGTGGAAGTAGGAGCTGCACTGGCTGCTGCCGGCACTGGTGAAGGAGGCGGCGGAGTTCCTGTTGCTGTTGCAGTCGCTGTGAGGAGGGGGACACCCAGGTGAGACAGCGCTGCCCCTGCCCCGTGCGCGCTCATCACTGGAGTTGCTTATGCCACAGTTACACTTATGAATATGTTTTAGAGAAACGATGAGAGAGAAACACTTGTCTAACAGCTTATCTTTTAAAAAAGCATTTTAAATTCCATCCTATTTCAAATTTTCTTGTCATATACCATAATCCTAGGGGAATTTTTTTAAATGCACGGATATAAAAGTTTTTTAAATGCATAGATATCAAACTAGGAGTCAAACCAAACTTATAATTTTTCATAATCTCTTTGATGATATATGCCTGTAGGTAATTTGTTCATAGAGACAAATAAAGTCCTGTTTCATTATCTCTGCCTTTCACTCCTTCCTGGTAGCTTAGATTATAACTTATCAATGACTCTCGGAGCTCCCTGGGGGTACAGGGGTGGGAGGGGGCAGTTCCTTTTCTCTACCTCAGAGCTCAGCACAGGACATGTACCTTGTAAATGCTTGATAACAGTGAGTGTTGAAGGAAAGAAGGTTTAAAATGGTTGTGAGTGAATATGGATATACTACAGATAACTGAAATAGTGCAGATTAAATGTGGTTTTTTTTCTCTCACAATAAGTGAAAATGGTTTATTTAACTTTAAATTTATATTTAAAATTTCTATTTTCACCTAGTGGGAGCCAGTGAAGGTAATTTTAATTACTTGATAACTAGAATTTGAGGTGAGAAAGTATTTTTATTTATTTTTTATTATTTTTTAAAATTAATTTATTTTTGTTATAGATGTTTCTCCTTTCCCCCCACTGATTCCTCCCTCCCCCACCATCCCCGCCCTGTCCCCAGCTTTGTTGTCCATGTCCACTGTTCATGCATACATGCATATAAGTTCTGTGGTTTATCTCCCCCACCACCCTCTCTTCTGGGGATTGTCAGTCTGTACCCCACTTCCACATCTCTGGGACTACCCCATTCCTCAGACTGTTATGTTAATTATATTCTACAGATAAGTGAGATCATATGATACTTGTCTTTCTCTGTTTGGCTTGTTTTGCTTAGGATAATACTTTCCAGGTCCCTCCATGTCGTCTAAAAGGATAAGAGATTTTTCTTTCTTACAGCTGCATAGTACTCCATTGTGTATATGTACCACTGCTTTTTTATCCATTCGTCTACTGATGGACATTTGGGCTGTTTCCAGATCTTAACTATTGTAAATAGTGCTGCTATGAACATGGGGGTACATATATTCTTTCTGATTGGTGTTTCAGGCTTCTTAGGGTATATTCCCAGCAGTGGGATCACTGGGTCAAATGGAAGTTCAATTTTTACTTTTTTGAGGTAACACCATATTGATTTCCATAGTGGCTGCACCAGTCTGCATTCCCACCAGCAGTGTACTAGAGTCCCCTTGTCTCCACACCCTCACCAACATTTGTTGTTTGATGATTTGTTGATGGCGGCCATTCTGACAGGTGTGAGGTGGTACCTCACTGTTGTTTTAATTTGCATCTCTCTGATGATTAGTGATGATGAACATTTCTTCATATGTTTCTTGGCTATTTGTATGTCCTGTCTGGAGAGGTGTCTATTTAGTTCCTCTGACAATTTTTTAATTGGGTTTCTTGTCTTCCTTTTGTTGAGTTGTATGAGTACTCTATATATATTGGAAATTAACCCCTCATCTGACATATCATTGCCAGTTATGCTCTCCCATACAGTGGATTGCCTTTCCATTTTGATGATTGTATCTTTGCTGTGCAGAAGCTTTTGAGTTTGATGTATTCCCATGTGTTCATTTTCTCCTTTGTTCCTGTTGCCTTAGGTGATGTACCAGTGAAAATTCTGCTGTATATGATGTCTGAAATGTTGTTGCCTATATTTTCTTCTAGGATTTTTAAGGATTCATGAGTCACATTTAAGTCTTTTATCCCTTTTGAGTTTATTCTTGTGTATGGTGTAAGTTGATGGTCTAGTTTCACTTTTTTGCATGTAGCTGTCCAATTTTCCCAACACCATTTATTAAAGAGGCTGTCCTTACTCCACTGTATGCTCTTGCCACCTTTGTCAAATATTAATTGAGCATATTGCCTTGGGTTCAGAGAAAGTATTTTTAAACAAGTAATTTTCAACTGTGGAGAAACTACAGGTTCCTAGCACACTGATATCCTTAGAAGCTAAAAGTAAGTAAAATAGTGAAAGTAGTGCACCTGTGTGCTCTATTAGTAAGTCTCTAGGAATAATTAAGTCTCATGTATTTATTGAAATCCCTTTCACATGGAAATTGGGAGAGCAGAGTGGTTAAGAGAGAAACTGACAGCCACACCAGCAGGTTTCATACGTAAATCAGGTAGGTTCTGTGGGCCTCCGCTTCCTTATCTGTAAAATGGACCTAATATCAGAACCAGCCACACAGGGTTGTGGTGGGAACTATGTGAGATCATCCTGTTCTTCCATGTGTCTGGTAAAACATGCTTTTAATAGCCATTAGTATGTGCGAGTAACTTTGAACAATAATTACTTAATATATTTTCATAATTCACGTAAACGAAGTGAGAGATGCTGAAGCTGGGCACATAGCACAGATGGCATGTTGGAGAGTCCTCGGGGAGGCTGCAGGTGGCACAAGGATTCAAAGGAGAGAAAGACTCTCAATTAAGGAAGTTCCCTGGAGGAGCTGCGTTTGACAGCCTGGTGGGAAGATGACAGAGTTGAACTGTCGTGCGGTGTGATAGGTAGAATTGAGTCCTCCCAAACTTTGTAAATTGAAGTCTAACTCTCAGAACCCCAGAGTATGACGGTATCTGGAGTGAGGGTCTTTACAGAAGTGATCAGGTTAAAACAAGGGCAACGCGATGGGCCCTCATCTAATATGACTGGTGTCCTTATAAGAAACAGAAAATTTGGGCACAGAGACGTGACTGGAGGGAAAGGATGTGAAGACAGAGGGAGAGGATGGCCGTCTGCAAGTCAGAGAGAAAGGCCTGGAGCAGATCCCGGCCTCACAGCCCTCAGAAGGTGACCAGCCCTGCTGACGCCTTGAGTTTGGACTTCCAGCGCCAGAACTGTGCATAATAAATACATTTCTGCTGCATAAGCCACCTGGTTCTGGGTTTTGTTACAGCTGTCCTACCAAAATTATACAGAAGGCAAGCAAGAGGAGAAAAAATACACACAGCTGGTCATGGAGGTGAGCAAGCGACATTAGTCCAGTTGGCTTGAAACATAAAATATAAGAAGAAAGGGGAGACACGAGACAAAAACAACTCTTACTCGCTACCCAACTGTCCGATAATCAGAAACAGATATTTGAAAAACCATGTTAATATAGGCACAATTTGCTTATTTACATGTTTCCCGAATGACGTCCACACAGCTGGAGAAAAAAATGTTTTTTCCAAATTACTGAGAGTAGAATAAGGGAGAATTTGAAGGGTTATGTTTGTCACTAAACTTTGGGGTTCATCATAGCTGGAGGCTCCTTTGTGAGTAATAAACAAATGCAATAACCAAATGTTTTTTCAAGACCCTTGTGGAAAACAGAATGACCTTGACCGCGTCGATGAAGCGAGCAGAAGCACTTACCTGTAAGAGTCTCTGTTGCTAATGGTGTCGTGGCCTGAGTCTTCCTGCTCGTCTCCGGCCACATTGAAACAGACTCGTTTGCTGTTTCTTTCCCCCTTCTCATTGTCACTGTCCGCTGGGACTATGCACTCGGGCGTCTTCCGTTCTAATTTAGGAGAAGATGTTATCGAAGACAGAAGACTGCATTGTGATACAAAAAGAAAAAAGAAAAGAATAAGTGCACATTTTCCAACTGGCTGCTTCCTGGTGGATCTGACAGGCTCCCGAGCATGTCTTCGGTGCGTCTGTGCTTCACACGGAGGAAATGTCCTACCGCATAAAGAGCCTGTCAGTCAAAGTTTACTTTTTCCTCTCAGAGGAAGTAATAGAAACAGCACACAGTTTAGACTACAAAGCTGTGTTCAAACCCTGGTTCCCCGACGTATTGGCTTTGTTATCAAAGCAAAACTATGACAGCCTCTTTGACACCCATGAAATGGGAATAATCAGAACAACTAGCCCACAGGATCTCCGTGAGAATAAAATGAGAATGACACATTCCTGGTACATACTGGGAGTCACCTTGTTCCTGGACATTAGTCGCTAGCACCACTGTATGGAAATACCTGGGAAACTTTAAAGGGCTGCCTAAATATTAAAACAAACACTAAATGTGCTTAACTATTCTCACCGCTTACCCGCAGATATTAAAAAGCCACCTGCCCACCTAGGCCTGCCCCAGCTGTCTCCCAGCCTGTGTCCATTTGTCAAGCCTTTTCACTGCTCAGACTCACAGGCGTCCTGGCCCTTGTGATCATAACATGCTAAACACAGTCACACACAAGGTGAGGACAGGAACCAGCTCCTCCCACATCATCTGCAATCCCCCAGGGTGAAATGCCACAAAAGTACCCCAAGGAAGGGCTCTTCCAACTTGGTTCAAGGCTAGAACACCATCTTCAGATGCTGAATTGGTGTAAAATTTGATTTTTGGCTTCGACAAGCATTAATTCTATCACTCTAGCCTTGAATGTTTGGCTGTTAAAGGTTTCTGTTAGAACTAACACAAAATTATGCAAACATGGACTTGGTCTTTGCTATCAAACAACATGCTCTAAAACAAATGAAATCACATCTGATAAAAGGGGGCCCATGATCGACTTTTCCAGCCCACCAGTATCTTCTCATGTATCAAATAGCGATGGGATTCTGCTGTAATCAATAGCACAAGCGCATTTCTTGACACTCATTTTTTTTCATAGCAATGCACATGTTTGCTTTATTTCAAGACCATGAAAATGGCTTATACGTCTTATAAGTATATCCTATAACATCAAACCGAATGCTGTGCATTGAGTAAAGACTGGTTAAGTGGTTTTTACTAATTAATTAATTAATTAATTAATTAGACACATTCATTGTTCTCATTGCTGTGGATTCTAAAGTTTACTAAGCAAACAAAAGCCCCTGCCCACTTAGAGCTTAAAATCTCCTGGGAGGAAACAAACAATAAACAAGTAAACCTCCAGTACATCAGATGGTGACAAACACCAGAGAGAAAAGCAAAGACAAGAAGGAAGCCAGAGCTGCAAGTTCAAATCATGTAGTCAGGTAAGGTCTCCCTGTGAGCCCACACTGGAGTAACATCTGGCAGTTTGTAGTTTTTAGAGCCCAGCAACAATAGGAAGCTGTGTTACATTGCTCAGGGCCCCGTGAGGCTATGTATTATTTTAAACACATCTTTTCTATTTGGAAGGATACCTTTGTGTCATGTAAGACAGACTGGATATGTATTCACTCCCTCCACCTAAAAGGTTGAATCATTAGACTAACTCCAGTTACCCCAGCTCCACACTGCACAGACAGATGAGCTCTGAATACCAAAGAGTTTGCAGGAGTTCTCTTTCTGCAAGGAGTCCTCTGTGTTCTGTGTATCTTTTAAATTAGAAGCCATGGGGCTAAGTATAAACATTTATTTCAAAGTAATACAGACAGTATTCACATATTTGCTTTTCATTTGAAACAGTTGCAATCATGCTCATACTGACCCTGTGGGAACAAGTGTTACAATGACAGATGTTAGGAAAACAATTTTGACACCATGTTTTTGCATGAAATTTCTAGATTCTTAAAAGCAATAACAAGGCATACAACTTAACATGTGTGCATGCGGGAATATTTTCCTTTGCTTTTACTTTTACTCATATATAATATTAAGCTATCTATTGTAGGTCCATTAATTCTGAGTTAAAATCCTAAGTAGTCTGCCATTCCAGGTCAATCTTTTCCTGATGCCCTTGATTTATAAAGAATTGTGTATGTTGCATATGCATTGACCTGGGTGTTTTTCTTTTACACTGACATTTAAGTATCATCACCATCATACTCATCATAGCTAACATTTGGTGAGCTCTTACTGCAGTCACTATTGCTAAGTACTTAACAGATAGTAATTCACTCAAACCCTAAAACCGCCTTATGAAGTTGGTATTATTGTTATTATTTATTATCTTCATTTTAGAGGTGGGGTGAGGCACATCGTCATATACATATACTTTCCAAATTCGGCAGAACGCCTCCTTTGTGCAGTGCGGTCGGTCTCATTCCTTCTCCCCGCTGTGATAATCAGACATCCCCACAGATGGGGGCTGGCAGCCTGGACCCTGAGGGGTTCAGTGTGGGGCGGAGGACCTGTGACCCAGACGGGCGTGGAGGGTAAGCAAGAAAGAAACTTTGTTGTGAGGCTTTAGAGTTAACAAAACAATGAAGGGGGTAAAAAGAGTTGTATAAAAAGCAGATATTAAGAAAATATGACATGAGTGACTGGGACACAGGAGTGTCTACTGTATCCTGGGGAACGAGGCAGAGCCTCTCCACACATCAGCCGTTCTCTTGACACTTAGGAGCCTGGAGGCCCACCAGGCAGACCTCAGGAGCAGGGCTCACAGGCAGTCTGCTGAGTTCCAGGAACAGAAGGGGCTATGCCCCAGCGCTCAGGGAGACGCGTTTTCTCAGAGAGGGGACAGGAGCGGACCATGCAGGGCCACGCAGGCCGCAGTGATCCATTCGTTACTGTTTTCATTGCACTGCAATGCCATCACATGGTTTTAAGGAGGAAACGATTATGATTTACCTTTAAGGACCTCTGGCCCAGGGGAATGTAGATTGTGTCAGAGAGAAGCACCACTGAAACTCCTACAGTGGACACACGTGAGGGGACGATGGTGACCCAGTGAGGTGACAGGGTGGATACATTCTCAGGTACAACTGACAGAACTTGATGAAGTACTGGAGGTGAAGGAGAAGGGAAGGCAAGAATCAAAGATGAGACCCAGATTCTGGCTTCATGAATGGAAGAGATGGAAAAGACTTCACTGACAAAGGGAAGACCTTGATGGTGGAGGGGTTGAAATGGGTTTGCGTATGAGAAAACCTAGAATTCTGTTTTGGAAACAAGTTTACGCTTGATGTGTCTGTGATACACCCCAGTGGTTTACAAGCCACACAACAGAGAGACTGTGAGAACGAGGGCGTCAGTGCATGAAGTGCGCAAGCACCCACATGTTCGATCCCATGAAGCCGTGCGCTCTTCTCTGCCTTTACCAGAAGACTGCTTGGGAAACCTCAAAGGCAATGCCCCCCCAGCCCTACATTCCCGTCTAACCCCCAGCTCACTGGATGGCCCACAATGTAGTTTGTTCATGGCTCAATCCTGGGACATCTGGCACCTGCAAAATAAAGTCTGTCCTCAAATGTCCTATCTTGAGCCCCAAGGCTCTTTATTTATTTCTGCCCCACATTTTGAAATCCCATGAAAGATTCCAGAGTACCTAGACTATCCACAAATTATTTTCCCCTTTACTCATGTCAAGCACCTAAAGTGTCATTAATCAGAAAATAGCCCATTAAAAGACAAATGTTATTAGTGTTCCACAATGAAACAAAAATCACAAAGTCTTGATTAAATTTATAACATCGCTTTATTTCATGGTACTAGACAGTAAATTCATCTCTAGTTCCATCTTTGGACCTGAACGAAGTCAGAGGATTTAGTGGAATGTCTAGATGTTAAAATTTTATTTCTAGGAGAAATATTCCCAAGCGACAAGGTAACCAGACTTTGGGGTAAGACAAGTTCAACACCAGGCCCTTTCACAGAGAGGAATGACTTCTAGAAGGACTAGCAAGGGGATGTTCTGAGGCAGTTTCTCTTAAAATTTGACATAGCACCTGAGATCTGCTTCTCCACTCTGCGTAGATTTCTATGTGTGACCAAGAATAAGGACTACATGGTAAGAAAAGTGTTTGGTAACCAGCTTTTCAAATAACTTGGCAAGCTCGACTGCACTGTAGCATCTCTGAATTCTAAGGGAAACAGGGAATCCAAGCTCTTGGACCCCTGTGCTTTCTTAAAGTGATTATATTGTACATTGAATTATGCAGAACATATTTATATTTAGAATTAAATTATATGGTGCGCACAAAGATGACCAAGGAAGTTTCTCAAATCACTGGCTCATTTCATGCCTTTTTCCTAATGAACACACACAGTTGGTAAAGGCTTTTAGAAGAACAGAATGGGGAAGTCTTAAGTAAAAATAGGTAATTGTTTTAATAAATTGAAGATAAGAAAAAAAATTCCTTTCTGTCCATAGTGCTTTAAATGTAAAGCATTTTTAAACCAAGGAAAGGGAGCCCCTTGGCTCTAACCGCTTTCTTGAAAAATATATCTACATTAGCAGAACTTAAAAATAAAAAGTCAAAAAATTAACACAGACAGACAAAGCCTGGACAACAGCCAGGCAGTGCCGGGCAGTCAATACACTGGAGAGCTTGTCTGCGAGGCAGTGTGTACTCAGGCACATCAACCATCCTGTTGCCGACAAAGGCCTCATCTGAAAAGTGGGAATAATAACTCTTGGCATGATTGGAAGTATGAGATTGGTCCAGATGTTCTTCTAAAACCCTTGAGATCTAGGAAACATGATCCAATATCCCTATTTATGGCCTTATTGCCTATAAATCTCCCTGTATGCACTTCCCAAATATTTCAGAGGAAAACACTGATTTCTGATATAGTACATATATAATAAAATCTGATTTATTAAATAAAGCAGCATATAATGCCCTAAAATATAAACTTCTCTGTCACAAGGTCACATAGTCACTCTAAGACAATTGAAAAGTATCATGCAATTGTTTAAAAACAGCTTCCTGTTCTCAGGAACCCCAAACTGTTGAATTCCTCTGTAAATGGGGCAATCGCAATATAATATACAAATATTACAAGTAATTTTAAAAAATAATTATATTAGATACGTGAAAACAGAATTTTCACTCTAACTTAACTCATTAAAACATCAGGAAAATGGAACACTATGCAGCTGTAAGAAAGAGAGATCTCTTATCCTTTGAGACAACATGGAGGGACCTGGAGAGTATATGCTGAGCGAAATAAGCCAGTCAGAGAAAGGCACATACCACATCATCTCACTTACTTGTGGAATATAATGAACAAAATAAGCTGATGAGCAAAACAGACCCAGAGACACAGAAAGGAGTACAGTTCAGACAGAGAAACCTCAGAGGAGGGGTGTGGGGAGGGGAGGGTTAAGATAAACCAAAGAACTTACATGCACGTATGCATAACCAATGGACATAGACAACAGTGCTGGGAGGGGCAGGATGGGGAAGAGGGTGTCTAGGGATGAAAAAGGAGAAACATTTGTAACAAAAATAAATTAATAAAAATTGCAACAACAAAAAAAAGAGGCACAAATAATAGAACAAGAGAAATAACTGTAGAAAAATAGGCTGAATAATAGATAGGGTTAGTGTACAAAATACAAAGAGGAAAATAGAGGTAAAAAAAAAAATTAGGTTTGGAGTTTTCCAGTGGCTAAAATAAAGGGGTAAACACAGTAAGTTATGAGAATGAATCTAATGATATTCACTAAAAAAGAACACCATTTCTGGTTTGTTTGTTTTGATACCTGAGAGAAATGTCTTTTTTTAAAAGGGTATGTGGTGTGATGGATTGAACTACGTCCAGAGCAATATTTTTTAATAAGTCTAATGGTGAGTTTCATAAGGCTGCTTCTTAAAATGACCTTCAATACAAAAGGTGGTTCAATATCCAAGCAAAGCTAAAGAAAGGCACCGTTTTAGGGGCCCGTGCATTCTGGTACCAGTGCTCGGTTAACTGTGCATGGCACACGTGAAGGTTAAGAGCACAGGCTCTGGAAACAAATTGCCAAAGTTTGGAACTCAACCTTGTCACTGCCTGGCTATGTGTCATTGAATAAATTATCTCTCTGGTTTGGTGTAGTTATCTATTAAGTAGGGATATTTATATAATCTAGCTCATAGGTATTTTTCCCGAGGATTAAATTAGCTGATATGTGTAAAGGGCTGAAAATAGCACCTTAGCACAAAGCTTAAGTTATTATTAATCAAAGGAAAAAGTGTACAATACCTAGAAGGAAGATGACACACAATTTAAGACCCTCACAATGAATACCATTTCCTGCTGTGGCACTTCTGACCACAATTAGGAGGTGAGAGTTTGAGACTATACTTTCTGACAAGAAACTAGCCTGCAGAAATTCTATATGGCTGATTAAAAGAGGAAACATACGCCCTGATAATCAACCAAGTAAAAGGCTAGATTGACATGTGTAACATAAGATTGGGAGCCCGACTGAAACATGGTGAATGGAAGGCCATCCCGCCACCGTGAGCATGCAGGGCCACCTGTGCAGGAATCCAAACGTTTCTCAGGAAGGAGTTCTGGGTCCACAAAGATACACATAGATCTCCAAGGGCCTGAACTCTGTGCAATAGTCGGAGATGGGCTGAAATACTTTGTTTGGAGAATTTTCAATATGAGTGTAAATACTTAACCATCCTGACCATATATCTCAACAAGAAACTAGAAAATATTTTAAGTGTTTGTAAATTCCTAATGAACCCTGAAAAGTAAACTGGATTCAGCTATACTACCTATAGATAACTGAGTTTTGGTTTGCTATATAGAGCAGTAAGATACAAGTCAATCAAGTATTTGAAAATCATGGTTTCAGCATTTGAGAAGTAATAAAAGTTCATTTTTTTGAAGTCATTAGTATCAGTGAATTATTGAGACCAATCCTCATTTATAAGGAAAAATGCCTTATATATAAATACAAAAAATAATGAGACTTTTCTTTTTTGTTTTGAACAAAAATTAACCTGATAATATATTATTTTCCTTAACTGTTTACCATTTATTTTGACTACTATGCATTATAAAACAAAAGAGATGTATTAATAAAATATGTCAAATAATTTTAAAAACATCAGGAAAAATAGCATAGTAAATATTTATAGATAATCTTATAGAAATGATGCATCCAATGTGGTGATTTTGATCTCTAAATTTCTAAGATGTGTAAAATCAGAGCTCATGTCAAATAAGACTTCCTTAATATAATGTCTAATTGCAACAAAGGCTTAAAAATAAGCTCTAAATTTTTTTGTCAAAACTGAAATATCCATAAATGTATGGGAAGATGTTTGTGTGTGTGGACTGCACAACACACACCTGATAGCAATCTAAATGTATAACTTCAAAAAAGTGGTACAAAAAAGACAGGATTAACAGTGTTTACACCATTTCTGAGTCTACCAATTTTGAATATATTTAACCATTTCAACCCCTTGAATGATAAGCAAGCATGATATTATGCCTACGTTGACTGGTTTTTGTATTAAGCTGTATAAATGTCACCACAACTTGTAATGTGTTATTATTCTTCACCCTGCTGTATACATGGGACACTGTGCTACACCCTCACGTGCCATGTTGTCTTGTCCCTACAGAGCTGCCTTGACTGGATGTGAAACCTTATCACACACCATGATCGGCAAATTGTCCTGTAGAGTTCAGGCAAGTCTCCAACTGTCAAACATTTCAATGAGATTCCGAGTTGATCTCTTAGGAAAAACTTTAATTAACTTCCTCTGTCTTACCTGATAAAATCTTTCAAATTACTGGCACAGCTATTTGGGTCATTGCTTACTATGCGATTAATTCAATCAGAAGTGAAAAAAGATATTCGTCGTTGGTCTATGGGATACATAGTTTTGGATTTAGTCATTTAAGAAGTATGTTGAGGATTTATTATATTTTACATTTTCTAAACGTCTATGGTGTGCATATACACCAAATACTGGACTCTGCTCTCTAAAAACTACAAGGAAATCCCTATACACATTTAATACTCTTTCAATCATATTTTCAATTTAATATTTTCACACTGAAACTTTTCTAGTGTTATTTTCCATACAATAAAATTTTATCATTCTCTTCCCTGTTATTAAAGCTTCCCTAAAATATATATCTATAGATATCTGCCATGTTTTACAATTTTTAAGTTGTTAGAAAGAAAGGGGTCTATATGGTTAGCAAAAATCTCTTCATTTCCAAAAACTAAAGGGAGAATGATGGGTGTTCAAAAGTCTCATTTTCTACAGCCATTTCATTAGACACATTTAAAAATACAGTGAATAAAATACTTACTCATCTATTTGACAAACACACATCTCCACCTCTTTCAGGGTGGTCTGCAGTTTGCCCAGCAGTTTCAGATAGATGTCTTGAGTTTCTAAGTCTTCTTCTTTTAACAAATACCGAAGCCCGTGCCCGTCCTGCTGTGCCAGAGACAAGCCTGAAGGGGCCGCCATGGTTGTGATTGTGTGCTGAATGTACACCATAGGGTTCAGTTTCCCTGGGGAGGTAGTCATTCCATAGTAATAGTTACTACTATGAACTTACAGGAACAATCCAGTGCAATTCATTTTAGAGGCCCAAGCTTACATAAAATAAAATGCCACCACAATGCCAAATTTAAATCAGGAATTAAAACTTATGGGGAACTGTGATTCAAGGAATAGAGTTTGATTCCACATCCTACTGTGATGGTCAAAATTACATTATGCCTCTGTATTTTTCTCATAGTTATAGGACCATTTCAGATTAACTGTTTTTCCCAGCAAGATGAGTTGTGCCTATCATGTGTAAGAAAGGCAAAGACAGTCATTCTTCTTAAAGGAAAAATAATAAATAATAAAACTGCATACTGCATTTTCATTCTATAAATGCCTATACATAATTATCCAAACGATTATAGGGGGGAATCTTTCTTTACAAAAGTTCAGACTTGTTTACACACCAGGAACCTATCCAACGGTAGGAATGTGGGAACAGTTCCGATTGCTTAAATTACTTTCCATGGTTTGACCAAGTTTCAAAGGCGAACATACCTTGCTCAGATCTGTTTTCTTTGTCTTGAGCATTATGCTTCCTACTACTATCCAACTGAACACCAAATGCGCTCCCCAGGGAGGTCGATGTTTTGGGGTAAGAAACTTCCATCACATTGACATGGCAGTTGGTAGGGCAGAAATCACTGCTGTGCAGTGGGGATATTTTAGGTTTGGCTTGTTTAAAGGTGGGCCAGGCTCTGTTCTTTAGTACACGAGAAAACTGTAAATGAAAAAGGAAATAAACAGCAGTGAACACACGGTGGTAACTCAAACATTTCGCGTCCATCATCTATAGCAAAATCAAAAGATAATTAAATCACGTCAACTGGAACAAGTGAAATCAATGATAAGTTGTTAGAATTTAAATTGTTATTTTAAAATCCGTAATAAAGCAAAGCAATAGAGGCAGCAAATGCATATAATTCCTTTGAAACTCTGATCACGAGGTAGGTGCTAAAAAAGATTAACTTAAGTGACCCTAGGACTCAAATCCAGAGACTCCTAACAGTTGAGAGTCTGACAGAGAAACAGTGTCCTAGGACACCAATATAGGGTCTCGATTTTCAAAGTGAGGCAAGATGGCAGAATAGGGCAGCCATCAAGTCAAGAGTAAAAGAAGATGGGATTATTCCAAACACTGTCAGCAAGCCAATCCAAACCTGAGTCTGTAAGCAGGTTAGACAGCAAGGTGTGGTGCTATTGACCCGGAATGGCAGGATGACATACAGAACTGATTGCATTTCCCACACCTTTTGCGGGTCACTGCTGAGCACTTGGGTCAGGATCAGCCTGAGGACCGGTGTTTTTACACCACTGAGAATGAAGCAATGCTCAAAGGATTTACATGACTTCCAAGGATAGCCACTCCACTGCTTTAAACTTTGCAATTCAAATTTATCCAATCCTTGCCATAGTCGCTACAGCTGCCTGAAGTCTAACGGTACCTAACTTATTTATACTTCCCTTGGGCTCCTAGTCTTCACTCTGTTCCTCTCAAACACCATCTACTCACTCTTTGTACACACCAGTCAGAGTGCCTAGGACGTTCTTCTTCCCTCATTGCCAAACTTACTCCTATGCATTTTAAGTCTATGGACTCATCAAGAGGCCTTTCTGAGCCCTGGTCTAGATTCAGTGTCCATGGGTATGTGCTAGATTATAGCACACTCTACCTCGCCTTATAATTGCGAATACTTTTCTTATCTCTATCTGCCATAGCAGATGATAAACTCCATGAGGGTAATGCTGGTGTCTGTCTTGTGCACCATAAACAGGTAACTCAGAGAACTGAAGTGGAATCTAGTTTCTAAAACAAAGGACCAGGAGCCACCAGCTACCTGCTTTACTCATGCCATCTCAATTCCTGCTGACCCTGGGCAGGCCACTGTCTTTTTATCATTCTTAGTAAAATAAGGGATATGGATTAAATCAGCCCTATTCTCTCTTATTGACTGAAAACTATAAGCAGATCCTATCAATTTATTTTACTAGTAGAGTAGCAATTTGGGCACTGATAAGTATCAAAATTAAGACTGTTTACTATCTAACTTTTGTAGGTTAAGTTCGAGAAAAAAAGATGTGATATCAAAAATCTTGAAAATATAAGCTCACCATTAGAACATGAACTGTCTTATGGGTATATTAAACTCTGTCTTCATGTTTAACATACATATAATCATATGTCAGAAGCTATATAGCTAAGCGAAGGTCTAGCACATGGTAGGATCTAAATTGAAATGGATTGAAGTGCAAGAAACTATTAACATCATTATCAACAAGTTTAATGACAATGCAAACTTTCACTCAGAAGTTCTTTTCTACTGTAGTTGCACAACCAAAATCTCAGATAAATTTCCTATGGCACACAGAAAGGCACAGAAATCAATTTTATAATATCAATATTATGTCACAGCATCTACCATAGTAGGCAGTTATGTTTCTCTTGCCTTCTTTCATTTTAACCAATATCCAGTCATTCAACAATATGAAGAGAGGCATCTATTTCAGGTCCTGTGTTAAATGCTGGAAATACAGCCCACGCCCTCACGGTTTTCCTGGTCTAGTAGGAGAAACAGGTAAAAACAATATAATAGGATGGTTACAGAAAACAATTATTTTATTACAGATACAATGATGACAGTGGATAAACTTCGACAAAATATAGGTCATTGGTGACCTCAAAAAGAGCCATTTCAGTTACACAGAGAGGACCAGAGCCCAACTTGGCTGAGTTGAGAAGGAAAGGGAGGGAGACTAGGTATGGAGAGCCCATATAGGTAGCTCTTTTTTAAAGATAAAGGTCAAAGAAATGAAACAGGATGTAGAGAGGAGTACGGGGGTCAAGGGAAATATTTATTTGTAAATATAGATGATAGTAAGGCATGTTTGTATACTGACAGAAATAACTAATTCTTGGAAATGGAACTTTAGGGTTTTTGCTAGTTAATTCATGAATTATCAACCATAACAACACATTAAATCCAGTTATAGTGATTTGACTAAAAGACAAGTAATACAAAGGTAAGCTGTTATTTTGCAGATAGTCACCCATCTCAATGAAGTGTAAAATCCCACTGATAGGGAGTCAGAAACATTTTATATTAGGTAATGGGGACATGGGGAGAAATTTTACCCACAATTTTTCCAATCCATAAATCAGCTTGAGGATTAAATGGTATTAATAACTAAGTGGAATATTCAAAGTGAGACTGATTTCTACCTGCAATACTTTTGTGTAAACAGGAACTATCTCTTGAAAGCTCATGAAATATGTATATGGAGGAAGGATGACTAATAGCCAAAATAAGCCCAATTATAAAAATATTCTAAAACAGAAGACTAAATCTAGAATTAAAAAGCGTTCTAAGGACAATTTAGGGTGAAAATGTTCCTCCAAAGTGCCCAGTTTGACACCTGACTTGCCCACGCAGCCTCCTGAGAATAAGGCCTGGGAAGGCTTCATCCAGGGCTCCAGTAAGGTCCGAACTTCTCTCACACATGGGCCGAACAGCACCGATGGCCTGTACAACTGGCCAGGACATCAATTATGATGGCAGCGGCCTGGCTCCAGAAACGACAGAAATCAACTGCTTTTTATTTTTAAAATCTAAAACTTTCAGAGTCAAAATAAAGGCAAGGTATCCTCTTTGAGATTTTAGTTTCTATGGATACATTTTATTTTACAGAAAGAGGGGTGTTTGAAGCCTTCATCTAAAAGAAAAAATATGTTGCTAATAATACTATAAAAGTCAATGTGTGGAAGTGAAACATATACACTTACAAATGTTATTGTTACTACTGATGTGCGTTTGATATGCAAATGGGGCTAACTTTACATAACCTAGTAAGGCTATTACCTTTGGTATCTAAATTTTGTTCAAATAAAAAAGATCCTTGAAATATTTTCTTGCTAATCTGGTTTTTCTGTCTGGCGGGAAAGAGAGCCAATTGTTCTAAATATGTTATGGTCAAGAAGGGATGGTGAAAAAAATAGCTTTTTTAAAAAAAGTTCTAGTTGACAATAGTTTCTTTTTATTTCTATATTAAAAAGAAAAATGTGAGAGCACCCCATAGAATTAGTCTTCCACTTGCTAGCTATGTGACATTAAGAAATTTATCAGTCTCCTGAAGAAAGAAGCTAGGGTGGTCAGCGTATTCAGTACGCATGAATTTGAAGTTCAAATAATAATGTACATACAAGAACTTTCCAAAATTCATTATTATCTCAATCATCTAAAATCATTGCCCATTAGCCTCTCCATTTCTGCTTTAAAAGCTTCCCAAGCTCCCAGTTACTCCTGAGAAAACGTAAGAAAGATGTGTTTTCATCTTTTTACTCAGAATGATGTGTCTGAGAATCCCCAACATTTGTGGGGGAAACCCTACACTTTATGCTTCTAATCCCCAACATATTCTCTTCAGTTTATCACAAACCATATTTTTGTTGGAAACCAGGGAATAAGACCTTCTTCATCCATCATAGCCAGTTCATCGTAAAGCTGTATATGTTTCACCTCCTACACATAGCTGGAGCAGACCCTCTCTCCAGCCCAGTGCTTCTGTAAAGTCAAAGTCACCGTCACTGGCACACTTCACAAACAAATCTGATTATTATGCACTCCAGGTATCACTGGAAAAATCAGATTTTTTTTCAGTTTACTCTTTTAATTGCATCCAACTCAAGTCCTCCTTCCTAGTCCAGGCAGTAAGCCAATTCCTCATCGATAAGATCAGCGTCAGGTCTCCATCTCTGCCTTCACGTACGATGTCCCCCTTTACTGGAGGGTCATCTCTCCTCCTCGTCACTGAACCTGTCCACCTAGCAGCGAGCATTTTCTGACTTTCTGATACACAATAACTCTTCCTTTTCTGAAATGTTATTGCCTTGTAGTCTGACCCATACGTTTTAGCACATAAGCTGTGTAGCTCAGTGTAAACACAGGTAAACAAACAGCAACCAGCTCTAGCATAAAAGGCGATGAAGTTTAGATTCCACCGCCGTTCCTAGCTGTGTCCCTTTGGGAAGTTATGTGACCACTCTGGGCTTTAGACACTCAATGAAATGAATAATGTGTCTCATATCACAGTATTGGTAAGATTATATAACATAAACAAACTGTAAATATCTCATGCAATGCCTGACATCTGTACAGAATTCCACAAATTGCTGTGTGCTACTTAACTCCAGGGAACACCCTCATATACATCAGGGAGTAAAGTGTCAGCACCCCCAGCCACTCACAGTGGCACCTCCTGGTAGGCTAAGTAGTCGGTGTTATTATTACTTACTTCATGTATTTTGACCTTTCTTCCCAAGCAGACTGTAAGAGTGGGATGGCAGGCATCCTCAAGTAAATGTCTTAAGGCCTGTTGCCTACATAAAAGGTAGACATTTAGTAAATATTTCCCTATTCTTCCTGCCCCATCTTGCAACACTTTGGTTTTTTTAGAGTTTTGGCCCTAAAAATATCTGTCACATAAAATAGATTGCTGCTTCTTTTGCATGGAAATGTTTAGGGGTACTGTCCTGCCATTCCCTGGTGTCACCTCTTTGAAATCCAGTGTGAGAGATTTCTTTTAGAACTCAGTCCAAGGAAAGCTTTGCTCCTCTTAAGAAACATGTATATGTCACAGGAATGATGATAAATATGGAATAGACTGTGTTTCCTTTTTTATTTTGGCCATCAGGAAGCTGAAGCCTAAATATAATATTCTACTTTAGTAACTAAATAGTCTTAGGACCTGCTCACCTATGACCCTTTTCCCCTGGTGGTCTATACTATCTATTCTAATATAGCTTTACCTATACAGTTACCTCCTAATTCTTCTACAGGATTTATTGTCTCCTTCTTCCTTTTAGTAATAAAATGTCCTGAGTTTCAGTTGAGCACATGATGCCCAGGGTTCATGGATTGCCAGTCTCCTTTTCACTAAAGGACTCACAGGATGCAAACGGGGTGATGTGGATAATGTCTGGGTCACACCCTCTTTCCTCTCCTCTTCCTCTTTTCCCTTCTGGGGAGCTTTGGCTTCCATGGTGGTGGAAGAGGCAGCATCTTAGAGAGCGAGCGAGCTTCGGAAGGATCCCTAGGAGATGCTCAGGCCCCGCTCCACTGGATTCTGCCAGACTGGGCTTCCAAACAAGTGAGAAATAACTTTCTGCCTTGTTTTAACCTGTATTGTTTCTGTCCTTCGAAACCCTACCTAATCAGTCCTGATCCTAATGTTCTGTTTGTATTTACATAGTGTCCCTATTTCCATGTATATTCCTGGAAGCTACTTCCACTGTTTTTGTTGTATGAAAGTACAGAGAAAGTTTTTAAAAGGGAAAGGAAATGGGCACATACCCAGTGATAAGTTTGACAACCAGAATCTGCCCAAACTCCCACCACACCTTACACAGACCCACCTCTGAAGAGAAATGGTTCTCTTTACAAAATGTGTGCAAAGAGGGAATACTATTTTGCAATGGTTCAGAGCTGTAAATTTTACTTCCAAGCATTGTCACATTTTATAGAGACAGGAGAAGCAACAAGAAAACCTTCTGTCCTTCAACTTCACGAAGGCACAGGCACAGAATCTTTCCCAAATTCCCACAGATGAACTGAACTCAGCAATCATGGAAAGAGGGTTAGCAGATGTGAAAGGGAAGCTGTGATCTTGAACTTCATTTTCTTCATGTGCATGGGCTTACAAAAAATTACCATAGCAATACAAATTCAGCTGAATAAGGCAAACATGGTAGGACATGCTAAAAAAAACTTAGCGATCCCTCTTCCCCTTGTTCCACTCCACCTAAGGAAACCAAGGTTGATGACCTTCTTGATGACCTTCATATCCATCCACCCATGTCCCTCCTCTCTCACAGACACATTGGACATGCATGGGCTTATCTTTTACTTACTATATCCAGAACATAAGACACGTGGAGTTAACTCATATTCATAAACTTAGAGATAAATTATATTTCCTAGAATGGCTGTATCAAATGTTAAGCAACCAGCCTCATTTTGAGAGAAGTGATTTAATCAGCTATTTTCCTATTATAAATAGGAAAAAAATGAAAACCTACTGTTGTTTTGGAGATCAATTTCTGTTCATTCTACCTCCAGAATACAGGGGTGGAAAAACATATGTTTGAGGTTGTTTGTATGGAAAAAGACAGACAGGTTATGATTATTACAATAGCGTTATTAACTCTGCTTCACATGCTCATGACTGTAAACCTACTTTTGCCCTCCCCTGTATATTCTGAAATCCATCTAATTTTCTCAGTCTCCTCATCTTCACCATAGCCCAAGCTATCATCAATTTGAAATCTAAAAGCTTCTAAGTGTTTGTCATTGATGTTAAGAAGAAAATCAAAGCTCCTTTCAAATTTCCAAAAGGAACAGAGCTTCACAAGTCCTCATATGGGTCCCTGCCTAAGCCTCAGACCTTGCGCCTGGCCACGCCCCCTTCCACACTGGCCTCTTTTGGCTGGGGGAGGGGACGGCCTCCGTACCAGCTGCTCCTACCTGGATGCTTCCCTACTCCAGTTCAAATGAAGAGTTCAACTTGTCATTCAGTACAAGCTTTCTCAAGGAGGGCTTCTCTAGCCCCCCAGTCTAAAGTCACCATCCAGACACTTCCTACCATAGCTCCCTACTTTGATTTCCTCATAACTCTGTTCAATATTTGATCTCCCCCTTTGAAGGTATTTATTTACTTCTCTGCTGCATCCCCACTCAAACATAAGTACAATGAGAGAGAAGATCTCTCTTTTGCACCATATTCCTGAGCCCAAGAAGAGCGCTTAGCATATAAAGGTGCTCAATAAAATATGTCAAATTAAAGGAAACAATCGATCAATTTAAAACAGCCCATGTTCTGTGTACTTTGATTAAGGGCTCTGTGCCCTCTGTTGAGAAAAGAAAAAGAAGAAGTATAGTGCAATTTTAAAGCCTCATTATTACATTTGGAAAATGTGGAATAATGACCTAGCTTACAGGTTTGCAAAGATTAAATGAGGTAATCGGTTTACAGACATTTTAAAAATTATAAAATGTTATATAAATGTTATTTCAATAGATGGGTACACAAATAAGTCATAAAATATCAGGATATTTAACATTTAAATAATAATTTAAATAATAATTACATGCAAAATATATACATAGAACTTTTACCTTTTTGTAACTGGATATTCTCTGACATATGTGTTCAACTTTTTCACTGCAAATGGCACTAAATTTACTCTGAAGTTCAGCAGGAATCACTTCGTTTAAAGAGTTAAGGCTGGTGCAGTTTTGTACAAAATGATCATCACTTTTAGCCAGGGCTTCAAGAATCTGTAGTGACACACACATACACATGCACACGCACACACACACACACACACACACACACACAAAACGCAAAACAGAACAAGAAAATAAAACCTTCAAAATTAGCCAAATAAAATGTTCACAATTCCACAACACAAGTGACTTTCCCGTGCTCTTCTTGCAGCTGCCTGGGATTTCTGTGTTCAGTAAACCCTGGCGGTGGGGATGGGCTGTGTGTCTGGGGTCTCATGCTTTGCCTTCTGCTGGCTATAAAAGGCTTCCTTAAGGAGGTAAGTGGACTTCTAAGACGCCTTGCTGGATAAATCAGTACACCAATGTGGGAACACAATGTCTATATGTTACTCAGAACATTTTTTTTCTTCTTCTCAGTTTTATAGAACAACAAAAACTAAGGAAAACCAATAGAATAACCTCCTTACTTGTCCAGTACAGAGAGTGCATTTAACAAATGTTTGCTGAATAATGAATAAATGAGAAGTAAAGTAACTATCAATGTTTTCTGTGGTGTGGTGTCTGAGCTCTATCTGACAACAACATCAGATAAAAGCATCCTATTATGCATTAGTAAATGCTTTGGCTATTTGAATCAATGGTGAGGTTGTGGGTGTGTGGGTGTGTGGGTGTGTGGGTGTGTGGGTAATACCAATGCATACACAACCTGGATCACTGAGAATTTCCAATAAATTGAGAATTATTTATGTGTCATATTTATATGTTGCATTTTTCATTGTTCAAAGTTCACAAGGATTGATTACACCCTTAACTAACAATTTTTAAATATTTTGTGACAAATGTACAGAACTCCCTCACCACGTCCACTTCCCTGTCTTGCAGAATATGGAGTGTGAGTTATTTATGTAATCCATTAGTTATTATGTAGTGTGAGTTACCAGTCTAGAAATTTGAGCTCCTTTTATCATCTTTGACTTTCTTTTTTCTTGTATGAAATATAAATACTTATGATTACTAACTTCTACAGTTGCCATTTATAAAATAATCCATTTAATTTTGCAAATTTTAAATAGTTAGAAAATGAGATAAAATAATTACAATAAACCCCCTTTAACAGTATAATGCATTTGGAAGGGGTTGTATTTTTAAAATATAGATTCTATATCAATAAATACATATAGGGGTAAATGTCACTAGAATGATGAGGTTTTTTAAAAGTTGGCTTTCAGAATACAAAACAAAAATAATTATTTTTGAAATACTGCATTTATATTTGTATAACTATTTCCTCCTACTAAAATTTTTAAAAAATACATGCTATAAATGTTTTACGTTTATCTCAACTACACATATACAGGGTGTTTGTAGATTCTATTACATTTTGAAAATAAAATTTATTTTAATAAATACTGTCTTTATAATTATTCAAAGTTGTGTATACATTTTTGGGACATCCTATATAAAATAAGAATTGACATGAAGAAATAAAAGCAGTGAAGCTAAATGTCATATTACTTGCTTGTAATACCTGGATCCTCACAGGGTGATATAAAAGCAGAATGAACATTAAAGTTCTAACCTGTGGAGGGTCCCGTAGGAGTGTGATCGATTTCCCCTGCGGAAGGATCATGAAAAGCAGGCACAGGATCACCTCTTACTTCCCACGGTATTTATCCATTTGGATGAAGACTCCTTCCTCCCTCCCTATCTTGCTACAGTCTGAGGATTAAGGGCAATATCCTTCCCTACCAGAAATTATATAAATGTCTGAGGATCTATTCGTAAATAATCTCTAAGCTTTGTTGAAAGTTTATGAGACAAATTTGAGAATTGCAAAATTTGACTTTTCTTGTATTTCATGACTTCAAATACTCTTCAGAGCATTATGTACATAAAAAAAAAATAATAAAAAAAAAAAGCACCACCTATCTGAAATGTGTACGTGATGCTGAATTATGAACATAGCAAACTTACTAAATGCAGAGAAGACTCTGCCAAATCAACTAGCACTCCCCTGGACTACAGTCCCACCTAACTTAACACTGTCTCCCAAAAGTATCAATAAAAAAGAAGACTGGATACATACTGAGTAATGGGGGGGAATGAAGTTGAATGGGCTGGCAGCTGAAACACACACAGCTATTTATACTTTTTAAGGTGGGGGTTGGGGAGGGTTTCAGTTGCTTTATTTAGAACACAACCCCTTACCTTGGGATCACCCTTACCTTGGGATCACCCTTACCTGGGATCACCCTTACCTTGGCAGTGAGGCTGAAGAAGCCTTTGGGCTCGATCATCTTCTCCACCACGTTGCACTTGATCCCAGCGGTGCTGTCGTACTCGTACACGACCCCATACTCCAGGTGCACGTTATCCACCGTCAGACTCACGTGCTCCTTCTTCCCGTCGATGATGGCCATGGTGTTGAACTTGTCAATTACCTCTGGAAAAAAGACAGTTTTAATTCAGCACATGTATGAAGGGTTTGTTAGTTTTTTCGAATAATTTGAGTCTCTGAATAATTTTAAAGAGCTCTTTAAAGGATGGCTAAATCTGATGTGCTAAATGAAGCATGTATCCTTGTTAACGTTTTTTAAAAGAAGAAAATTTTCTAGAAATATGCTTGAGTGATCCAAATCTCACCATTCTAACATGACGGGTCTTATCTTTGCATATCCATTTTAATCTATGGGCCACATGTACGCCTATTTACACCGACATAAACATTATACACATGATTTTATATTTTTTCATTAAAAGCATGCATAAAGTCAGCAGTCTTAAAAGTGCCTTAAGCATTGGACGAACATTTTCTGAAAGCAGAAAAAAATACATAAAGCCATATTGAAGAGGCAGAAAGGAGATGCAATAATCATTTTTTTCAGCTCACAGGGTGCCTGACTTCTCCTAAAGAGCATCTTTCAGAGATGGCTCATTGAGAACATTTGTCATCATTCACTATAATAACATTTTCCATCTGGAACATCTTCTTATAGGTTTTGGCCTATAATCAGTCAGCTGGTAAAAAAAAAGAAAAAAGAAAGAAAAAACAAAACAAAAGCCTAAAATGTCAAGTAAGAAACACTGAGAAACCTAACAGTAAATATTAAATAAGCAAAAATAGAATATTAGTTTAAATAATTAAATACTAGAATAGTGGAAACAGCAAATGTAAAATAGGCAAAAGCAGAAAAAAAATGGTTTACCTTAAAATTATTAAGTCCAAAATATCTATAAATCAATTTCCAGAGCACCTCATCCACCCACATGCCTTTCACTGGAGAGCAATGATGATTAGCAGAAACTAACTCTAAACGAGAAATAAAGGTCTCAAGATGAGGTCCTGAGAGTCATCCTAGTTAAAGTAGAGAGTTGATTTACTATGCCAGCTTGCTACTCCAATGAGGTTGAGTATTTCAGATACTGTCCATGAACTGAGTGGCTTCTCCCAAGTGGAGGAACTTCCCTCCCACAGAAGCAGTGTGTATAAGGAATTCTCCACCTATGCTGGTTTGGAAGAAACCAAAACTACAATAAAATTTTAGAGACACCTACCAAATATATGAGTGAAAAGGTACCAGGAAAATGGAAGAGAGGATTCAAGGACTTCTGTGAAAAACTTTTGAAACAGGGATTCAAGGCACGTGTCAAATGCAAATACAAATGCCTCGCCCCTTCACCCTTGGCAAACAAGCCACTGGACACAGCATCTGCTGGTTTGCTTCACTGAGTGAGAAAAAGATAGGAGTCCTTATCAAAAGGTCTCTCTTTCCCTCCTGTTGGTTTGTCTCTTTCATTACTGTCAGTGCCACAATACAGTACAAGTTACTGGAATCAAGAAATTATTTTCAAAGGAACTATGGGCTTTCTAAACTGGGGCTTCTCAAATATTAGTGTGTATCCAGGTCAGATCTCATTAACATGGAGACTCTGAGCCAGAGATCTGGGGTTGGGCTGAGACTCTGCATCTCTCTCTTGCTCCAGGTGCTGCTGCTGGTCTGCAAACCGCATTAGAGTTGAAAGATCTATACAATATCTAAACTCAAAACAAGGAGACACGTTAGAACCAGGGTTCGAATCTTCATTTGACTACATACATGCTTGGGCAACTCAACCTCAGTTTCTTCTATAAAATAAGAATGATGATAATTATACCTTATGAGATTTTCTGTTACGATGACTTTATGAGCTAATCCATGTAAAGAACTTAATAAAGAGACTAGCAAAGTGCAGTAGCTATTACATGTTAGCTATAAGCTATTGCTACTTATGCATTTCACATGACATCTATTGGTGACAATGACTTAAGTGGCTTGAATGGGGGAATGGGCAAAAAGGTGAAGGGGATTAAGAGGTACAAACTTATAAATAAATCATGGGGATATAATGTACAGCATAGGGAATACAATCAATAATATTCTAATAACTTTATACAGTGATAGACGGTTATTAGACTTCTTATGGTGATCATGCCATAAGGTATATAAATGTCAAATCACTACATTGCAGATTTGAAACTAATATAATATTGTATGTTAACTGTAATTTTAAAAAGCTTTAGCCCCGGCCCATGTGGTTCAGTTGGTTGGACATTGTCCCGTGCACCGTGCTGGGTCAATTCATTCCCCGTGCACTTGCCAGGGTTGCTGGCTTGATCCTGGTCGGAGGTGTGCAGGAGGCAGCCAATCGATGTTCCACTTTCTCTCTCTCCCCCCCTTTCCCTCTCTCTAAAAATCAATTTAAACACCTTTAAAATAAAAAGAGCTTCATATTGCAGGATGAAAAAAAATAGTGGCTTGACTATATAAGATTTTCAATAATTGGGACTAGGCACAGGCACATTGAAAAAAGAATACTATGAACAAAATAGGGAGGAAAAAAGGAACCCACCTTCTACTTTGCAGTCAAAAGCATCCCCTGCTTCATCTCCAGGGGGTTTGGTGTTAGACTTTTGAAGGTCTTCTTGAGCACTCTCAAGGCTGTTATAAACCCACTGTATGGAATCTTGCTGGAAATGAGAAAGGGAAAAAACCTCAGAGGTGTTAGTGCTTCCTACAATGTAAATCCATTTCATTAACCTGCTTCAGAAGGAGAGCTGACCATCTTATTTTTTCTTCCAGTTTGTTTAAAATTAGAAAAAATTGAAAAAGAAAGAAAATCAACATCAGAATCTAATGAATATCAATGACAACTATTATTATTGTTTAACAGATTGACCTTTTAAAGCTTAAAATTTTATCTCTCAAAGATATGTTTTTAAGTAAGATATATTTCCCAAATGTCTTACTTAAATGCCTCAAGTACATCTTAAAATAAATTCTAAATTACATTTTTAATAAATAAATGTTAGATTAACAGTTTGCCAAAGAATCAATCATCTATAATTGTACAAACCATTTCAATGCTCTCCTAACAGTCATATATATTTTAATACACTGTAATACATGTATTGCTTTTTAAATTAAAACAAGAAAAAAAACTTGGACGATGTCTTTCATTGCATTGGGTTCTCAAGTGATGTAACAATCTTTTAACCCTCCCATGTCATAAGTAATCCTATGTTTTTAATTAAAATAGCAGTTCCAGTCTTGTTTAGATCAATGAGAGATAAAAATGTTCACCAAGTAGATTACTTTCAGGGTTGCATTACTTTAAGTTTATACTTTTCCTAGGTAAGATGATAAATTGAATCGGGCTACTGAAGTGTGATCTAATTTGTATTGTCTATTTTTCTCTTGTATTATTAACTTCACAGTTGTATTTAATTATTACATTGCTATGCATCATTAAAATGCCAGGTAACATCTGATCATTCAAATATATCTTGGAAACCTGTCGTGGCCTCCAATGACCCATATTCCCCAGTATCTGCACCTTTGTGTATTCCTTCCCACACTGACATTGGGCTTGGTCATGTGATCTGATTTTTCCAAAGGGATATTAGCAAGCATGCTGTAAATAGAGAGTTGATCAATTGTAATATCCCCACTCGAAATCCAGACACCATGCAAAAAGGAAAACCCTGCTAAAGACCAGAAAGGGAGGCCACAAGAGGTCACCAGCTGTGGAAATGCAGTGCCGGCTCAGTCCTGGAACGATGCACACCTGCCACACCCAATCAACCCAAAGAATCAGGAAAAATTATCAGTCACTACTGTCACAAGCCACCAAGTGGTGGGACAGTCTGCTCTGTGGCAGTGGATACCTGACAGAGCATGTTATTCATTTAGTACAGTTTTCTGTCCATTTATTGTTTTTCTTAATCCAAGAAGGTAGGCAGGGACAATAAAAAGGAATAAGACTGAAATTAATTTGGCTACTTATTAAAATTCTGTTAGAAGGGGAAAGATTTGATCATTTCAGAAGTGTCCTTTTAAAAAATCAATTCAATAATACAGTTCAATAAATATTTATTAAACTACTTACTATCAACCAGAATAACCTGTGGATTCTAATTTGCTATGCTACTTTGACCTTATTAGTAAGCAAAATTGATGAGCTATTTTCTTGTATGTTCACTATTTTGCAGGGTGTCAGGTTTAAACTATGAGAAAATAGCCATTCATCATTCTGGTTTGGACATAAAGTCAGATTCTCTAATCCAAAAAACAGTACTTCTCTGTACATGACAGAAGAAATACAAAGCCTCTCCTTTGAAGTTTTTGCATTTAAAGTCCTTTTGCATTTAGTTGATTAAGTTGAATTTTCTCTTTTAGTCCAATACTCACTTGTGTCTCATGAGATAATCAGCTTTGTTTATAAATTAGAATTAGAATTTTATTTTCCTATGACACTTGAAATTTGGATTAGAGAATAGTGCTGAAATTTTTAAATAATAACAAGTATATTTTGGTGTTTTCTTTTCAGAATTAAATTCCATTGTCCAAATAAATATATCAAACACTTAACTGCAGACCCCCAAAACCCACAAATTTTTGTTTTGCACAAAATTCTAATACTAAACATTTTAAGTATGTATAATTCATATATACAGACACATGATGACCAGTCTATATTCTAAAGCAATCACTAGGGTCAAGAAAACAGCTTAAACCTTTGGATTTCAATTTGATAAATTAAAAAACTCAAATCACTATGAAAAAAAAAATGCCCCAGAGCACTTTTTAAACAAGTGATAATACTGCAGCAATAAAATGTAACCATGGAAGGATAATCGATTATAACTAATTATGCTGATAAAGCAATCATGATGAGAATTACAAGGCTGTGCTTAAATGCAAACATGGATCTGGAAACCACAAACATCTCTGGCACATCCTATGTTGTCCCTGGGCTTTCTATGCTAGTTCGCCATTGGATCTAGACAGGCTGAGAGGCAGCTTACCTTCATGGGTCTCCTGTACTTCCTGCAGGCTGTGACATGTGCAATAACGCTGGCGTGTGTCTCTTTGCTGACATTGATCCCATTGACTTTGATAATACACTGTCCAGGGTGAAGACCGGCTGCTGCGGCCACAGTTCCTTTAAATACAAATGAGAAAATGGCCGGAAACTAATTTTAGATTTGTTTTTATCACATATGCAAACAAGGAAAACAATTTTAAAATACAATATCGAGCTGGTATGTTTTTGATAAATTTGGTTCTGATAGCAATGCCCTCTCAAATTTTTTTCTGCTATACAACATGCCATTCAAACTGTGATTAAAAGAATATTTTCCCAACTCCCTATGAATTAGTTTGAAGGGATATTGTAAAGTAACCTTTATAATGCTAATCAGTTCTTTTCCCTAAATGTCTAGTCAATCTCATTTTCTAACTATGCATATATAATGGCAAAATCAGAAAGCCAGAAACATGCCCTATTTATCTTTCTTTAGTTTATAAAATGTCTAAAAATTAAAATAGTATTCATTTTATAAAACTCCAATAAATAAAAGAATTTCTTAAGGAAAAAAAATCAAGTTAATTAGCAGCTACAAATTGTCTGGATTTGCTACAAAAAATAAGTTTAGGATATGTACAAAGAGTAGAAACTACAGAACTGAAGAATAAAATTAATCAGATAATATAAACTGTCCATCATTTATTTGCATAGATATGGACTTGAATGTGTAAGAGACATAACCTAACCAGTGAGTTAAGATTTTCAGAACCTTCCAATCATTATTATCTGATATTCTGAGCAAATCAAAGCAGCATTAATAAAAACAATGAATATAATTAATATAAAACTCATCATAAGTATGTTAGAAGAGTTTTTCTTTATACGCAATTTCTCCCATGAAAGAATTATTAAACATCTTGAAGAACATAATTTACATTCAAGAACTGTCCTCCCTAAAATTCACCCCTAGAAATTTTAAGGGCTTTTTTCTGGATTGAACGGATTCTTGGTGGAGTGAGGGACATTAGCCACAGGAAGAACAGCCTAAAAATAAGCACTGAGTCAAGAAATAACCTGGACATCTGGGAACATATAAGCAGGTGGGGGTATGACCTTAGAATAGAAAGAGATACTGGAGAGCAGAGCAGAACTCTAGGGAAGTCCTGGGTGCCCTGTGTGAAGTCCTGAGTCTGAACCTTAGTATGTATGGAAGAAGAAAAACATTTAAGAATTTTAAGCTGAGATGTGACATGATCCTCCCCCAAATGGACCATGGGTTATTAGAGTTTAAGTGAAAAATCAAAATCACAGCATCTACTGAAATTTTCCAGGCTGGAATTCAAGTAGAGTTAGTTAGAAAGGGGAGAACGAGATCAAGTATTTGATGTGGGAAGATGGAGTCTATAAAGAGGCTACAGTGCCCAGGATCACTCCTGTGCCTTTGCACTCAGTGGCTGCATAGATGAGGTCATTTCAATAAAGAGAGAATGCAGAAGGTGAAGCAGCTTTAGAGAATGAATGAAAAGTTCATTTGGGGATAATACTGAGTTTTAAGGTGCCCAAGGAACATTATGTGTAAATTAAACAATTAGATCTAGGCTACAGAATTCTAGAAAGAGGGCTGGGCTGGAGATAGAAATGTAGAAATTCCCCCAGCAAAGAGGATGGACAAGATTGCTTATGGAGAGCAAAAGGCGGAGAAGGGAAGGGTGCCAAGGGTGAAGAAGCCAATGGGGGAAGAGCAGTAGAGGAGGGGTAGATGAGAAATCTGAAAAGTGTCATCTCAGAAATCCAGTGATGAATGGTTTTAGGCAAAAGAGAGTTGTCAGCTTAAAGAAATGAGAAAGCTCAATTAAGACAAAGATGAACAATTCCCATTGTATTTTCCATTTAAATCCATGATAACTCTTGTAAGACAAACTTTGGATACAGGGATGGGAGGTAAGAGAAGATAGATGTCTATAGCCCTGGATTAAAATTCCAATAGGAAGTGAGGAAGGGCAGGCAAAAATACAGGCCAGCATTTCAGGAAGTTTAGCCATGACAAAAATGAAAGTTATTAGAGCGTTCTTTTAGAGCAAAACTTCTCAATCTTTTCATGCATACATATCACCTGGGATCTCATTAAAATGCAGATTCTGACTCAGTCTGTCCTGAGTGGGGCCCGAGAGTCTGCATTTCTAACCAGCTCTCTGGTGGTGCCAATGCTGTAGGTCTGTGGACCACACTTTGAATAGAAAGGATCTAGAGGAGAAAATAAAGAAGAAGGAGAGGTTTTGTGTTTGCTGTTCTAGTTTAAGATGGTTTTGTTTCTTTGTTGATTTTAAAGGAAAAAAACTGAGCCATAGTCCAATGAAGAAAAAAAGTTGAAAATTCTGGAAAGGGGTATCTGACAGTACAACACCACTGAGGAGGGATCCAGGACATTTGTGGAGAGATTGAACTCCAGAAAGGAGAAAGGAAGACTCTTCCTCCAGGGTGGGAGAAGAGATGGTGATGGTGACCCAGTCTGCAACAGGTGTACATAAAAGGGTATGGGACTCTGAGGGCGTCATACCTGGTAGCCTGAATTTGTCTGTGAGGTGAAAAAGGAAGTTCATCTTGGAAAATAGGAGGTAATTATGAAGAGAAAAAGAGGGAACTGAACAAAGGCAAATACAAATTGCTTAGTAGTAATATGAACCCAGTAAAGACAAGACGGTGAATTGGGATGACACTAATTCCATATTCATGACTTTTTCCTAGTTACTCAGGAGAAAGAGCAACAAAGGTGGCTAGGTTACTCTGGCCTGGAAGTTCCTGAAATGAAATGGCCCACATACACCTAAGGGATAAGCATGAGGGGATCCTTGACGATGCTCGCAAGAGTGCTATAGTGACCCACCATAGGGCTGAGGCTGGCTAAGGAAGGGAATCTTGAGGGGTGTTACTAACCAGGAGGAAAAAGAAAGATCCAAAGAATGGAAGTCCCTACTGAACTGAAAAGCAACCCGAGAATACCAAAGTGATAAGAGATCAAAAGAAAAGAGCGTAGTCAGAAATAGGCACATAGGAATGTTAGATACCAAAGGTGAAATTCCGGTTATTAATATACTCTAATGGGTGGCCATGGGAAGGGGCTGCAAAATGGAGAATAAAGTCTCTTTCTTATGGCAACATTATGGTACAAAAAGAAATCTCTGAATAATATCTTTTTTTTTTTTTTTTAATTTAATATACATCTGAAAGGAAAAGCACATGAGGATTTCTGGCTTTTACTCTTCAGAAGCAAAAAGCATAGTGACCAAACCTGGGCCTACCCTATCACTAAGTTCCAAAGATGGAACCCTGCTCTGACTATATTTCCTAGGGAAAGAGGTACAACTTGATTCACTTAGGTTTTCACTTATTTTATAGCACTGGGAATGTGACTTATTCCTTTTTGGTATAGTAAAGTGAATAAGATATTTTATGTATCAAATGTCCCATTACAATATGGAATATATCCCATTTTAGTTTGAGAATATTAATGAGCTGTTAGAAAGCTTTTACATGTCTATTAATCTGTATATTTTAAAAAACTGAGTGAACAGACAAGTTTCTGAAATAAGATTCATTTTTATCATACAAACACTGATGAAAGCAAATGTATACCCTAACAAAGACTTTGATAAATTTGATTCTGATAGCAATGCTCTCTCAAAATTTTTCTAATGTTTAGGTGATCATATTAAGATGCTTTACATTTTACATTTCTTTGTAATGAAAAGCACGTATGTCCCGTGATAAGATCAACAAATGGCCTCTTATGCTTAGAGTGACTTCATGCTATAGCAGCAAGTTATTGACTATGCTTGGCAATATGAGATCTAACAGTTATTACAATGTTAGTACAAATTTTTAAAATATATATGATAACAAGAGATAGCAATAGCTAATTTATCCATCAAACCAAAAGAGAATAAAATATAAACAAAGTTTTCAGTCACTAAACTTATTTAATTTAAAATGCATTTTATGGTTTATAAAATGCAGGAATGCTTGAAGTAATTATATAGCAATAAGCTATAAAGCAACAGATTATATTCTTTTTTTTTTTTTTTTATCCTCACCCGAGGACATTTTTCCATTTTTTTGTCAGGTAGAGTGGGAGGGAGAGAGAGGAACAGAGAGAGAGAGAGAAACATCGATGTGAAAGGAACACATTGAGTGGCTGCCACCCGCACAACCGACCAGGGCCGGGGACAAACTGCAACCGAGGTACATGCCCTTAGCGGGAACCGAACCCGGGTCACTCAGGACCGCAGGCCGACGCTCTAACCGCTGAGCCAAACTGGCCAGGGCGCAACAGATTATATTCTTAAACCTGAAAACTCACATCTTTGAATTGCTAACAAAAATATAATTATTTGCTGTCAGAGAAAAAGACAAGCAGATGGCCTTAAAACCATTGTATCTTTTGGCTAAATGGAAGCATACAGAAAATTGACTTTAGGAGGCATTGTTCACATATAAATTTTTACAGAGATACACATGCTCTACACTGTTTTATTTATTGATTGATTTTAGAGGGAGGAAGGAGGATGGGTGGGGAAAGAGAAAGTGAGAGAGAGAGAGAGAGAGAGAGAGAGAGAAACCATTCATTGCTTTATTCTTGGCGGGAACCAAACCCGGGTCTCTCAGGACCGCAGGCCGACGCTCTAACCGCTGAGCCAAACCAGCCAGGGCCATTGGTTTATTCTTGTATGTGGCCTGACCAGGGATCAAACCTGAAACCTTGGCATATAGGGATGAGGTTCTAACCAACTGAGATACCGGGCCAGGGCATGTCCTACAATTTTTAAGAGTATTTAAAAATATTATTTTAGTAATATACTACCATTTAATACAGTAAAATATGATTGAAAAAGTTCATAACAACATAATTATTCACATTTTAAACATACTGTGCTGGAAAGCTGTTTACCACACAGGATGGATTTCTCACCTCTTCCTACCGCATGCACGACCGATGGGCCATATCCTCGGATCTGGAATCCAAGTCCCTCAGCTGAATCTGGGATTTTCACTGTCCTAAAATCAACCCGAAATAGGGTAAGACAACTTTAAAACACCACACTTGGTTAAAACAATAGTTGTTCACATCTGTATTTATTCTTTCAATGAATTCGTGTTGAGGGTCAACCATGTGAAAACCCCTCAAAGAAGGCATCTGGGATCATGCCCTTGCAAAGGCACAGAGCAGGCTCACACTGCAGTCTCCTCACTTGACATAGTATATCCTGAATAAGCACAGGCTCTGGGCTCAGATGCACCTGGCCCTGAAGCCTTAGTTAGTCACTTGATAGTTAGATGACTTAAATGAGCTCCTTAACTTCTCTTCATCTGAGTTTCCAGAAAGATGATGGTGTTAAAACTTACTCTGCAAGGTGCTAGTGGAGATTAAGAGATACCTTTGGTAAACAACCCTGCATTGTGCCATGAATTATGTAGATAACAAAATGGAAGCTTCTCTCCTTTGTTTACTATTACAAAGAAGACATTCCTGCATTAGTGAAATGTCTTTGTTAACATTAACATAAAAGAGAGTTAATACATTTCTACCTGTTGGGAATGCCATCAAAACACAACAGCACCCATTTCTGATAAAAACGCTCAGCAATGTGGGAATAGAGGGATCATATCTCAACATAATAAAGGCCATATATGAAACACCTACAGCCAAAATCATACTCAATGGGCAAAAACTAAAAGCATTCCTTTTAACAATGGAAACAAGACAGGGATGCCCACTTTCACCACTCTTATTTAACATAGTTCTGGAAGTCTTAGTCACAGCAATTAGACATGAAGAAAAAATAAAATAAAAGGGATCCAAATTGGAAAGGAGGAAGTGAAACTGTCATTATTTGTAGATGACATGATATTGTACATAGAAAACTGTAAAGACTCCATCAAAAATCTACTAGACTTAATAAATGAATTTGGCAAAGTAGCAGGATACAAAATTAACGTCAAGAAATCAATGGCATTCTTATACACCAATGATGAACTCACAGAAAGAGAAACTAAAAAATCAATTCCATTTACCATCGCAACAAAAAAATTAGAATATCTAGAAATAAACTTAACCAAAGAAGTAAAGAACATCTTCACAGAAAACTACAGGTCATTGAAAAAAGAAATAGAGGAAGATATGAAAAAGTGGAAGCACATACCCTGTTCATGGATTGGAAGAATTAACATCATTAAAATGTCCATATTACCCAAAGCAATCTATAGATTCAATGCAATCCCCATCAAAATACCAATGACATACTTCACAGAACTAGAACAAACACTCGAAAAGTTTATATGGAACCAAAAAAGACTCCAAATAGCTACAGCAATCTTGAAAAAAAAGAACAAAGTAGGAGGGATCACTTTACCGGATTTCAGGTTATACTACAAAAGCCACTGTAATCAAAACAGCCTGGTACTGGCACAAGAACAGGTAGATAGATCAATGGAACAGAATAGAGAACCCAGAAATTGACCCAAGACAATATGCTTAATTAATATTTGACAAAGGAGGCAAGAGCAAACAGTGGAGTAAAGACAGTTTCTTCAATAAATGGTGCTGGGAAAACTGAACAGCTACTTGCAAAAAAATGAAGCTAGAACACCAACTTACTCCATACACAAGAATAAACTCAAACTGGATAAAAGACTTAAATGTAACTTGTGAATCCATAAAAATTCTAGAAGAAAATGCAGGCTACAAAATCTCAGACATCATACGCAGCACAATTTTCACTGATATGATACCTAAGGCAAGAGAAACAAAGGAAAAAATGAACACACGGGACTATAGTAAACTCAAAAGCTTCTGCACAGCAAAGGAAATGACCATCAAAATGGAAAGGGATCCCACTACAGGGAGATAATAATTGCAAATGATGCATCAGATTAGGGGTTAATTTCCAAAATATATAGAGTGCTCATATAACTCAACAAAAGGAAGACAAAGAATCCAATTAAAAAATGGGCAGAGGGCCTAAATAGACTCCTCTCCAAAAAGGACATACAAATGGCTAAGAGACATATGAAGAAATGCTCAACATCACTAATCAGAGAGATGCAAATTAAAAGAACTATGAGGTATCACCTCACACCTGTCAGAATGGCCGCCATCAACAAATCATCAAACAAGTGTTGGCGAGGGTGTGGAGAAAAGGGGACTCTAGTACACTGCTGGTAGGAATGCAAACTGGTACAGTCACTGTGGAAAGCACTATGATGTTACCTCAAAAAGTTAAAAATTGAACTGCCATTTGACCCAGTGATCCCACTTTTAGGAATATACCCTAAGAAACCTGAAACACCAAACAGAAAGAATATATGTACCCCTATGTTAATAGCAGCACTATTTACAATAGCTAAGATCTGGAAACAACCCAAGTGTCCATCAGTAGATGAGTGGATAAGAAAGCTGTGGTACATGTACACAATGGAATACTATGCAGCTGTAAGAAAGAAAGATCTCTTATCCTTTGAGATGGCATGGAAGGACCTGGAGAGTATTATGCTCAACAAAACAAGCCAAGCAGAGAAAGACAAATATCAGATAATCTCACTTATATGTAGAATATAGTGAACTAAACAAACTGCTGAACAAAATTAACCCAGAGACATAGAGGTGGGGTACAGACTGACAAGCCTCAGAGGAGGGGGGATTTTGGAGGGAGATATAAGCCACAGAACTTACTTGCATGTGTGCATGACCAATGAACATAGGCAACAAAGCTGGGGATGGGGCGGGGGAAAGGGGAGGAGGGTATTGATGTGGGGAAAAATGAGAAATATCTGTAACAAAAACAAATTAATAAATAAAAAAGTAATTGGATCAATATTAAATGTAAACTGTAACTGAAAATAAAAAGAAAAAAACAACAAAAAGCTAGTTACAAAGAACAGATGTGTCAAACACCATATCAAAGTAATTTAAGAATAAGATTAACTTTAGTATTTATTCAGTGGAATTTTAAAAGACTGATACAGCAAAAGGTAAACCTGCATAAGGAAAAAGAAATGCTCAGTGAATCCACACAGAAAAGCAGATGAAGGGCTGGAGAACCTGGATAAGCTGACAGGGCAAACCAGCGAGGGAGTCTGATTTGCACTAACAAATGAGTTCCTCCACAGAAGGAAGCCAGAAATCAGATAGTGACAATGAAAAGCAGAGGACAGCAGATAATATGGAACCTTGTAACAATAAAAATGAGTATAACAAATTGCAGCACAGAGCAAAGACAAATGAATATGATGTAATAAATTTTGATGGATAGCCCTTGATGCTCAAGAAACAAGAGTGTTCTCCAAAAGCTGACAAATGAATCATGAAATAAATGCAGCAGTATTTCAAGGGCACATTTAACAGTCTCAAGTTTTATTTGCAATTTATGAAATAACTGTTGGAGCAGTTTGAGCACCGTGGTGCCTAGAACACTTGAGGAAGCCAGATGGTGCATTTAGGCCTGAAGGCAGGGCTAACACTGTAGCCTAAAATATAACCCAGGCAGGCATTCGGACATTCGGTGACAGAAATGCACATTGCCTGTTTGAGGAGACCCTAAAAGTATCGTTATAAATTAGGTTATGCACTCTGAAGTGACCTGCACATTGATGGGATAGAGGTCAAAGAACTAATGTATCCTTAATTAAATATTTTTTTGGTATAGAAAGCTGTGTCTGCTTTCTCTGCATAGTAATTTGTTACTAGTGTCTGTCAAAGATACACTTGAAAATAGAAGATAATTAAGGAAAAGAAAAGGGAATAAATACATTTCTGAGCATGAAACAAAAAATAAAGGTAGCTCATGCTTCTATAATTACCAATAAGAGTTCACTTTTGCTGAAATAACTTAGAGCTTTCAGGCCACGGTGAATTACTGTTCTTTAGGATTGAGAAGAATTCATAGTGTTCTCTCGACCCTTTCTAAGCAAGGTCTTCCTTCCTTCTCATATTGCTAAGGAAGGTTGACCCAACTCTAATCTTCTAGAAGATTATAATAATTTTCTCAACAGTATTTGTACACACCATGAGATGCATTCGGCCATAATTTGGGGACTCCTTTTATAAAATGATCTTTAGAAAATATGTTTCCCTGCTGGGAACACTATGTTATCTATTAAAGGAAGAATTAAATTTATACAAGAAGGATGTTCTATTTCCTGTAGAAAACAAGTGTCTAAATTATCTTCTACAAAGGCTGCTGAAAAATTCCTTGATGTTATCTATTTTAAAATACAGCTATATTCAAAAGAAAAATTCTGTTGTATTTACCTCTCACATTTTCGTTTTTTTCCCCAAACAGGATACTTCATAAATTGTAAGTAGCTATTGCAAGAAAGTATGAGAGTGATTTATAGGAATCGTATATTAAGATAAGAACATAAAGGAAAGGTTATGCATTTAAAACAAAGAAAAAAGAAAAAATGAGTACTTCATGCTCAAAACGGTTTTAGAACACAACATAAAATATGCTCTTGATGTAATAAAAAGCAATGGAAAGAAATGAAATGAGAGAACAGAAAAGCATCATAGATTACATCACTGGAATATAGATTATGGGCTGAACATGTCACTAAGTTTTTTACAAACCTAGATTTATTTAGTGTTCTTAGCAGCTCTGTGACATAGGCACGCTCATCCCCATTTTTCATAGATGAGGATGTTGAAGCAACACAATTAGCAGGCAAGTGATGGATGAGAAGCTTGAACCTGGACCAAAAATACCAGGTTCCAATTACTGCGCAACAAACACCAAGGGAAGAATCAGAAGACCCAGGTTCCAACTCTGCTCATCTAGCAACTACTAGGACTGAGGATTTACCCTATCTATTCACTTTTCAAGCTGATGACTTCGAAGTTCTCTACCTGTTGAAATGTTTGTAATCAGTGAAACAGTATTTGTAACATTAAATTAGGGGTCAAGGGGCCATGAGAAAAGCCTTCATGCTCATTAATGATTGCTTTGGAATACTACTCCCTTATTCCTTTCTTGTTAAATGTCCTCAAAGTGTCCAGAGATAGGCAATTAGATAGCCTTATTCTAGATGGGTTGGATAAAGGGGGAACGCTAGATCATAATTAGTTTTAGAAAGATGTCAGTTATGGTTATTTGCTGCTTTCTAGCGGAAATCCCCCTAAATCAGTAACTTTAACAAGGCTCACTCTTTCAAACCCCTTGGTAAACTGTTGATAGAAGCATCTACCTTCAAGACTTAATACTACAGAATCTAGCCCATTACAATGCATTTCAACTCTTAAGATAAATAGTTGAGTGCACCCAGCTTTGCTGAATATATATACTAAGGCAGAGAAGAATACCTCATTGTATATACTTAGAGTCTTTCAGTAAGTAATCAAAATAAACCATTTTGTTTTTGAAGTAGTAAACTTCATTCATCTTAAAATTAATGAAGGTGCTTATCACTATTGATAAATAATATAATTACATCTTAAAAAGTAATTTTGATATAATCATAGTACATACACTAATACATTATGGCAAGCACTTTATATGCATTATTTTGATTACTTAATTGGTTAAACAAATGAAAACCTGATAAGGGAACATGAGATCATTAATGATTTACAGAAGAAAGGCCAATGTCTTCCAAGTATATCCATAATATCTTGTTAATTTTTATAAAAAAGTAACAGATCATAAAGTATATCTGTTTTATAAATATATGATGGTGATGTGTGTCTGTATTTATAAAATTTAACTAACACCGAAAAAGAATTTTCAAAGAATAACAGTGGTTATTACGGATAATATGATTATAAGGAAAATGTCTTCCTTGAGAAAGACAAATATTACATGATCTCACTTATTTGTGAATGAACAAAATAAGCTGATGAACAAAATAGACCCAGAGACATGGAAGTAGGAAACAGACTGACAAACATCAAAGGGAGAATGGGTGGGAGGATGGGAAGAGATAAACCAAAGAACTTACATGCCTATATGCATAACCAATGGACACAGACAATACTGTGAAATGGGGGGGGGGGGTGCGGGGCACAGGAGTGGGGAGGAGGGTGTCAATGGTGGGAAAAGAAGAAATATCTGTAACAAAAATTAATTAATTAATTAAGAAAATGTTTAAATGTCTTCCTTTAGACAAGTCTGTACTCTGAATTTCCTATGATAAACATTAGTTTTCCTAATCATAGGTAGGTAGATAGGCAGATATATTTTTTAAAAGAATGGATAGAGTTCTAAATCCACACAGCATGGAATTGTCTTTCACTTAGTCTGGATCCCATCTCCTATCCCCATTTACTTAGAAATGGTGTTGAATCCACTCTTAGCCCTGAGATTCTTAGAGCTGAATATGGAGGAATGCAATTTTTTATTATCAAGTGTTCTATTAGTTTTCTTCACCCATAGTCAGAATCAACACAACTTACACCAGGAACATTTAGTCAGCAAAAGGAAAGTATTATTTCCTCTGAAACTACCTGATTCAAGTAGCAAGCATTTTGTCAACATAAGCAATGTAGTGTTCCCCTCATTTAAAGACCAGTATAAGTGATGTTGGTGAGGTTCAAACATTCAAGCAATGAGATGCTTAATTCTAGACATTGGATTAGTTAACTTTTCTGTTTTATTCACTTACGTATAATTTTTTAAATCCCATACAAATCATACAACTTACTCCCTTGGCTTTGTGCTCACAAGAACTCTTAGAGGTTTTCTGCTGTTTAAGCAGGATTTCAGAAAGCAATCCACTTCATTGAAAGGTCTCATAAAAACTAGGTCACCATTTATAGCAAAAATCTTCTTCCCAACTTCCATGCCAGCCATCTAAGAGAGAAATAGTTTAAAAAAAAAAGTCAAATTATATTTTAATAAGGGATCTATTTTTCCCCAGAATTAGAATATGAAAAGGTCTAGAACTTATAGATCTTGACATTTTAACATGTCTGCAATGTTTTTATACAATTTCACAAAACAGAACTGTGGGCAAGATGACAGAGTTATTTATTCTCTCTGACCTAGTTTTAAATTTGATCACCCATCATGACTGAAATTCTTCCATGCCTTAACATTGTACCCTTCCTGTAACCCTAGACATTGGATTAGTTAGCTTTTTGTTTTTAATTTCATCCTTTTAACTATAGTTAAACCCCAGGTTACTTTTTTTGTATTGTCTTTTCTATAGCCAATTAACTCAGAGAGTTTCGATCTCAATCTAGACATCAGTGAGAACAAAATATGTATCTCTAGTGTCTCCAGGGCAGGAGAGAGAATGGCCTGGAAGCCCGGAAGTGTGCTCCAACAGCACAGACTACAAAATGCTGAAAAGATGACAAAGACATTATCTCTCTATCCCAACCGCACTTCTTAACCAATCCTACTGCCTATAAACAATATGCTCTTTTGTTTACCAGGTAAATGATGAAAACCCGGGAGAAGGCATTTTATCAGGGGCACAGTCAGATGAAGCTGTGCTCTAGGAACATGCTCTGAAAATGTCTGCAAGAAACGATTCCTTCTCACAGAAAATTACCAAGAATAGTCATTTGCTGTTGGGGTCCACTAACGGAGTATGAGTTGACCAGAGTTATCTTGTTGGACATTCATGTGCTGTACATTAAGCTGTGTCTCACATGACAGACTTTGGGCATCAGCAGATGAGAGGATGGGTGACAGTTGACTACTCACTGGAAACAGATTCGGTTGAAAGTGACCTTTCATTCATTCCCACATTCTTTATTAAAGATTAAATACGGAGATGCCTGCTGGGGCCTGAGCACCTTACACGCCAGGCAGTAAGGTGAGAATCCTTGGTATATTCTGATAAACCTGGTATGGAACACTGGAAAGCAGGCTCCAGGAGAACAGGACATTTTGCCTGTTTTGTTCATGGCTGTTTTCCCAGAGCCTAGAATTCTGCCTCGCACACAATGGGTACCAAATAAATATTTCTGAATGAACAAATAAATGCTCAGATGTCTTGGTTTAAAATACTGATGAGGTGAGAGAACACCAATAAGTATTAACCCCTGTGAAAAAATTACTGTTACTCTTGGAAGTTGTATTTATATGACAGTCAAAAGTGACAGGAAAATCGAAGATACAGCCCTTGAATTAATGGAACCATCTGACATGCATACAGTCCCACCCTATGCTGTCCCCACAGGGTTCCAGGCTAGAATCCGTGGACAGGGAAGTCCCAGGGGCACTGGGAAGTCCCAGGAATGAGGCATCTGGCCTCCCAGGAGATCAAGGAGTTCACAGTTGCAGATAGCTCCAGTCCTGCCCCAACTGTACCTGGGTCTCCAGACAGACACCTCTCACAGAGCCCAAGGGCATTTGATAGAACCTCAGAATACGGTTGTTCAGAAACATTATTTTTAATAAGGATACTAAAAGGCTGATTTTAGTTAGTTTAGAAGCTTTATATTTCTATGTCATGGGCAACAAATTAAAATAAAAATGCTAAGCCCTGGCCGGTTTGGCTCAGCAGTTAGAGCGTTGGCCTGCGGTCTGGGGAGACCTGGGTTTGGTTCCCGCTACAGGCATGTACCCCAATTGCTGTTTGTCCCCGGCCCTGGTTGGGTTGTGTGGGTGGCAACCACTCGATGTGTCCCTTTCACATTGATGTTTCTCTCTCTCTCTCTCTCCCTCCCACTCTATCTGAAAATATCAAAAAATAAATAAAAAGGCTAATTTACATTACCTCGGCATTAGACCCCTTTTCTACCAACTTAATTATTGGAACTTTATTTTTGTCTTCTAACCCAAAACCATAGCTGCCTTCATTGGATTTAATCTGAAATGCAAAATATTAACATTATTAAAACAGCAAGTAGGAAAAAGGTTTGCAAATCAAACAGAATGAAATAATATATATCACAAAACATGTTTATGCAATCTTCTGCTAATATCTAATCAAGAAGAAAACTTCTGTAACATATTAATAAACTTACCAATAATGATTTCGCTATAACATTTTCCACAACTTTTAAATCATGTTTCATAAGTCGGTGTTTCATATTGGATCCTTCCATTTCTTCGTCCGCAAAAAAACGGAAAAGTAGAGGTTCATCTTTGAATTCACTTTTTTCAAGGACTAAGAAAACAGAGAGAGATTCAAATGGTTTAAATCAACCCAAAATTCAAACTTTGTCCAAACTGGTAGACACTCAATAAAGTAATACCTGTACCATGGCTTCAATTTGATACTCCTAGAACAAGTTATATTCACTAATATTTATATGAGTTTTTTATTTTCTTCTATAATTTCAAACCAAGGTTTCCTTTACATTTCTGATACCTAAAGGATTTTTAATTTTTATTATAAGGTATATTTTTTTCAATGCCAAGTTTTTTTATACTTAACCAAATCTTTCACTTTCCAGATTAAAACCTAAATTTAAATAAAAGATTATATTGCATAAAAAATGTATACAATCCCAAACATAGAAAACTAGAGTGTTTTGAAATTGTGGTAAACATTTTAAGTATGGTTTTAATATCCTGCACAATTATGAGAAAATTCAAATGGATTAGTGTAGTCTTTATATGTGTGAGCAATTCCCATTGTGTTCACTTTGTTCTCACACTTGAAACCAGAAATATGTCTTCTGGGTAAAATGTGATTCAATTTCCATTAATTCTTAGCTCATTTCAGTTTCAAAGCATTATTCTCAAATAACCTTATTTTTGCAAAGGTCAGTTTTTTCCCTTTCATCTGAACATTAACGTTTTCCCCCAATCCCTAAGATTCCCAGCATGCCCTAATGATACAAGGTATACATTTTATAAGTCATTTTAAAAATAAGGCTTAATGCCAACAGAAAGAATTTGTATTCAGAGAGATCCTGACAGCAGTCAAATGTGTTAAAAAAGAAGTCATTTATATTGCCATGTATCTTTCCTTAGTATCTTGAAGGGACAGGTTGCTTCATTGAGCCAGGGAGCAAACAGGGAAGTGGGGGTCCCACAGCACAGCAGACATTTAAGGCTTTATGATGAGATAGATGGCGTTTAAATTCCAGGTCTGGGACTGATTCTGGGTATAACATTGGGAAAGTTACCTAAACTCTGAACTTCAGTTTCCTCATAAAACCTTCTTCATGATGTTGTACAAAACTAAAATGAGGTAATATATGTAAATAACTTGACATATAGTAGGCACTCAAAGATAATACCGATTTATTTATTTCACTATTTTTATAGAGTTCCACATAATAATTATTGACCAGATGGATGTACTGATCTTTGGATATCTAGTTAGGTCTTGTCTACATGACATAAGCAGTTTCCCAAACTCACATGGTGTTTTGGTACTGTTTCCTCCCTGAAATAGTCTGCCTAAAAGTCACGCGAGAAGACGACATCGGAAAGGCCAGGCATGAGTTGAACTGATTGTGCTTTACTGACAGAGACTTTTGGAGGAAAAACGTTTGTTAAAAATCAACATTTCAAAGTGTTGAGATCAAATTACTGCTTGTTTATTATTGATTGTTTTCAACTTGATATTATACTTTTAATTCCCTGTAAAGACATCATTTCTTCCATTCAATGGTTTGCTCTTCAAGGGTCGATATTTCTGTATCACAACTGAGGCTGTGCTCTAGAGGTAGTGGAATGTAGTGGAATGCCAAAGGAATACGTAATAACCAAGATGTTCTCAAATTGCTGCAACTTTTTTTTAATCCTCACCCGAGAATATTTTTCTATTTATCATCAGATAGAGTGGGTGAAAGAGAAAGAGAGAGAGAGAGACATCGATGTGAGAGACACATTGACTGGTTGCCTTCCACACCACCCCACCAGGGTCGGGGACAAACTGGAACTGAGGTAAGTGCCCTTGACCAGAATCGAACCCAAGACTCATTGGTCCTCAGGCTGACGTTCTAACCACTGAGCCAAACCAGCCAGGGTTAAAATTGCTGCAACTTTTGCTGTACTTCCTTCTTTATAAAAAGGTAGTAAGTAACCTTCTGGCCCAGCAAGTGTGGCTCAGTGGACTGAGTGTCGACCCATGGACTGAGAGGTCCTGGTTTGATTCCCAGTCAGGGCACATGCCCAGTTTGCAACGTGGATCCTCAGTAAGGGGTGTGCGGGAGGCAGCTGATCAATATTACTCTCTCACATCGATGTTTCTATCTCTCTCCCTTCCTCTCTCTCTAAAGGATCAATAAAAAAAAATGACAAATAGCAAATAGGTATAAAATGTTTGATAAGAGCTATCAAATAGGTATATGTCTATAAGATAGCTATATCTATACTTATCTATCTATCTAAAACAATAAAAACAGATTGTTTAGGTTTGTGGAATCTCTAAGACATAACTAGAGAGGGAAAAGTAAGTCTCATCATTTTTATAAATTTAAGGGGAATGAAGTCATCAAACAAGAAAGAAAATCAATCTTTAATTAGTTGCCAAGAAAAGCAGATTTCTTCCAGATATTCATAATTTTGTTCTCTGAGATAAGCTTGAAAGTATTTTTATAAAAAGAACAATAAATATTTAATCATATATACTCTCATTTAATCATTTTAATATATACCGGCATTAAAAAACAAACAAAACAAAAAAACATGAATCTGATCCGAAATAGTTTAAAAGAAGCTTCTTATAAAGAAGCTTTAAAAAAAAAAAAAACTTCGGAGCTCAAGCCCTTGCTCTTCTGGAATGAGTTACAGTCTAGGAAAACAGAAGACTAGTCATGGCAGTCGGGAGATGATGCAGATGAGATGACCCTACGTGGACACATGGCAAGGCCCAGAGAGTTTGGCTGGTTCATCTCTAAATGACTTCCCTGGAACACTGAGATATCCCCAGTGTCTTAACAAAAACGAAACAAAGAAATACATCTGTAAGCTTCCAGAAAAAAAATTCTTACCATGGTGCATAAATCCATTGTCACAGAGTCCAACGCCAAATATCATTGCTTCTTCCCTGGTGCGGCAATCCCCCTGTTAACCGTAAAAGCACCGTACAGGTTAATAGGCAACCGAAGGCTTTCGTCTTTACTACATTTCATGTTCCCATCACTAAACTGACAAAGCCATTTATGTATCATAGTTTAATTGCTTTCATAAGCCTACAATATATATAAAACATTCACTTGATAATGAAAATATTTCTTGATATTAAATAAAAACAAAGATTTAATATTTCTTGAGAAAAAACATACTTTATTAAATATGAAAACATATAAGTAACTAAAATGTATTGCTATAAAAATTATTTATTTCTCTTATTTCTTTAATCTTGTATCCCAATTATGCATCAAGGAAATAGCTTATATATTGAAATCACACTAAAAAGGCTGTCATTATGCATGATCCCAACTATTACTTCCCTCCCACCAAATGGTCTTGCTTTTAAAAAAACCATGACCTCACTTGTTTGTGGAATATAATGAACAAGGTGGGCTGATGAACAAAACAGACCCAGAGACATAGAAAGGAGTATGGTTCAGACTGACAAACCTCAGGGTAGGAGGGTGGGGGGATGGAGGCGATGACCAAAAAACTTACATGCATGTGTGCATCACCAAAGGACACAGACAACAATGCTAGGGGTGGGGGAATGGGGAGGAGGGTGTCTAGGGGGGAAAAAGGAGAAACATCTGTAACAAAAATAAATTAATAAAAATTGAAAAAGAAAAAAAAAAGACCTAAAGAAACCTACTAATCTAAGGTAATTGGTAAGACCCTTCAAGTAAATTTTTTGGCTGAGCCAAAAAATACAAGTTTCTCTTTCATTATGTTCCTGAAAAAAATAATCAGATCATATAATTAAACCCAAAAAGAAAACCCAATGAAACCTCTTGTCATGGCGCCTACTTTATTCATATAAGTATGGATTCATATATATGAATATGTAAATGTATATGCATGTATGAGTGTGTATATAACCTTAGAGTTGTATCTTTTTTTAAAATATGTTTTTACTGATTTCAGAGAAAGGAAGGGAGAGGGAGAGAGAGATAGAAACATCAATGATGAGGGACACATCAATTGGCTGCCTCCTGCACACCCCTTACTGGGGTTTGAGCCCACAACTGGGCAGTGTGCCCTGACCGGGAATCAAACGAGGGACCTCCTGGTTCATAGGTCAATGCTCAACCCCTGAGCAACAATGGCCAAGCTAGAGCTGTATCTTTTACAGTTTAAGAAGTTCTTTCCATATATTATCTCATTTTTCCTAGTACTTTTAGCACTTAGGTACTCTACCTAATCTATGTTCTCTTCTTTCTGTCTGTTTCATTTCTGTGTCAACACAATATTATTTCTTCACCTCACATCTAAATTGTCATAATTTTTGGTACTTTCTCCAACATATGCTATTACAGAATTAAACTTTATTACACAGAAATGTCATGTTCCAAAACTTTAAACAAGCTTTCTTTTTTTATAATCATAACATATGAAAATTTTCTGTTTGGCTTTCAAGGACATGCATATCCTGGCTTCATTCTAGATCTCCAGCTTTGCTTTCCAAACATGCACACATTTGGCTCCAGTCGAGTTGGCCCCTACTGTTGCCTGAACTCTGTGCTTATTTTCATCCTTGCTTTCAGTCGTGTAAGTATTCTCACTTTCGATGCCCTTCTCCTTCCCCATCACCCATGTAAATTCTACCTCGTTGTCCATCAAGGAGGAAGACAAGTCACACCTCATGCTGTGACACACTCCAACCCTCACTAATCCTCCAGTTAACTGACAAAACACTTACACTCTGTATCTGCTGAAACTGTATCTGGGTCCTGTTCAAATCTAGCTGTTAAGTAACTTTTACACATTCATTCAGAAGATATTTACATTTCTTACCATACAGTGTGCCAAGTGCTAGAAATAATACAGTAAAACACACAAACATAAAACACTTTCCTGCCCTCAAGAAATTAAAATCTAGTAAAGGATATGGCCACTTGAAGTGTGGTCGATAGCCCTGGACGGTTTGACTCAAGGCGAACAAAAGAGTCACAGGTTCAATTCCGGCTAAGAGCACGTACCTGGGTGGCGGTTCGTCCCTGGTCAGGGTTGTGCAGGAGGCAACCAGTCGATGTGTCTCTCTCACATCAATGTTTCTCTCTCTCTCTCTCTCTCTCTCTGTCTCTGTCTCTCTCTCTCCCCTCACCCCCACCCCTCTTTTTCCCACTCTATCTGAAGATAAATAGAAAAATATCCTCTGGTGAGGATTAAAAATATAAAATAAAATGTAGTCTCTATAACAAGTACCATTATTCAATGTAGTCAATATCCCCAATAAGGCATTATACTAGGTACTGGGACAAAAGTTAAATAGGTCCCTGACCTGAGGAACGTGTGTTAGCACATTTTCAATATAATATAGTATTTGCCAAGACGGATCTACCTAGGGAGCTGGGACCACAGAAGAAGACCCCGAGCCCACTGCAGAGGACCCAGCAAAGCTTCCTGGGGGAGATAATGCTGGCGTGAAATCTTAGAGGCCACATAAAAGTTACCTCCATCAGCTATCAGCCCCCTGAAGGCAGGAACCATGCCTACTTCCTGGTTTGTTGGTTTATTTTAATCATCAAAGCACCTGCTTAAATGTTAAACTTACAATAAGAGTTTATTTAATAATCCCTGACATTTAGTTCATTATCCAATTTAAATGTTGGCCAGACTATTATTTTATTGAACATAATGGTCCAAAAAAATATAACCTAAAATGCTTTGGTATCCATATGCCTTTTAAAAACCCTGCTTGTGCCACACGGAACACGTGAGAATTGCAACAGCACAACAGAAATGCCTTTGGTTGTGAAGAAGGAAGTTATAAAATATGACTGATCCATAAACAAATCACGACTTACGTGATTTAAAAGTTTTAGAAGTACGTTAATGCACTTGCTACATAAGGTGCTGATTTCATGGAAATAGTTGTTATACACCACTGTACTAGAAGCAGCGTAACAGCAAGTAAAAAATATATTTAGAAGAAAACAACAGTTAGCACATTTTCCAAGACAGTATCATACAATATATTGTCAAAGAACAGAAAAACTGTCAGATACAGGATATACTTCAAACAATATACAGACTATCATACTGGAGACAGTTTTGTATTCTATCCTCTAAAGTTATCCAAATCAATTAAGCCTACAAATTTAGCTTCATTGTCATTTGAGAGTCTTGGTGGAAAGAGACCTTACACTTTATATTAGAACTTGATCGTTCTCTTTCATTGCATTGTATGTCTTCATCCTCTAAGGCAGCCCACGTCTTCCTCATCTGATGCTAAGCAATAAGAGTTTATTATGCCTGATGCTTACATTTGAATAAGTTTTATAATATCAGAATCATTAAGCTTATGTGACAGAGAAGAGATCATGCGTATAGCTATTACAGTAAGTAGCCAACAGTTGTGAAAATATAATCTAGAGAGAATAAATGCCTAGCCCAAGTTTGCAAAAGTACTTATCAACAGAGCTGTTATCAGATGGCAGGCACTGAGTCCCAGAGCATTGCAATTTGCACTACACACAATTTCTGCAGACATTGTCCTAACAGACCACCAAGAAGACCTGAAGAAGATTTGCAACTTCGTACAGCTTTTAAGCAACTTACTCTATTCTTCCAATGCTCGTATTTGGGAAGTAAAAATGCCAAAAGGAAAAAAAAAGATAATAACTGACTTCAGAGTAAGAACTTTAAATATTTACTCAGCACCAGCTTTTACTTCAAAAAATGTACTTTAGCCCGGACGCTGTGGCTCAGTGATTGAGCATCAACCCATGCAAAGAGGTCACCAGTTCAATTCCCAGTCAGGGCACATGCCCAGGTTGTGGTTCTAATCTCCAGTGGGGGGCATGCAGGAGGCGGCCAATCGATGTTCTCTCTCATGGATGTTTCTATCTCTCTCTCCCTCTCCCTTCTCTCTGTAAAAATAAATCAAAAGAAAAAAGTATTTTTTAAATGTACTTCAGTTTTCTCACATAACCAACATATAAAACAATTTCATGTGAATTCTACAGCTTTATAGTTCCTATGTGAAATTCCAACTCTGATATGAAGAACAGAAGCAATTCCAATGACACACGTGCCATGGTGTTAGAAAAGCTCGGTGCTAGTAAACCCACTGTGTGTATGAATTAGGCTTTTCTACCGGTAACCATTGGTTCAATCCAAAATCTTGACCTCTAAATAGGATAAATTTAAGACCTATAAAATACAAAGTAGGTGGTCTTGGATAGTCTAGAAATTAATATTAATAATAAAATCTCAAAACATCTGTGTGTACAGATGAATCAAAGGTGATTTAAACATTAATATTTGAAACAGAATAAACATTTTTATGAATAAGTATCAAATGTTATTATCCAGGTGTAACAGGAAGTAGGCCACTTTCTTTAATAACACAAAAGTAAAACTGTTTATGAAATTGACTCAAATGCCCAAATAATGACAACATTTCAACCAATATCCCCTCCCCCAAAAGAATATAGTCTGTCAAAGTGGCTGTCACTTTTCTTTAATCAAGGGAAAATAGTTGATCAGTTATGAGTTGCCCTAGTTTGATGAAACATTTAAATAAATTTGTATTTTAATGTCTATTATGATGGGTGAGATACCCTGATTGGTAAATACTATTTCCCAGCTCCCACATTCTAAGAAACAAAATAAAAATAACAACAAATTTTGTACTTTCCTTTTTAAAATGTATGGAGATGGTCATTAAAGCTCATAGTATCAAAACACAATTATTATCTAACAGAGAAAAAGGCACAGGAAGATCAGAATAACTTGCTAGAACTAATAAACAGGTACTTAAAACAAATTAGTGAACAAAACATGCAAAAACTGTTAGCAGATATTACACTTTATTTTTTATCTAAGTATCTTATCTGATATCATTTAAAAGTAGGAACATCTTCTCGAAAGACAGTGAACAAAAATTAAGCCTGAAGACTTTGAAGCCAAATACATTATTTAGGCTCAAATCCTAACTCTGCTTCATATTAGCTGTATGACTCGGTCAAGTTATCTCACTGTGCCTCATCTGTGGTTTTAAAAAAAAGTACTTAAATTACATGCTCAAACTTACTTTAACAGTGAACATAACTCAGCAATTTTAATTTGTCTATTTACCTGTGCAATTAACCAGTCTATCAGTTTGTTGGCCATGACTACAGATTTGTATGTCCTTAAATGGTAATCTTTATCTCTATAAAAAAAAGAAACCAAAACATTAAAGAAAGAAGTAAGTGAGTACCCGAGAAACATTTCATTTAGTGTATGCAACAGGAACATTTACTCAATGTAATCTGAATCAATGGTGCACATTATATGTAAATAAGAGAGGGTTACAAGTTCTGTACATCATCTGAAAACTCCTTCATCAGCTCATACCAATAGAGGAAACTCCCAATGATACCAAAACAGGACATTTCTTCTTTCACATTTTTATACTCAAATAGATTATTACTGCTATATTATCTGGTAATAACTTAGCTAGAAATACAATATCTCAGCAATAAAAGAATAATAAAATAGAATTTTTTTCCCTTAAAATCAAGATAGATTCTACAAAACATCGCAAAATGTGGAGAAGCAAGCAATCATTTAATTCCCACTCCTGATTTCTCCAGGAAGGCAGGACTTGCTCTGAAGGAGTCTTGGTTTAGCTCAGCCGTACTGGAAGATGTAGGCCTGTCCTAAGGTAAATACACTGAGAACTGTGCATTTATTTTGTCACAGTGACAGCACATCCCCAGGGAACCAAGGTAGTCAACTGTCTCCACATCAGACTCCTTTCAGTAGACTTCTCAGATCCGAGAAACCATTCAAAGTTTAGTTAGACACCAACAAAGTACCTCGTGATCAGAACGAGGCCCCTAAGGTAAAAATTTATAATTCATTGAGTTTTCAGGCCTGGATCAAAAAAAAAAAAAATGAGAGCTCTGGCCAGGTCACTCAGTTGGTTGGAGTGTCATCCTGACATACCAAGGTTGTAGGTTTGATCCCCAGTTGGTGCACGGGCAAGAGTCAATCAATGAATGCATAAATAAGTGGAACACAGTTTGATCTCTCTCTCAAATCAATCAATAAAAAAAAATGTAAAAAGGAAATGAGAAAGTGACATCTTTTCAGAGCATCAAAAAATCTAAATTATAAACAACTTGAAGTGATAATTACCAGCTATATTCAGAATTCTCTAGCCTCTGTTAGAATTTATAATTAATATTTACATCATTTATTCCATTTTCATAAAGAGCTCCTTGAAATATGGTTGAAATTTCTGAGATTTCAATAATAAATGTACTAGGTTAGAGAGTAATCAACAGCATATTTTTTAAATATTTTAATATCTATCTCCTTTTTGATACCTTATCACTCATTTGTTTTTTGGTGCCCATAAGCATTAAAGGAAGGAAAAGTAAATCTATTACAGATCATGGCTCTTCACCCAAACAATTGTTTTTTCATAAGCTGGGCTCACACATATTGCATGACTGTCATGCATTCCATTTGTTTTATGGAGCTTTTTTCCCATAAATTTCCCCTCGACAACTCATAAACAATTGTCATTTCTAGCCAAAGAATAATTCCTTCTTATCAGCTCTTACTGAGTGTAACTTTCAAGATAAGAAATCCCATAGGGCTAAAATATATTTTCTCACATACAAACTCTGCATCTGCACAAGTGACATGAAAATTTTAACCAACATTGTTTTCTATTAGTTTAGCAGGAAAAGAAATAATAATAAGTGTCCACGTGCTACTGAGTTAAGCAAACCTCTTTTAGTATTAAATTATCTAAAATATTTGCAGGGTGTCTGTGCCAGAGAATCAACAAACATTGGTTCTTTTTCTTGTTTTGCTTTGTGAAGCCGCACTTGCGAGTGGGCAAAGCACTTTCAGGAACGATGGGTAAGACCCTGCTTTTCCCTCCAGGACCTGCTGTGTGTTCTCCGAGAAACATTAGTGGGTGTCCGATACACCTCGACAACAACTGCTAAATGTTTTTATTTTTAATTAAGCTCTGAGTTTCCTTGAAATTGGAAACCAGAATGAAAACTAGAAACCCTGTAAATCAAACATTTGGATTCAATAGCCACAACTGAAAAGCCTCCTTATTCATTTTGGAAATAGTACATCCATATTTTTCGTTTAAATCAATACATTCTGAATGACACCTGGTCATTTGAAATTAGTTTGATGTTACATTACATTCTATCAGTTTGTGTATATGACAAAGCACAATAATATTGCTATATGGTCTCCTCTATTTTTAACCATAACACAAAACTCAAAGTTTTTCCACTGTTTTTCTAAAGAGATAAACTGAAAATTAATCCTGATTCCTCTTAAAAATAGAAGGCATATCTCTTCAGAAGGAAAAACATATTGAAGAATAAAATTATTAAATTATACTTATTAACTCCAAAGTGATTCTTAATTTTCAAGTATAAAATCTTTTCTTTAAATAAAAGACCATTAGAAGGAAATATTGCAAAATTAAATACACATCCAAGATTAGATTACACAATTTAATTTAAAAATTAATATATAAGTAATCATAATGGTAAATATTTATAGCAAACCATATCTCTAAATTCTCTCCCAACTCTTACTTATTAAATATTAACTGAATATGAATCATTTCATTATCAAGTCTATAAATTACTGTGAATTAATGAGAAATAATTTTAGAAGCCCAAATAAAAAAAGTGGGAGAAACTATATATAGAGCCACAAAAAATTTAGAAATATTTTGAGATAAATTATTACTTAAAATAATCTTTAAAAGTAAAATTTTCACTTTGAGGGAAAAAAAATAAACCAACAAGTTCCAGCTGGATAATATTTATCTAATATGCAATACAAATATTTTCATATAAGTTGCCTACAACTTAGAAACCAGACTCACCTTATCACTGGAGTAAATAAACTATGAAGACGGCAATATAATCTTACGCCCTATTGTAAAATAAAGATATGTCAAAAGCAAGTAAGATCAGTAAAAGGACACACCAATGACATTCTGAAATAAATGTATTCACTCCTGACATTCTGGAATCATTATACAATCTCAACCAATATAAAAGTTATTCAAATGTTACATTACAACATAATATATATGTTGTAAATCTTAAAAATGACTTAAACTATTAAAAATAGGATTAAATTGTGCTATGATTTTGTCATACACATATGACATATACATATACAAAGGGTTTTTAAAACTATTTTTCTTTAAATACGAACTATGAAAATACAATGTGCCCTGGCCAGTATAGATCAGTTGCTTGGGCATCCTCTCATGCACCGAAAGGTTGTCAGTTCGATTCCTGGCCAGGGCATATGCTTGGGTTGTGGGTTTGATCCCTGGTCGTGAGTATAGAAGGCAACCAATTGATGTTTCTCTCTCACATAAATGTTTCTCTTTCTCCCTCTCCCTTCCTCTCTCTCTAAAAATCAGTAAAAACATATTTTTATTTTGTGTGTGTGTGTGTTTTTTAAATCCTCACCCAAGGATATTTCTTCATTTATTTTCAGACAGAGAGGGAGGGAGAGAGAAAGAGAGAGAGAAACATTGATGTGAGAGAGACACATCGACTGGCTGCCTCCTGCATGACCCCGACAAGGGCCAGTGACCTAACCGCAACAGAGGTCTGTGCCCTTGTCCAGAATTGAACCCAAGACTTATTGGTCAGTGGGCCAACACTCCAACCACTGAGCCAAACTGGCCAGGGCTAAAAACATATTTTTAAAAATATATATATAGCCCTGGCCAGTTTGGCTCAGCGGTTAGAGCGTTGGCCTGCGGTCTGGAGAGACCCGGGTTCGGTTCCCGCTAAGGACATGTACCTCGGTTGCAGCTTGTCCCCAGCCCTGATTGGGTTGTGTGGGTGGCAACCACTTGATGTGTCCCTTTCATGTCGATGTTTCTCTCTCTCTCTCTCCCTCCCACTCTAGCTGAACAAAATATCGAAAAATGTCCTCGGGTGAGTATAAAAAAAAATATATATATATATATATATATATATATATGTAAACAAACAATAAATCTATCACGAGCAATATCATACTACTGGTTTGTTGTATGTCAATATAAATTTTGTCAAGTGTAAAAAGAAAAATATTACATTAATTTCATATATTTGTATTGTTTTTATTTATTTACATATCATGACTACTTATTGCTACATGTGAAATAGCTTTAAATGGATTTAACCTCCTGAATGATGCAACTGCATAACTTCCATTTAGAACTAGATAAGAGAATGAACAAATGATTTAACATTAGAATTCTTGAAATAGCAAGAAGAAATTGAGAGGTTCGCTTTTGTGTGCCATTTAACATTTTTCTATACTAGAGGAATATTTTACATCTCTCAACATTTTGTCTTGCTAAAGTATGGCATGGATTCTGCTATTGATAGAAAGTTGCAGAAGCTGTTACCTTTGAAATCACATCCTGCATCTCATTTCTTGGATAAAATGTTCCGTCATCATAACGAAATCTATATAACATCTGTTCTGGTTTGAATTGATGTTTATCAGTAACTAAGAACATAAAAACAATATATTAAAATACTGACAATCTAAAAAAGTGGCAGCTCAAAGCCAGTGCATTTATGAAATACATATTCCCCAAATATTAGAACTTTAGTTTTATCAAAAGCTTTTGTTTTCCTAACACAGTAATGCAAATCCAGTATTTAGACAATAAGATTCATGATGAAATTTAGTTACATATTACATTTACCATTTCCATGTAATGACTTCAGAACTAAAATGAGGTTAGCAACATTCAGCTAGCATATTATATATATTTGTGTGTAGTGTATTTACATAAATATACAAGTTTGTGTTTTCTATTTCTTTACAATGCCACAAAATCGAGCAAAAAAGTGTCCTGCAAAGAGCAGATATTCTAATTAGTGGGTTTCGGTTTGAGTCTCAGCCCTAGAAGTGAATTTTAACATTATCTGTTTTATCCCACAGTGATCAAGCCAAGACCACACATACACCAGTCTTGACCTTTTACCCTGTGTTTAGATCTCCAGAGCAGATTATATAATTTAAGTAGACAACTGATTCCAAGATTTTAATAGTTTTCTTACACTGAGAAATGTTTTCCTTTCATGTCACTTATTTTTCTTTTCTTAGTGGAATATGAGAGTGGTCACCCTTCATTTGCATCCTCAGGAGAAGATGTTCATATTCATCAAGACTATTAAACTTCCTCTCAGACTTTCCTTTTCCCAGAAGTTATTTCACAGACAGTCAAATTTATTTTTAAATGACTGTTCTAGAAATGAACAACCTCAGATTGAAGCTCCAAGAGTTTACATGTAAATGTTTTCTTTACAGGAAGGGCAACACTTGCAGAAGAGATTGTTCATCGCAGTAGGCTCTACTTGCGTGATTAGACAGAGACTCTGGTCCTTACTTTTTGCTAACAATGTTGAAGGGAGAGAAGAAGCTGTCAGAATTAAATTTCATTATCTACATTTGGTGAATCCAGGAAAAAAAAAAGCCAAAAAACTTGTAAACACACATACGTACGTGCACATGCACACACACCCCCACACACACAGTTTCAGCTATTTTCCACCAAATTATCCAAACCATGTGTGTGGCTTGTAGCCATAAAAGTGAAACAGGATTGCTGTCCCCCAAATACATAGACAACACAGCCTTTTGGCATCCTTTATCCAGATTAAGCCCCCAAATTTAAAAAGCATGAGTGAAAAAAATAAAATAAAGAGAAATATTCTGAAGTCCTACAGCATCTTTCAAGACCAGTTTTTTATTTCTCTTATGCAATCTACCTATTCCCATGTTTATCCCTGAAGATTCACTGAAATAAATTATTGTCTTGATATTTCGAAATTCAAGGAAATGTTGGGCCTGAATGTCTCTTGCCATAGTAAAATAAACAGTGGTTTAACCTATTCAGAATAAAGTGATAACCATCAGGCATACTCTTGTGACTACAAGAATTAATCTTGGGTTGATCTGCAACTCTTAGCTGCTACCTTGGAAAAACTGAATAGTTCTACATTTAAATCTGCTCCCTCAGCTTCTCGAACATGAGAAAAGGGTTTATCAACTGATGAGACTGCAGGTCATCTCATGAGAAAGGCTGTTTACTGCCATTTTTTCAACACTATGTATGTCACCAGGTGCACTGGTCAGTGTTGCTCTCTAGGTGGTTGGGGAGAAGGAGCTCTGATTTGTAGCATTCGCCAAATTTCTGTGGTATAAGTACTCCTTCAATGGCCAACTGCAAGCTACCAAAACAAAGTCACTGAACACAGAGTTAGATGTGTGGTGATACATTATTATTTAGTATTTCCATCACACAGAAATAACAGGTATCAGTAACACCAAAAGCAAAGTTAACAGTAAAATAGAATAAAATAATTAGGAATTGATGCATTTCAAGAATACATTACCTTTGTTTATAATCTATGTACTTATATGTTTCTATAACTTCAATTTTAATAATAGATGTATTTAACAACCACCTTGCAAATTTTTTAAAAATTTAATTACCGGCTCTCTTGAGCTCCTGCAAGCCAACATCAGCACACCAGTGGATATAATGAGTGAGGTCTCTGAGTTCTCACATTCGCATTTATAATGTAAATAGTAGCTCCACACAAGAAGAATATTGTCAGCATATCACAGAAGAAGCATGTGCACTTCAACCCCTGAATTCCTGGTAGAGCAAGGTTTTGCTCTGATGAAGTTCTCAGCAGTATTTGCAATGTGAATGACAGCAATACAGTCTACTTTCTACCTTTTTTTTTTTTTTTTTTTTTTTTGCTTGCTTTCCTTAAACAGACAGTTCATTCAACTTTATTTTAGGAATTCTATTTTCATTAAAATGCAGCTGGAACCACATACTAATGAAACAGCAGGTGTGGCTCATATTTCTTCATTGTAATAAACTTATCAATGTGAAATTGCATAATATATTCTCTTATCCCCAGGTTGGGAGAACCTGTTTATTTAAAACACTTAAAAAGATTATTTCCAGTGACAAAAATTCTGCATGGCAAATCTGATATTACAACTGATCAAATCCTGAGAACAGTACCAGCGCAGGCCACTGAATCAAATGCTGGTGAACAGAACAGTATTGCTAGAGAGTACGCAGCACTGTGCTTCTCAGAAAAGAGGAGTTAATTGGCTTATAAGCATCACTGCTCAAAACAATTTAAATTCTCATGAGTTAAATAATCAAAAGATTCTTGCATTTGAAATTTCAAAGTAAGTGTAATCCAGAATTATTCTACTACTTTCTTTTCAAAATTGTTTTGTTGGAGAAAAGTGTTGTCTGACATCAGGGAGATAAACTGATTAGGACTGACATTCTCCCAGTCCGATATCCCTTCCAACTCCCCCCCTTTTTTTGAGGGAGAGAAAGGAATTCCAGATGATTCCTGTGTCTATAGATGGTGTTACATGACATCCTCAGCACCAGTGCAGTGGGGAAAATCGGGAGGGTCTAGTTTTGTTCAACCTACCCTATGTTAGAACAAAACTGAACATCAAAATAGCATAGCCAAATATCCATATTTATTCATAATTCCCTGTCTTTTTCTCCTCTGCCACAGTTGGCATTAGACATTCTTTAGGCTTTTATTCTCAGTCTCATTATCATTGATTTCTTGCTTTTTGTTTGTTTGTTTCTTATTGATGTTCTGAGGAATCTGATAACACTGTTGAAATGACCCCAAATCTCTCTCTCTCTCTCTCCCTCCCTCCCTTTCTCCCTCTCTCTCACCTGAACTTTACACACATTTTCAGCCTTTGTGAGCACTTCCCCATGGATGTCTCATATCCAACCCACAGCAAATCCTCATTGTCTCCCCAACCTGTTCCTCCTCCTGATTAGCAATTTCTGTCACCTAAATAGAAAGCTCAGAATAACCTAATTTTGCTCTTCATTCTTCATCTCCCTCATCCAGTTACCAAATACATTGTCTCAGCTTCACCAGAATCTCTGCAATGGGCCACTCGCCTCGTGCCCACTGACACAGCCCTGGCAATGCCCCGTCCTTTCATTCCTGGGGATGGAATGGCCCCCTGCTCGGGGCTCTCTGCAGTCCCTAACCTGTCTGCTCCAGGCTCCACACTGCTGCACCTGTTAGCTCTGAAACCAAGTCTGGTCACTCCTTTGTGAGAAGTATCTATCGTCTTCTTACCTCCAGAATCAGCTGGAGACACTAGAGCCAGAGAGTCTTTCAGGTCAGGTGTTCACCCACCTTTCTCATCCTGCCCCACGCCCCAATATATACATCACGACAGTATTGTCCTTCCACATGAGACGGAGCTACTTCCTGAAGAGGTCGCCAGGAACTTCCCACTCCTGTGCCTAGTGCCATACAATATTCCTCAGGGTGGAATCTGCCTCTGTCCCTGTCAGAGTTCTGTGCATTCTGCATGCCCAACACTGACCCCACTTCCCTTGTGAAGCATTCCTAAACACTCCAATGAGAATTTGCCGTCCCTTCCTTCTCAATTCCACACTTAACTGCATTGCTGAGTCTTGCCTGTGTTGTAGCTGTTCATTGTAAAGTTAGACAATACATCACCATAAACCTTCACTCCAGAAACATGGTTCTGTATTTTTAGCCTCTCAAAAACGTTTAAAAAAAAAAAAGCATCCTGTAATGTGGAGAATTACTACAAAGTAATCAATGAAATTAAGATGCAAGGAATCTATGGGTAAATAGAATAAATAAGCCATTAACAATATAATTACCATGGTGTATAATTCCATTTTCTAATAAAGCTTGTCCCAAGTGAACACCTTCTTCAGGCCTGTGAATCTCTCCAATTTCCAACAGCCATGACACAAATTCGCTGCAGCAGAAAGCCAATGAAGAGGTTAAATCGTTATTTTTACCCCCAGGAAGTCTATCTGTGCCATGCATTCATCAAGCAGTTATGAAAGAAGTCTCAAAATAGAAAAGAATATTTTCAGTCTATCTCAGCATACACTTTTCATATACATACAGCTCACAGTTATTTAAATTGGACTCTTCTAGAAAGCCCATGTCCATACATTCAGACCTACCTAAACCATACTTAATACCTACTGACCTTGTTGAGACTTCTAATAAACACAAAGGGGAAATCTCAAAGTAGCTTCAATTATAAGGTTACTATCCACATAAAGAAAAATTGGGCACTAAAGAGTAAACAACAGATCCAAGAATAACTAAAGGACAGAATTAGAGTAATAAGATCTAGATAGATAGAGTAATAGGAGATAAAGTTCTTTTGGTAAATGTTTCAATTACAGTTTACTTTCAGTATTATTCTATATTGGCCTCAGGTGTACAGCGTAGTGGTTAGACAGCCACAGTCACGGGGATGTAAAGCCCAGCAGGGAATGTAGTCAATAACATTGCGCTAACTACGAATGCTGCCAGGTGGGTACTGGTATGTGGGGTGGGGCACTCGGTAAAGAGACAGACTCTTGAATGTGCTGTTCTAGGCACAGAGAACCAGTGGGTCGGAAACTCTAAAACAAAACTCATTCCCAGTGTGGTAGACAGAGTGTGAAGATGTCCTCTTATCCCCTATCAAGAATCCTACCCCTTGGTTTATTTGTTTGTTTGTATTTTTAATTTTTATTTATTTTTTTATCCTCACCCGAGGATGTTTTTGGATTTATCTTCAGATAGAGCGGGAGGAAGAGAGAGAGAGAAACATCAATGTGAGAGAGACACATCAACTGGCTGCCACCCACACGACCCCAACTGGGCCCGGGAACAAATTGCAACCAAGGTACATGCCCTTAGCAGGACCCGAACCCAGGCCTCTCTGGTCCGCAGGCCGATGCTCTGACCACTGAGCCAAACCAGCCAGGGCCACCCCTTGTTTTTTTAATCCCATTCTAATTTAGGCAGTGCTGTCCACGGATTTTGTGTATGTACTTAAAATCCCAAGTCCGCTGACCTTCAAATATGGAAATTATCCCACTGGACTTGACCGGATCACTGGAGCCCTTTGGGGCCTTGGAAGCAGAGACTTTTCTCAGGCTGGTGGCCCAGCAGGAAGTGAGGGAAATGAAAAGCACAGGAAGATTCTGTGTGCTGCTGCTGCCTTGGAAGGCAGGACCCTGTCCCCTGTCCCGAGGAATGCAGGCAGCTTCCAGCAGCAAGAGGCGGAACCGCCTCATAACCCTGAAGGCCCTGGAATGGATTCTTCTGCAGGGTCTCAAGAGCCCCAGCCCAGCCCACACCTTGATTTTGGCCTCATGAAACCCTAAGCAGAAACCCCAGTATTGCTCACCTGGATATGTGATGTACAGACTAATAATAAAAAGGTGCTGCTTCCAGCCACTAGGCACAAGGGCAATTTGTTCTGCAGCAGTAAAACATGAATATGCACCAAAAGACACAGAAAACTTTTACTACACTTTTCTCGAATTTTAAAATTACTTGGTAAATTCATTGAAGTATCTAAACCGCCATCCATAAAGAAGACTCTGCACAGCTCCATCAGAACGGCCTACCACACAGCTGCCAGGCTGCAAAAGGCCACAGGGGATTCTCTCTCATCTTTCACACTTCAGGAGGGGTGAGGAGCCGGGCATCGCAGATAAGATAAGAAGGATAGTGTTTTGCAACACTTAGGAGACAGAGCATCAGCTCCAGAGTAAATCTATTTTAAGGCCATGTAGTATCATTAAAAGAACACTCACTACAGAGACATTTTGCAATAAAAATTTTATGATGCATATGCTATAAAAATCTAACATTTGACACTTTACATAAACTAATGAATGTATTTTAGAATGGTTTTATTTTTGCACAGAGTCCAGAGAAGCAGAGCTATGGAATGTGTGGAGAAATTACTTTTCCATTTATTTCAAAACCAAAAGGAACACGTACAGCCCAAGTCAAATAGCCAAGGAATATGGAATTCTGAATACGACGTCTAGTCTAACAAGCATGTTTGAAGGCAGAAGAAGTTGTTAAAGTGCTTTTTATTCTTCTATTAAATAAGCACCATCCAAGAGAAAGAAAATGAAAGGTGGAATTAGTAGAACAGTTCAGGTTGTGTTCTTTGCAATAAGACAACCTGGATTCAGATCTTGTTTCTGCTTTCCAATAATGGTGACATTGGATTAGTATATTTAGCTCTCTGAACCTGAGCTGTTTTTTTCCCTCGGTAACATAGAAATAATAGCAACCTCACAGTGCTGTCACAAGAGGAAAGGAGCTGAAATGTCAGGAACCCAGCCCAGCGCCTGGCACACTGGGAACACATTAAATGTCAAAAGATCGACAAGTGCATTGAAATGGCTGGTATGTAGCTAAATCAAGATTTTACATTCTGATTGACAGCACCAGATTCTTCCTTGTGTCAAATTCAAATGAGGGAAAGAGCACATTTTAAGTACTGCTATAAATTAGGATTAGAGAGAGAGAGAGAGAGAGAGAGAGAGGAAGGCTGTAATTAATATAACAGAAATTCACTTCACCAGGCAATTTGATCATAGGTTCCTAACGGGGCCGGTCATGTGGACACAGGGAGCGTCCCTGTGGAAAGGGCCACAGGTAACATAGTTAACACTTACTGAGCCTCCTTTGTCTCAGGCGCCCTGGGGAATGTTTTGCAAATCATGGCAACTAACCAGCACCAGAGCCACAGGAGACCCTTTTCACAAAACCCATCCTCCTTCAGTAAGGACAAGTCTGACCCTGGCTGACGTTCCGGCTCTGCTTACCAAGGGCCCTGATGGAGGCGGGTGTCCAGCTGCGGCAGTGGGCAGCACTGCTCACGGTAAAAAGGACGCCAATGGCTAAAGTGACACTCAAAATACCTGATGAAAACCCCAAACTTGAAGTGACTGTCTTGTCAGCAGACATGCCCCTGCCGGGGCCGTGGAAGTTATGCGCACGAGGTAGTTAACAGAAATAGTGTCTTCTTTGCACTCTGGGGCTTCTAAGCCAAGGTGGGCTCACGTTTGCTCTCTCTCTTGCGGGAGAGCCATCGGTGGAGGGGCTGTGGACACTGGCAACACCAGCCTGCTGGCAGCCGTCGGGCCTGCGTGGGGACCATGCCCACTGGAGAAGAGACTCCACGCTGCACCCCCTGCAAGCACGCAGTTTCCTGACCTATATTCTTCCAATGGCGCTGGGGGGCGCTGTGGCCCACAGTGATTTCGGATATCTCTACAGCTAATGAATGAGTAAGGCATTCTGGTAGATATTACAGGTAAACACTATGATAATCTCCACTCGTAAGGAGGAAAGAGAAATTTAACTTTTCCAGATGTCAGCCAGTAGCAGGGCCAGCTCTGCATGGAGACGGTCTGAGTGTGACTCTGGGCTTCGAACCACTATTCCAGTCTACTTTTATAGAACTGACTTTAACATTCACTAGCTGTGTGCACTTGGGCATGTTAAATTCCCTGATCCCACTTTGTGAATCTTTATAAAATGTAAGCATGAATCTGAGGATTAGAAATAGCGTACAGAGAGACTCCGCTTGCCTTCCCACAGGTACCTGAGGCACTGCCCTTCCCTTTGGCCCAGCCTGCAGCACCCAGCAGGGATTCCCACATGCAGCTGCTTGCGAACACCCAAGGACACACGCAGCCCATCTATGCTGCACACCCAGGAGACCTCCCTGTTGTTGCTCTGTGCCTGCCCCTGGCATGGCCCACTTTTTCAGACTCTTCATCTATCTATAGCCCTTCCTCCTGAGCCCAACTGTCAAAATTCTAAATTAACTGGTAGCTTAGACTGTTTCTTCAGTTCTCTTCAGTTCTCCAGCCTTCTCTGACATCGGGCCCCAAACTCACATCTTTCCCAGACTGTCACCTACAGGCAAACCTGCGTACCTGCCCTGCCTCTGCTTTGCCCTTGGAACACAGTGTGTCAGAAATTACTAAAGTCATGAATGAATGAATAATGCCTTAAGTTTCGTAGTCATGGTCCCCAGGTCTACTCCCATTCTCTCATCTCACAATGGTCTAGAAAATGCTCACAGTAAGGACATATTCCAAAATGCTTAGGAGAATAATTTTTAAAGAAAAACAAACAAATGAAAGAAAACAAATGCATGAGATACTGGAAATATAAAAAAATATATACATATATGCACCCAGACTACCAACCCTACCTTCCAAGAAAGCATTTAGGAAACGTAGTCAGTTTTCTTTTTCTGTCTTTGATCAGATTTCCTTGTCTGCACATCATTTTATAGAGTTTCTCACCCTGTTCGGAGATCATTACCCAGGTGTCTTGCTCCATTCCTAATTTTAAACCTATCAAAAATAAAACAAAGGACAGGTAACTGAAAAAGTGTCTTCATTCACTCATGCCTTCATTAAACAACCTTTTATTGTGTGTCTCCATGTGCTAGGGCTGTGGCTACAGCGCTCTGGACCACAGGGGCCTGGCTTTCAGGAAGCTCATGGGGTACAGGGAGACACGGAGGCAAGATGGCCAGGGCCACCTGGCACATGTTGAAGCTGTGCTCCAAAGGCACATGGTTTGGCCAGTGGAGGAAGAGCAGCTATATCCCACACGCTATGGACCCTTTGTCAGGACTCGGTCAGCACAGGTGGACAGCGTGGCCCCAGAGACAGCCTTAGAGAAAAAATTGTCATACAATAGAACACATTCAAAGTAGCGCCCTTATCTGAAAAGTGTTCAGAAAGGCTTCTCAGGAGGGCCCTGTTTGAGTGCACAGGTACGAGTACGGCTGGGATTTGCAGAGAGAGAGAGTCATGAGAGCTAACTGAGGTTAGCACAGACAGCGAGCCCTGGGTTTCAGTGATGTGCTGGTGGGTTAGGCAGGGTCCTTGCTCAACTGCAGTTCAAGATCCTTCATTCGTTAGGTGCTAGGGAAACGTCTGTTTTAACCAGAGAGGAAGAAGTCAGGGTAGTGCAGGAAAGGAAGTTTTGTTGGTTTAGAAACTAAACTCAGAGGACAAGCTGAAAGGGGGGAAGGTTTACAAAGAGAGAGACCATTAGGATGAAACTGAAAAAGTTCAGGCAAGTTCAAGCCCTTACAGACAATAATGGAAACAGAGATGAAAAGCATCTAGGAGGTGGTATTGGAAGGACACACCACCAGGTTACTTGTAGGTGTGAAGGCAAGAGAAGAAATTAGGGTGCCTTTCAGGTTTTTGATGTGACACCTAAATGGGGGTAGGAAGGCTTGGTGGGCAACGGGTGTCAGGTGAGGAGGAGCCCAGCTTGAGCAGGCTGACCTTGGGCATTCAGGTGGAGTCCAGGGGTCAGTAGACTACGTAAGTATGAAGCTCAGGAGAGAAAACAAGGCTAGACATCAAGACTGAGAACTTGGCGTTGTAGAAGTGGAAGTTGATCTGGTGGGAATAGATGACCCAGGCAAGGACTCTAGTTTGGAGGAGACCAGTGCAAAGCGGGAATCCTGGGAACACTGACACTCAATCGTAGGACTTTCATGAAGAACTGTTGCAGAAGAAATACTTGAATCATTTTAGTTTCCTAGTTACAAAATTTCTTGCTGACATTTTATATTTTTCAATGCAGGAGCCATTAACATTTGTCAGTAATAGTGAATAAAAATTCATTAAGATTTGAGCCTATTAACATACACAGATTTATAGAATGTGCTTTCTTTCTTTCCTTCATTCTTTCTCCCCCTCCACCTTTTTGGGGGGGTCTTGGGCTTACCTACATGCATAGCCATTCTGAAAAAATTAAGGGTCAATTTGCTCAAAAATTCAATTCATTTTTAAATAATTTGTTATATTTGAATTAATTGCTAGATTTAACTAAACAGGAGTCTGTTATGAATTCATAATCTTTGTCTTAAAAATTTCTATCTGATTCTTTGTCCAACATCAATCAAAGGAGTAAGGATTTGAAAATGCTTTGGAAATTCTTACTGCAACTGTGTGCGATGGACATTTTAATCGAGGTAAAAAATGTGTACATTCTCCAACGGAAAGCAGCTGAAGGTCCAAAGGGCTCTTTGTGTTCTAAAGTTTTATCATCAATGAGACCTTTTATTCCTAGATGTCTGGGGAAAGGAATATATACTATATTTATTATCAATTATTTGATAAAGAAACTAGTAGTTACACAAGCATTTCTATTTCCTAGCTGATTTACAGAAACATGGTTATTTGCAGACAAACTCCACACAACTGAATATTGCCAGACCAAGTACCTCCCACAAATCTGCTAAAAACATGAAACAAATTTGAGCTAGGCCATCTCATGTGAACAAGCTGCTTATTGAGTTATATTACATTATATTCAATGTAATACAATTGCAACATTTTTAGAAAGTTAATATATATCCAAAGTGCTTTATTCTATAATTAGGACACTAACATATTTGGCCTAGGAATTTTCAGGGTGCTATTAAATATATAAAGAACAATTGTTGGAGGCCTACAATGCCACATGTTCTTGAAGCTTGGCTCTTAAAGGAAACCTCTGTGATGATGCTTTAGAAAAGGCAAGAATAAACTGCAAAGAAAATGGAACAGATTGTAAAACAAGTGAAACTGTTTGCTGTAGACAAACTATCTGTGTGCCCCCAAAATTCATATGTTGAAACCTAATCCCCAGTGAGAGGGCATGAGGAGGTGGGGCCTTAGGGAAGTGGTGGGGTCATGAGGGTGGAGCTCTCATGAATGTGATTAGTGCCCTTATAAAAGAGACCCGGGGCCATCCCTCTGGCTCCCTCCGCCTTGGGAGGTCAGCGGGAAGGCCTGTGAGAGGAAGTGGTCCGTCAGCAAGCACAGAACCGGCAGGAGTCGTGATCTTGGGCTTCCCAGCCTCCAGAAGAGAGAGAAATAAATGTCCTGCTATTCACAAGCCACCGAGCCTGGGGCAGATTGTCACCGCAGCCTGAACAGACTAAGACACTATTTAAAAGACACTGCCAGTCACAATACAATATTTTGCTAACTGCATAAGGTTTTTCTTTTATTTTAGTAAGTAACAATATTGCAAGCTTTCAAAAAGTATTTCAGCATGGGGCTTACATCACACAGAAAATTCAAGTGAACATTATATACTTTTTTACTTTCTCATAACTTTTGCCCATTATCTGCTTTTCTACTAAGTTAGAATCTTCACAGAGTATAATAGTGCCCACTTCATACACTCACTTTTTCGTCTTTCTCTTTCTTTCAAAATAGCTTCTAACCATTCATGTTTCTCTTCAGGCGTTTTTGCCATGCACACAAACCATTTGTTCTTTGCTGTGTTATGTATCTTCCATCCATTAACCACAATGTGTCCACTGCTATGGAAGTCAGCTGGAAATTAATGGGCAAAAGTGAATGAACGAATGTGACATATACTATTACATCAATGCAATCATTCAAGTCACAAAAGTTCCCAAACCATGGAATTCTTCAAAATACCTTTGCTCTATGTGCGTGTTGAAGAACAAAAAATAAAACGTTAATAAAATGTTTGCATGTGGAATGTAGTCAGTGCTCAATAATGGAACAGTTCTAACATCACCCTCACAGGCTCTCCCTCCCTACGTCTGACCCACACACCGAGGACAGCATGTTATGCTCGTCCCTCCAAAGGCCTTGGATTCTTACACGTCTTCATCCACTGCCCCAGGTTCCCATCAGCACAGTAACCATAGCAATCATACAACATTCACTTAGACTACCAGGCAGGTGGTACAAATGCTGACAACCACACCATCTGAGGAAAAGGACGGAAGTGAGACCAGGGAAGAAAACGCAGAGAGTACTGAGGCAAGAAGGGAGAGGGGGTGCCCAGGGGCGACAGGGCCAGTGAAGGACAGCATGGAGGCTTGAGTGTGCCTTCCCTATCTCATTTCCTCCCACCTCAAGCAACTGTGGGCTTTGGGGTGTTCTCTTAAGCATTCGGGTTACTGAAGCAAGAGAGCTGTTCACATTGTTGATGGGTAGCAGTTCTACGTGCCAGTAAACAATCTCCTTAGAAAGCCTTAAAATGAGTTACTGCCACCTTAGAAAAACTAACATGCACACGCGGTCAAGGAAAAATATCCTGCTAGGTCCCACATGTGATCACGGGAGTATCTGTCACTGGACCGTAGTCTGCAGCACAGAAAGGGGTTTGAAATGTGGGATCTCTCCCCATTCTGCTGTCTGACAGCTCCCCACCTCCATCCCACCATGCACCACTGAAGAGCATCTCCACAGCGTGACTGGGCTCAGGCACCTCCAGAACTTGTCCCCTGCATGTTTTTTTCCCTTGCCTGCGGCAACCACAGGTCACTCTTTTAAGTACTGGACAGTTTGTTAGGATGCTTACAATGAGAAAACCTGTGTTCCAGACAGATTATAAACATTCTTCTCCCCTTTGAGACCCAAGGATGACAACAAACGTTATGTGGGAGGGGGGGAGCTGATCTGTGCCCCAATCTCATGTTTCAGTGGCATGTTACAAAGACATTTCTCTCTGTGGAAATAAATATCACTTACCAACAATTAATATATTTCATAATATCTTGTCTTTTTTCTTAGAAGCATACCTTTGAAATTCTAATTAAAATCTTTAGAAAAAGAATGATTCAATTTACTAAGCTTTCATATTATAGACAACTTTTTTTCAAACAGTAAATAATAATTTATCTCCACTTTGTTTTACTTAATGTTTGTGACTAAACACAATTTCATGAACTTACTGAACTTACTGATAAAAGTCCATACCCTCAAATGTACAGAGCAGAATTTACTATCTTTGTGAAATAAAGAACTTAAAATAAGCACTTAAAATTGTACGAACCACCTCCATCCACAACTTTCCCATATAAGCAAATTGACAATCGGTTTATATTAATGACAGTTGTATAGCTAAAATAAATCTAGGGTTTGCTATATTCTACATTAAATATATTATAGGAACACAATGTCACATGTGTACTTATAACATATAGCATAACTTATAGTAAGTCAATCCATTCATTGAATATTTTCTGCATTCTCTCTAGACTAGAAATTATGAATGCGTAGGATACTCCTACTCAACTATTTCCTTGTATCTGTGTTTAATATTAATGTGTTTCAGCCAAAAATAACTTTTCATTTTGACAACAGTCTTCCCCTCCCTTTCGCGTTTTTCCTCTGACTGCTCTACCTAACAACGTATTTCTAAGCTCTAATGCACCTCATGTGCATTTCTAAGCTCTAATGCACCTCATGTGAATTATTCAAGTGAGAAATCTGTCTTATGAGGGAGTTCCCCATTGGCCTTTCATTTTAAATCTACTAATCTCTCACCTGTGCCATCATCCACGTTCTCCACTTCCATCACCTCTGTGTTGATCCGGCCACGAAAAAGATACCGATGTCCATCTGTAGACGCCTTGCTATTCTTCAACCGTCTTAAAAGGAAGGAGATCACAAAATCATTATTACTCTTCTTAATGCAAGACAATGTTGAAGCTATATAGTTTAATCAAATCTTTGAAAAAGATACCGATTCAATGAATGATATCAAATGTTAGGCTCTTGGTATTTTTTACTTGTGTCCTCCCATTCATAACAGTGCTGGTGGGTTACAAGATGTGACTTACTTCTACTTTTTTAAATAAAGTGAAGTTCTAGGCTCAAGACAACATACAGGAAGGAGGGTAAACATGTGCTGTAGCTCAATATAGGTCATCAAAGGTGCCCGATCACACTCTGACAGACACTAACAGTTGGTTAAAATTTCATTTGATTTCTTTCACCTTCATTTCTCATTTTTCAGTAAGTGGCCGGTGATTCCCATTTTTTTCAATCTCTGGTAAAATTCAGTTAGTTCTTATGATTCTTTTTCAAAGAAATTGACTCTGCTGGAGGTTCTGAAGCATTATCCAGGTGAATATATTTTCCCTATAGTTTTTATGATATGATAACTCTATGCTTGTTGACTAAGTCTCTTAAAACATTTATAATCATTCATAAAGGTCTTATTTATTTTAAAAATAGTCTAAGTCATTCCAAAACTTTGTATATAGTGGGTCTAGTATTGGCTTTTATCTTTAAAAGCATGTAATAACACAAAGTAAAAATAATCCAGGTCTACAGATGAACACTTGTAATAATGAATTAGGTTATTGTGTGTGTTTATAGTTGAATCACTGAACATTCAGGAGAGATTGTTTTAAAAACTGGGTCTTTTCAATTAAATTTAAAAGAAAAGATTGAAAGGAGTGATTTGAGAGGATTAAAGAATACCTAGTCACTCAAGAGATTTCAATTGACCTAAACTCTTCAAGTTGACTTATTGATGCAAGTCTGCCTAACAATTTAAAATGCTGAGATAATTATTCACTTATTGTGCAATACAGAAACACCGAGCAAAAGGTAAGCTGTCACTGTACACCAACACCAGTGTTCCCTCTCCTCTTCTCCTCTGGCGTTAGACACCTGCCATGGAGTGGGAGGAACGGGGGCAGGGAGGGAGCACAGGTGTCTTCACCATCCCTGACTTCCTTCTTGGGAAAACAGTATGTATCCCTACTTACCTGTCTAAACCCTCATCAAAACTTATCATCCTTTATCACTAGTAAAGAAAACTAACTAAACTGATTAATTCATCTGAATGTCTGTCAGCCCCAGGCCTTCACGATTTTGCACTCTCTTTGTGAAAGCAGCCTCTAAATGCATCTTTGTTAATAACCTTAAATAAATAGTGTACACTAGGGATTGGAGCCAGGTAACTATGAAAGTTGGCATCACTGGAGGCAAAAGATATAGAATGCAGAATCGACTAAATGCAGGTACCTGCATATTCTCTCAGGTAGGAAATTGTATTATGGTGTGTTGCAAAAAAAAAATTTCTTATAAATTGATACATCATACTTAAAACCAATCACGTGCCCTGGCCAGTTTGGCTCAGTGGTTAGAGCGTCGGCCTGCGGTCCGGAGAGACCCGGGTTCGGTTCCCGCTAAGGGCACGTACTTCGGCTGCAGTTTGTCCCCGGCCCTGGTTGGTCGTGCGGGTGGCAGCCACTCGATGTGTCCCTTCACGTCGATGTTTCTCTCTCTCTCTCTCCCTCCCACTCTATCTGTATAAAAAATGGAAAAATATCCTCGGGTGAGAATTAAAAAAAAAAAAAAAAACCAATCACGTTTTGAAAAGCTTAATATAACTGATGACAGTTTTAGTCACGGACATGGAATCTGTCATTGGGACCTATTTTCCAAATTATTGATTTTCTTTATGATCTTGCTATTAACTCCATACAGGCTTTTTATATTTCTCTTGACCTGCAGATGATAACAGTCAATATGAAATTCTAGTAAGCGTCTGATTAGCAGTGTAACACTTTCTTCAAATCTTTGTAACAGATCTTTGGTTCCCTCAGAAAATGGCTCATTGAATTTTAAATATTAAAAAATCCATGGTTTGACAATAATTTGACTCTACACTGTAACTCTTAGTATTTGAATAGCTCAAGTCTATGAGTTCCTTCCTAAGTATGTGTCTCAAAGGTCACCAGGGTGCATGTACAGGAATGCTCACAATAATAGAAAAACTGGAAAGTACCCTCAAGTCCATGAACAGGAGAATTAATAAATCATAATTAATTAAATTGTTTAATGGATATGCAGCAGTTAAGATGAATAAACTATTGCTACACACATAGATATATAGTTTTAAAAGGATAGTATATACAAAATATAAGTTGCAGACAATTAAATACATAACGATACCATCTCATATACAAAGCTCATAAACAACCTGATATCTGGTATTGTGATCCCACCTACTTTGTCCTTCTTTTTCAAGATTGCTATTATGCAGCTGTAAGAAAAAAGATCTCTTTTTTTTTTTTTTTTTTATCCTCACCTGAGGACATCCTTCCATTTTTTGTTCAGATAGAGCAGGAGGGAGAGAGAGGAAGAGAGAGAAAAAGAAACATCGTTGTGAAGGGACACATCGAGTGGCTGCCACCCGCACGACCAACCAGGGCCGGGGACAAACTGCAACCGAGGTAGATGCCCTTAGCGGGAACCGAACCCGGGTCTCTCTGTACCGCAGGCCGACACTCCAACCGCTGAGCCAAACCGGCCAGGGCAGAAAAAAGATCTCTTATCCTTTGAGACGACATGAAGGGACCTGGAAAGTATTATCCTAAGTGAAATAAGCCAAGCAGAAAAAGACAAATACCACATGATCTTACTTATATATGGTATATAATGAACATAACAGTCTGAGGAATACAGTAGACCCAGAAACATGGAAGTAGGGCACAGACTGACATCCCTCAGAAGAGGGGGTGGGGGGGATGGGAAGAGATAAACCACAGAACTTATATGCATGTATGCATAACCAATGGACATAGACAACAAAGCCGGGGACGGGGTGGGGGAATGGGGAGGGGGGTGCCAATGGGGTGAAAAAGGAGAAACATCTGTAACAACAACAAAAAATTAAAAATTAAAAAAAAAAAAGCTCATAAACAAGCCAAACTAAGTAGTCATGTTATATATATCAAATACTACATAACTTTTTATTTTTAAATACTAATTTCTTCTAAGATTAATAGTGTTGTTAGAAGTATGGACAGCTGGGATGCCTACTTAGTACTCTTGTCTTTAACGAATGTAACTCTAAAATTAAAATAAACCCATCACGCCCTGGCCAGTTTGGCTCAGAGGTTAGAGCGTCGGCCTGCGGTCCGGAGAGACCCGGGTTCGGTTCCCGCTAAGGGCACGTACTTCGGTTGCAGTTTGTCCCCGGCCCTGGTTGGTCGTGCGGGTGGCAGCCACTCGATGTGTCCCTTCACATCGACGTTTCTCTCTCTCTCTCCTTCCTCTCTCTCCCTCCCACCCTATCTGTACAAAAAATGGAAAAATATCCTCGGGTGAGGATAAAAAAATAAATAAATAAATAAAAATAAAATAAACCCATCAGGTCCCTGGGCCTTGCAATTACAACAATATGGAGGTTTGGAAAAGGTTCAGTTTACTCATACTTTCTGGAAGATAATTAGAGCTTAGACTGCACAAGGTAAAGAAGGTGAGGTGTTCTAAAACGAAGGAAACAGATGGGGGATTCACACTACCATCATTCAGGAAGGGACACACAGATTTACTTAGTGATTTCCCCTTCTAATCACTATGTATTTTGTCCATGCGATACATATGTTCAGGATATTTGCTAAAACACAAGATTTTAATTTTATATAACTTTCCTGTTGTTTAACTTGTTTAAATATTAAGGCCATGGGATCATAAATAATATTATCATTTGTACAGTATTCACTTGTAAAAGCTTTTGACTTAAAGGCAGGTGTATATATAAATGAGATCAAATGTAATAAAGAAAAGATATAATTCTCAAAATGAATGCTTTAATAATTGCACCTAGATGGACGTGTTAATTAACTCAATGGGGAAATCCTTTCACAATGTATAATGTATATCAAACCATCATGTTGTACACTCTAAAAATCTTGCAATTTTATTTCTCAATTATACCTCAATAAAGTTGGAAAAATAATTACACCTAAATTACTTGAATCACGTTACAGTTTTTTTAAAGAAATTACATACCAGTAAAATTAACAGCCTCTTCTACATCTTCCTAAAGCCTATTTCTATCAATCTCAATCTTGATACCAAACACAAGGAATTTAGAAAAGCATACTAGAAAAAATAGGTTCTTTTTCACATGTAGTAAAGAGAAAATTTTTAAAAATCTCATTTAGACAAAGATGACAGCAATTTAATTATCTTTTGGCTCTAATCCTAACCCGTTCCCTTCCATCAAGGTACATTGTACCACTTCATTAAAACATATGTTTCCTGGCTACAGCTAAGGAGAAGCACATAAAGGCTCAGGATATTTCCCAATAAACTGCAACTTTACTATTTTGTTTAAACAACCTGCAAACATTTTACCCAAAAGTTCAAGAAAACATCCTATCAAACAAGTACCTTCTGAAGAAAAAAAATTACATCTATGATCTAAAACAAACAACAATTATGTCAATAACATGAACACATAACATTATTTACACTAACGACGACTAAGTGTATTATACCAAGGACTTGCTTGAGTTTCATTCATTCAATCAGGTATTCACTACTCAACAAATATATCTCGAGTATCTATTACATGGTAGGTCTGCTCCAGTCTCTGGGGAAAGAGCAATGAAAAAGCAGCAAGATCCTTGTTCTCATGGCCCTTACAGTCTAATCTTGTAAAGGTAGCAAAAAATAAACAAATGAATACTGGAGAAAATATCAGCATGCCCTTTCCAGACAGTAACAGTGTCTGGGAGGCTGCCTTGGATGGAGTGGTCAGGGAAGATATTTCCGAGGAAGTGATATTTACATGAGATCTAAAAGACTTCAAGAGCACAGCCACACAAATGTTGGAGGGAAGAGTAACTAGGAAGGAGAACAGCCAGTGCAGCAGGAAGAAACAGTGTTCTTATTTCCTCATGGGGATGTAAAGTATAGCATAGGGAATACAGTCAATAACACTATAATAACTATGTATGGTGCCTGCTGGGTACTAGAAATACCAGGGGGAACAATCTTTAAAGTATATGATCATCTAATCACTATGCTATATACCTGAAACCAATACAAGATAATATTGAATGTAAACTGTAATTTTTTAAAATGTTAAAGAATTAAAAATTGAAAAAAAATAAATGCAAGTGAAAAGAATTATTGATTTCCTCTCCAGTTTTCCCATCCATTAGTTTCCCTGATTCCAAAAGCTTGGAGTTAGCCTTGGGTCCTATCTTTCCCTCATCCTCCCATATCAATCCACTAGAAATCTTATTGATTCTGCATTTAAAACATACAAAAATCTTTCCACATCTTTTCATCTACCCTAGCCCGTCCGCCAGCATCTCCTCCCTGGGTGACAGTGGTTGCTCCTGACGGGTCTCACCACGTTCTCATGTACTACTCCACAATTTATGCTCTACATCTTTTACAAAATAAAGATACGAAAGCATTTTAAGAAGGAAGAAGTGCTCAACTAAACTAAATACTGCTGAGAAAACATGTAAAACCTTACCGAGCAGAAAAGTGATCACTTACTTAGAAAACATAGCAGTCAATGATGACTTTGACACGAGCAGCTTAGTGGAGTGGAGCAGATGCTTACAATCAAGATTTCAATTTTTATAACTGTTAGTGTTGACAAAGTAAAGGGATGCCCACAGGGCAGGTGGCTCGGGTATGATGAAGTAGACTATTGTTGTAGGTGAAGTGACCACAGGCTTTCAGGTTCAAATACTGAACAGATCATTCATATGAGTTTTGAACACAACAAAATTGGTGACCAAGCAAACACAAGGAAGTGGTACAAGAGCTAAAGCAATCACTGAACTCATGTGCGGCAGAAAGTTATGCAGCATTCTGTAAAAGGAAATAAACCAAGAAAGCTACTAGATAGGAAGGACTGATGGCATGAGTTTCACGTGTGCTGGGATCCTTAAAGGAAGAGACGTGGTGGGGAGCAGCACTAGGAAACAAGACACACCTACCTGGGCCACAGGGTCTGAGGTAGGGGGTGAGAAACAACAACAAAAATCTTTCCTCCAGAAGGCTCCTGGAGAGGTGGTGTCATAGAATAATAGTCACATTTCAGTTAGGTTTCATAAGATGAAGAGAACAATCACATAATAGGCTGAGTATGTGGAAGTTTACTGATGAGACTGTGAGTTCCCAGGACCACGGGGGAAATGTTGAACCTGGGAGATGGATAAACAATTTCTTAAGTGGTACCTGTTTATCTTCTTACCTGTGTTTTCTTTTGCAATACACCAGAAGATTATCAAAAAGAAAAAACACCCGTTCTTGAATATTTCCGGAAGAGATTTTCAGTAAGACTCCACACATTAGCATTTCAGTACAGGTGTCGGTGATGTTAGACCCCTAAGTCAGGAAGAATGGAGACAATGTCTGATTACTTAATAGAACTTTCATATGTAAGTCTTTTCCCCCTTAAAAGCATATTTGTTTTTATTTGAAGATGTAATGTACGGACAGGATAAAAATTCAAAGAGTACAAATATTTATATACTGAACATAGGTCTCCTTCCCTTCCAGTCTCCTTTTGGTCGGTCTGAGATAATATAACTACTATTAAGAGTGCCACACCAATAAAGCCAATTAAAAAGAAAAAAAAGAGATTCTGGGTCTCTTTTAGCTATTTTATATATGTACACATACAAAAGCATCTATGATACAAGTTACCTATGTTCTTTAAAAACAAAATGATTTCAAACTGGTTCATAACATTAATATTCTTAATATTCCTTTCTTCCTCCTCTCTTTCCCTGATGTGAGGAAAGAACTCCATAGACATATGGCAAAGTATAAGAAACTGTCTAAATTTTTAGCAGGACTGAATTTATAGATCCATCCACTAGGACAGAGAGGGAAAAGAAAAGAAGAAATAAAAGAAAAAAATCTACATATTTGAAGAGAGCAACATTCCATAGAGCTTTTCACTACAGTATTAAAAGTTGGCACAAATACATACATTCATTAAAGTCTTAAATCATAAGCCTTGAGTGCCCACTAAAGTCATATGATTTAGCTACAACATTGATTCTTAACACAAGTGCAAACCATTGGAGGTTTAGAGGAGCCACAAGAGGTAAGGAGCCTGGGTTCCTGAATCATTCACAACAAAGAAACACTTCCCACTAAGTAGAACACAGGCATTGGATTGTTGTGTGAACTGAGTATAAATGTCTATTTTGAGCCATTGTACGTATTGTAGTCCATACTGTAGTTTCTACAACCTAAACTATCAAAACTAATGCAATGAGTTGGATTTTTTTTTAAGGAAATTTTCAGTAGAGATCTGTTAAGTGTGCTCTATCTACAGGTGTATTTCAATTTTAAATATGTCTGGTCTCTTCAAGTCTGGGAGTAAATTTCTGATTCTTTGTAAACTTAATGGATTTAATTTTTATTTTTGATACTTAAAACTCATATATTAATATTATATTTCACATTTCTAGAATAATTGATATAGTTTTTCTAATCAATTATAAAAATTTAAGTTAAAATGGCAACTCATGACTATAATAAGAAACTACCTAAAGGGGTTAAGACATTGTTATAGTGTTAATTTGAGTATATTACAAATACTTTTTAAATTTTAGACATTTCCCTCTCTTCTTTCATTGTAAAAGGTAGATATATATAAATGGAGATCTGTCAAACATTTACACAATTTCATATACTTTGTAATGTAATAATTAAGTAAAAACTGTCAACAAACATGAATATAAATCCTAATTCCAGTGACAATGATTTCTTATTTATAGTGAATACCATCCTTACCTTAGAAAAAAGCTAAGATAAAATAATATTTAAAAATGTAAAAAAGGAAACATCACTTTGATTTCTACACAAGATCAACACAACATTGTGAGAAGTGGCTTTATTAATATTAACTGTACAGAAGGTACACAAAACTTTACCTTAGACTATTTCTTATAGTAGCCCTCAAAAACAAAGGCAGGAAGATAATTTGTTATATAATAAAAAAGGGTCACTACTACAAATATTCTGTTTGTATATTTTCCCCTCAAATGATAAAAATCTAGCTTTCTCTATAGTTAAAAAAAATCTTGCAATTTTATATTTGAAATATATAAAACTTATAATATTTTTAAAATTATAATATTAAAAATATGTGTATTTTGTTAATTTACCTAGAAATGCCAAGAGAATTTCTGGGGTTAGGGATAAAAAGCCAAGCTATAGCTCTGGACAGTGTGGTTCAGTGGTTAGAGCGCTGGCCAGTGCAACAAAGGGTGGCGGGTTCGATTCCCAGTCAAGGGCATGTACCTAGGTTGCAGATTTGATCCCCAGCCTCAGTCAGAGCACATTTGGTAGGCAACCAATCAATGTGTCTCTCTCACATGGATATTTGTTTCTCTTTCTCTCTCCTTTCTCTCTTTCTCCCTCTTCCCCCCTCCCTTCCACTCTCTCTAAAAATTCTTCGGGACAAGACACCTCACCACACTGTATTATCCAGGGGACAAGAGAGCAAACATCTTTCCCAGAAATCCTAGCAAATGCCTCCTGAGTTCTGGGTCTGCCTGGCCTATGTACAATCCTGGGCCAATCACAGCAGGTGAGCTGTGAGACTCAGGCAGGGCCGTCCTCAGCGTCCAGCATATGGTCAGTTCTACCCAAAACCATGACTGAAACGGAGGGGGGCGGGTCCTAAAGGAAATGTGGAGCAGTCTTATATTCACATAAAAAGTAAAAAATAAAAATCAATGGAGAAAATATCCTCAAGTAAGGATTAACAACAACAAAAACAATAACCACCACCACCAAGCTACAAAATTCAAAGGAGAAATTAAAATAAGATATGGCTATAAGCATTAGATTGCTAGGTAAAAGTCAGGAGCACTCAAGTTTATCAAAAGGAGAATGTCAGATGAGTGAACCAGAAAATCAAACAAGCCAGGCAGATCATCGGAGGAGATCGAAGCCTCTAGGACAATGGTTCTCAAATTTTAGAGTTTGGAAGACACACCTAATGGGCTAGTTGAAACTTTGCTTGGCACTACCCTCAGAGATTGAAACTGAGTAAATCTGGGGTAGGTCCCAGACCACCTCGTAGGTCATAATGCTTGTGGTCTCCTGTGCACACTTGAAGCAACACTGCTTGGAGGCTTGATCACCTGAGCTCCGGTGCCCAGGTGTTCAGTGCAGCAATGTGCTAAAGTGGAGGAAAAGGTGAGCATAGGTTTCTGCCTGAGGCTGTCCTGACTGCTTCCCAGTGCCCAGGGCAGAAGAGGTGTTTACCACATGTTACATATCACAGTTACACCTCCAGTATGTTTCATCCCTATGGCATAGTTCATCATCACTGAATATTCATTTAAATCTGCACAATGTTACTTTACTTAGTATTTTGTCTTCATTTTGAACACTGATGTTATTTTTAAAATATATATTCTTTCACAAATACATATTTAGTCACTGAGCAACCATGTATAATAAACACTTCTATCTAGATGAATACTAAAGTCAGATTTTTAACATTTCTAAAACATGCCAAGCAATGTGTTAAGTATTTTCTCCTGGTATAAATATCTAGCAAGGGACCTCTCTATCCCTACAGTTTTTTGGGAAAAAATGTTTATTGAATTAAATCAGCTTTGTAAATGGTTTCATGGATCATCATGTAGATGTCAGAGGAAGCAGACTTGTACTGTGAAAAAAACTGACACCTTAAAAAAAATCCTGCCCATGAAAATAAGCTGCTTAAACAGTGTGGGCATATATCACAGAGTCATAAGCCAACATTTGAGAGGTAAGGTATGAAAGACTTGCTTTTAAAAAATAAGAGGGCTTTGCATAAATCATTCATTTTGAACTGCCCCCAAATCATTACATATAATGTAATATGTATATGTACATATTTAATGCAGATACTTTTTGTTGTTATTAATTCTCACCTGAAAATACTTTTACATTGATTTTTAGATATATTGGAAGGGAAGGAGGGAGAAGGAGAGAGGAAGACAGAGGAGATGAGAGAGAGACAGAGAGAGAGAGAGAGAGAGAGAGAGAGAGAGAGAGAGAGAGAGAAACATCAATGTGAGAAAGACACATCAATCAGTTGCCTCCTGCACGACCCTGACTGGGTATCTAAACTGCAACCCAGGCACATGCCCTTGACTGAGCACTCAAACCCTAAACCCTTGAGTCCTCAGGCTGACATTCTAACCACTGAGCCAAACCAGCCAGGGCAATGCAGATACGTTTAAATAATGTGTTTTCACATATGATTCAGAGCTCTGCTGTCTCTTAGCAATTCTTTAAAATATAACCAAAGCAACGTACTTTTATCATCTACATGCTTTATTTTTAATGCATATTTCCCTTTAGGAAGCTACATTTATGATGGAAAATCAGAGACTGCTTGTTTACAATGAATTACATATATAGAATTAAACACAGTAAAACCCCAGCTAAGAAGTTACATGGATAGTTGTAATCTGACTGCTCTCATTAGATCAGGAAAGGAAGTGGGGTGACAGTTCAAGGTAAGAAGTAATCATGAGTAAACATCTGTGAGTCGTGAGGGGAGATGAACTCATCCAGGCTGCTCTCATCCCACAAGCTTCTCCCTTTCTACCCCAAGCTGTGCACACCTATCTTATTCCTCCATCACCACCACCCCAGCAATGCAAAGGGTGAAATACACTGAGAGAAGTCTGCTCATACAAGTTGATTAGACAAAAGAACCAATACGTGCATTGTAGAAATATCTTTACAATGATTGAGTTTCGAACTGCAGGGTGTTCAACTCTAATATCAAGGAAGTGAAAAACATCTCACAAGGTATATTTGTGACCCATAAACCAGAACAGGATGCTCAAGATTATTAGAGAACATCAAAGTAGCAGAATAATGAAACAAGTTATTGGACTCTAAATAAAACCAGGTCAGAATCACTGCCATTAACCAAAAGAGGCAAGAGCATCCAAAAACAGCAAGAAGCCACTAACCGTACATAACTACCATGACATTGTATCTGCATTTAATCCCATTCAGCCCACTGTGCATCAGACACTGTTTTAGATGCTGGGGACCCAGATCTTGAGATATGAACCCTGCTCCCAAGAAACATACACGCTCATGGGAGAAACAGACATGTGAACACAACTAAATGCTGTGCAATCACTGCAAGAATAGGACATGAATAAAATGAGAGTTGGCACGTGCGAATGGTGACCAATATCAGGGATGGCTGTGTGTGTTCATGATTATGTTTGTTTATCATTAATTATATAGTTTATGCCATGTTGTAGTTTCCGGTTTCAGTCATTCTCCAGTAAATTTCTTCACTGAATTTATGAAGTCTACCATTTAAATGTCACCTTCCACTATGGGTGAGATCAGTCTGAATGGATGAAGCAAACAACGACGTCAGTCACAGACCAGGACCCAGAGCCGCCCATTTTGGCATTGTTGCTCACCAATAGCATCTCTTCTGTGTGTGTGTCAGGCCACAGGAGCCAGCAAGAAAGTAATAACAATTCAGAATCCAACTTGTGGCAAAGCTGAATAATTTTTAATCTATAATTTGAAATATATAATTGGCTGCCAGTTACTTATATGGTCAGTATTTGTGAAAAACTATTAAATTTCGATGCACCATTACAGAATTTAATGTGAAACCATGATAAATTTTATGAATGGACACTTGTTGTGTGTCCGAGTATACTTTCAGAAAATTACAAGAGCCAGAAAAGGCCACCAGAAGCATGTATATTCATTTTTCAATTTATTTTCTAATTTCCAAGTTTCTTCAAACATTAAAATCATAATTTATGAAGAACTGCAATAATAAAACACGTCTCATCTTTAAAAAAAAAACAACAACAATAAAAATAATAGTGCTAAACTATATCTGGACTGTTTGAAAAGGTACATCATTTTTATGTTAACAAGTTCTCTCAATATAAGTTACCTAAGCATTCATTACTGATTCTTCACAGCTATGAGGTGGCAAAAATCATTGTCATAGGAAACCATTCACTAATTATCTGACCCCATTATCAGCTCTCCCTGCTTAGCACCAGGGGCTATCTCATTCATCTTGTTAACTAAAGGTTGAATGTCAACATCAGAAAAACACAAACTGACTGCAGAGAGGAAGCCATGATCTGGGGAAAGATGAGATGAAAGAGACCTTGAAACTTCCTCCTTCCTACACAATGTGTCGGAGATCTAACAGAGCGGCGGGCCCATTCACAGTGGAAGGAAGGAAAACGAACAAGTGGATGGGTGTTTCATAAGAGAACATTTTCAACATCAAAAGAGTTTCTTGAGAAAAATTATGAATCATTTGAATATTCTTTTAAAAAAAAACTTTTAAAACTACTAGGAAAGTCAAACATGAAAGGAAGCATATCGCATTGTTTTATTATATAATTTTGTCATAAAATGTATGCCATCTCCAAAAAAGACTCAGCATTTGAGTCACTCTTTTCGAGATTCAAATTATTAACTGAAACTATAACCTAAATTCTGTTATATGTTAGATTAAAAAAAAACTAATAATATAAATGTTCATTTTACCAATGTTATGTCCCAATCAAACTTTCCCCCAATTTCATATATTGTGAAATGTTGGTGCTCATTTATGTGGATTCACTTTCAATGGTCTTTTCCCAAAACTACTTATCCTTAAATAGCAAGGATTATCTATAAATCAATTCTACAAATTCTGACAAATACAGTTTGTCAAGGTAGACAAACTGTATCTAGCAAATCACCATGTAGAGGGGACAAAAAGATGCAGGTCTCCTCGTAACCTCAGCAAGACTCACAGTGATGAAATAACAAGAGAACATGACTTGAAGTCAATACGCTGCCAGATATACAGCTCGTCAAATAGAGCAGCAAACAGCTTCCAAACCAACAGGGGTGATTTTAAAATGGTCTTGTAGCATTGTATGTCTCCCTGTAAAAAGGCAATCAAGAGGTCTCAAATTTCTATTGTTTCTATTTACTTTCTTTTCTTTTTTCTTTTTTTTTAATTTTTTTTATCTTTTAGATTTTAGAGAGAAGGAGAGAGATAGAAACATCGATGAGAGAGAACATCAACTGGTCGCCCCTGCATGCCCCCCACTGGGGATCGGGCCCACAACCTGGGCATGTGCCCTGACCAGGAGTTGAACCAACAACCTCTCAGTCCATGGGTCGATGCTCAACCACTGAGCCACACCAGCTGGGCTCTTTTTTACTTTCTAAAACACACTAATTATCTTGAATCTTATTTTTTTCCAAGACCTTGATATATTAATAATAATTTACCCTCTTATCTTTTAGTGTGATATTTTTTTCCTGATTTGACAGATCAATCTTGTCAAGGAGATCAAGCTGAATTAGTAAATGATAGGATGTTTATTGATATTCCTTTGTCAATATCAGTCAGTATCACTCCAAAGATTACAGTGGTAGTTACAATACTATCAACCAACCAAACAGCACAGGAAGACTAAGATTGGTCCTATTGTATGAAATGAATCAATGACTCTGATCAAACAGTTAATTAACTTCATTTCCAAGCACATTCATAGTTGCTTTACAATCACCTTTAATAAAATGTCCTGTGAAATGTTTGAACTGTTGGATAAAACATATAACTGAGATATACTAAATAATATTAATAAAAGGTAGAACTTCAAATATGAGCAGTTTAAACAATTACATATCTTCTGTGGGGGTAGTCACTACATAAATGCTGACAAAAAAACACAATTCTTATAATAGGTAAGTTTATCTAAAAGATTACACTGGGGAAAAAAAGACTTCATTTGATGAATGGGGAAACAAGACCCTAGATAATTAAGCAATGCATTTGAAATAATAATCTCCCTAAAGTAGAAATAAGGCAAATTCATGGCATATACGACTCAGATCCCACTGGAGAGAATTGCGATTCTGGAGCAAGAGCATCACCTCTAAGGTGTCCTCAGATCTGCGGGAACTCCTGGAAGCAGCTGGATTCACGAGGAGCTGTTTCCCAACATCAGCTCAAGACTCCTAACCTCAAACACTGTTTGAGAAACAGTATGTCCTGTAGCTGTCATGCCATCGGATGCCTGTCCCTGGCTCCATCCTTACCCCAGGAGAGCCACTCTAAACTTACGCAGAGCTGTCTGTAAACTGAACAATACCTCCTGTTGGCAATTCGAAGAAAGCTCTTCAACCATTCCCACTCCGTCCCAGAGCCAGAATTCATCCTGGATGACTGTGTCCCTGTGTCCCTGTGTCCCTCTGTCTTGTGACCTTTGGAGTCCTATCAGATAGCCGTTTCTCCTAAACTTCCCAGGAGGGGCCAGGCTGAGTACTTGCTCTAGGATGGTGGACTAAGCTGAGGAATCAGGTTCTTATCCCAAGTTGTCTGCCAATTAATTGGCTGGGCCCTGCTCCAAGCTGCAGCCCCTCAACGTCCCCAAACTCCCAAATCGCTGTAGGGCTGTGTCTTACACAGTCATTTTCAAACCTCAAGCAGAATTTGCATTGCCACTCTTTTTGGAACCCAGCGTCATATGCTCCCCTGCTGGAACTGGAGTCCTAGCTGACTTCCCGCCAGTTTCCTCTTTGTCAGTGCTCCTGCTCCCCCGTGCCCCCCAGCACTGCACTCCTACCAGGCTGCTGAGGTCGAGGCGCCACTGCTTGGGTCACCTAGGACACAGTATGGCCCTCATACTTTCTTCCTTGGACTAACTGGTGCGAACAGTACAAGAAATACCAATTCTCTTTCAATAATCACTTGTTTCTGCTCTAAACTCAATTTTTAGGATCTATACAAGGAGAAGACAAAATTATTATAGATCCCATTTCCATGAAGTGCCAAACAGAGACTGTGAAGTTTTTGTTTTGGTAAAAGGCCTGGCAGAGGTCACTGACAAATCCTGCCATTTAAAGCAAGTTCCGTTTTTCTTCCAATGTTTCAGTGACAACAGAACAGCAAAAGCAAACTTTAGTCCATTTTTCTCCTCCCAGCAGGACAACCGCTCCCCAGGAAAATAATTATCATCATAAATCAACTGTAAAACACACAATCATTTTAACTGATTGGAATAAGCAGCATTCATGCTGAATGGGGGTCACACTGGACACTTGAAATGGAAGAATACAAATGAGCAGGAAGCTAAGTCAGATCCCTGTAAGCATTTTTAAAAATTCATGGGGAAGAAAGGATAAATAGGAGAATTCCCTAAGGTCAACGTTTTCGATTTCTCTGCAAATCTAAGTGGCTGTCATTTTAGATCTAAATGGAAACTAACATATTGAAGATAAGAAACAAATCAGTCAATTATAATGTCCTAAAGATAAAAGCAATCCACTTGGATTTGTAAGGTACACTATTTGGTTAGAAACATTTTAAAACTTTACACTTAAAAAAATATATGATAATTGCTTACTTTATAACAATAAAAATCTATCCCAGTCCAAAGCTCATGCTCATCTAAACTAAGGCAACCGAAAGACAGAAAATGTTAGATTATTCTTTATATAGCACTAAAGTAATCAAGGGGTCCAACCCCGGGAAGTGCCTGGGATTCACAGTTACCATAGCTATAAACACACTACAGATTCTGAATATCACTCATTTGTTTTTTATAGTTTTTAAAATATTTCTTTAGTGAATCATGAACTCAAAATTTTTCATCTTGAATGGACCTTAAAAATCATATCACAGCTACTTTATTCACTTTAGAATTGAAGAAATTCAAATTTAAGAGATGAAGTGGGCTTACAGTGAAATTCATCATTAAACACTCAATTTAAGTCCGAAAATAACATCACAGCACATGTATGGAGCCTTAGTCCCCTCTGTACTCTCTCCAGGATTCAGGATGTGTACTTCCTGACCAAAGTTAAGACAGGAAAAAGGATAACCATGAAGCTCAAATACTGAAATATCAAAGCTTATACCCCACGCAGTGTCGATTGGCTCTATCACAAAGCTTGAGGTTAAAAATATTTAAAAATAAAAATGATAGCACTTTTCAAAAATGCTTATAGCCGCCTAGCATTATCTAGGAAAATGACTATCTACGGGTCCATCCAATGCCAATCAATTCTACCCATAGCATGAGAAATAGCAAAACTATGTTAAGCTCAATGGCTGTGAACAGTGACTGTACCTCCCAGCCTTCGATGTGAGACTGCCATTCCTCCAGCACTTCTAACTTCTCCATCTGTCTCTTGGCCTCGTTGATGTTGGAACAGACAGCTTTCATGGCTTGGAGGGCTTCCATCACGGCTGCGTAGTCACTGTGTTTCCTTGGAGTCCGCTTCAGCAACTCCTGTTTATACACGAGAAACAAATCACCCTTTGATCTCCAGCTTTCTGGTACAGCAGGTTCAGGCTGACCAGGAAATGAGAACTGCAAAGATGATGAGAGCCACTTTCAGAAGTGACACTACAAACTCCACTAAGATTAAGATAAAAAAACCAAAGGTTGAATCAGTGAATAAGTGTCACCCTAATAACATGTTGCAGTCACTTCAATTTTTCCCTGAAAATTATTTTGTTTGTAAAAACTACATTAGATTTCCTTTTTTCAAATTGTCAAATATCTCACCTGCAGAATGCAATTTTTTATAACTTTGACTTTTACTCCAACAGAAGTACATCTTTATGTTAATTTCATTTCCCCAGAGTCTTTAACAGATGCATTTATATGAATACATCCCATAATCTCAAAAATAATTTGTCTGATTTTCTAATAATTTTTAAAGACACTATAAAAGCATGTCATGAAGTAAGACTTTTAAATAATGTCTTATACTCTAGCAATATAAATAATTTATAAATCCACAATACTCAGTCATTAAAAGAAGAATTTATGCTGTTTTCACCAATAACTCAGTTTCATTCTCTGCTATGAATGAACTGCCATATGTATGCCCTCAACAGCTTTATTTTTATTTTTGTTTTTGGAGAGGGTTTTTTGACATTTTAATCATGGTTTATTGCTGTTGTTTTCCATTCAGGATATCAGAACTAAAGTGATCTTTAATCTTTTAAATATATTAAAAGGTCTTGTTGGTTGTTTAGAAGCACAAAATTAAACATTTTCACCCACTGTCTAGACGGTTGTGACCACATTGCTTTTTAATTAGTCATTTGTTTCCTTACTACAGTTGCCATCAAATATAACTAACACAATTACAGAAATCCTGAGGCAAGACTTTGAAAGAATTTTCTTAATTCCTAACAAACAGTGGGAAAATATGCAGTTGCTATATTCTCTTGAGGTCTGTTATTGTGGACAAATCTGCTATAAACTTCAACTTAGCATTTGATGTGTTCACACTCTGTTCTGTAGAGCAAGCACCAAAGGAACACATGTTACATCACTCCCAAGACAAGGTTTAAAAGTTATGCTGAATCACAAATGCATAAAAAAAAATATGCAACCTTCTCCAGAAATTGTGAAGGGTAGAAATATTTGTAAATATGTGAAGGGGTCAAGTCAGTCTGCAGCATACGAGATTTGGGGCCCAATGGAGTTATGCCCAATGGGTATCTGCAGAGTCCAGACATGAATTTAGATCATGTGAAATAGTTAGAGAAATAATTGTAACAGTCTTCTCTCAGTTATGAACCCTGTGCCAATTGGCCAACCCAATAATTTCAACTTCCACAAATGAGACCCACGTACCTTTTCTTTAACACACAGCCTGTTTCTTATAATATTTTTCTCTGAGTAAATAAAGCCATCCAAATCAAAGAGAATATCAGACAATTTTTCAGCTGATAGGACTAGAAAGAAAAATATCAATACCAAAACACCTACTACACAAGTAAACATTTTTTTTCATGTTTCTTTGTGAAGATTCTCTTCCAAAAATGGGAAAAGATGTCATCTCTCCACTACCTGATGGTGCTCTGAAATAACCTTTTTTCCTAAGAAAGAAATTGTCCATGATTCTATCTTTTGAAAGGTCAGCTTCAGCACCCAAGGTCATACTTATCCAGAAGTGAGTGATCTAAAATAAACACTCGGCATCATGCGCTTCTCAGTATCACGATGCCTTCTGACTCTTAAACAAGCAAATCCCTGCACTCCACAACCAGGGCCAGGAATGACTGCAGTGATGAGCAACATGCAAATCTGAGTCACCAACTCGGAGGTCTAAAGGGACGCTCCCAGAGACAGGAGTCCATCGAACCAGTCCCCCTACCCCCTTGAGTGAGCCGAAGCTCTGCAGAGTGGGAGATCCCTGCGGCAGCTCCTCCCTGGGGCCTACCCAAGCGACTTCACTTGATTTTTTCAGTAAGGAGAGATCCTTTTCGAAGAAATTTTACACAGCAACCCAATTTATTCAACTGCCAAAAGTCGTAGTAAAAAGTGTATTTTTAGTTCAAATTTATAACATTTATTTCTCAAAAAGTAAATCAATAAGTGAATACCAGTTAATATATCTATAGCATTTCTGAGTATTTTAAAATTTGAATACCAAGTAATAATATATTAAAATCAATCAGAATCAAATATATATGAATAATAATGGCTAAATTCATACGCACACAAATACACATATACATAAATGTATATATTCTTGTAGGTATATGCTATAATTTCATCATCATCATTATCCTTTCTGACTCACAAGGGAAAACCCAAGGCTTTAAGAGACTAGATCATGTGCTGTCATACACCTGTAAGCAGAACACTCAAAATGCCCATGTTCAACTGCCACCCCAAACTACCTATCTTGATTTTCAGATATTTCTATATCTAGAAATATCCCTTTCCAGAATTTCTATTCTAATCTAGTCACAGGCCCTTGCAGTGCGAGCAGTAATTAATACTCTACAACATGTTTTTCATAATAGAAATGTTGGTCATTACAGTGTCCCTTTGACCATTAGTGAAATATTTCTTATCTTCAGAAGCAGCGTGTTTCTGACACTCATTCTGTGCTCATCACTTACTGTCCCATGTGACCCCCTCCATTCCCTATAATAATGATTTAAAACCAGGCTCTAAAATTATGTAACTTTGACCTTCACTTCATTAGCATCAGTGTTAAAGTAAATCAAAAAATACACCAAGAGAGAACTTACTTAACACAAAGAAGATAAAGTACTATATAAACTGGTCATAATGTACTTGATGGGATCTATCTTGAAACTAAAGCATTTACTCTAAATGAAACTCAAACAAATATGTTTTCTACAAAGAGTATTTTTTATTTCTTTTCTTAAAAGATTTATTTCCTTCTCCATATATAAATTAGTGACAAAATAGCCATTTCCCCCCAATGACTACAATATGCCCTTTCTTTAGAATGTCAGACTACTTAAAATTTTAAAGATCGTAAGCAAAATATGCAGGTACAAGGAAAATGCTACAATAAAGTAAATACATAAAATACCTTCAAAAGGAGGGGGTACTTGCATATTCTTTGTATTGGTGTTACTAAATATCCTTCCAGGGGGACATCTGTGTTCTTCCGTCCTGCAAGTAGCATGCAGTTCTGGGGTGGAAATAGATATAATTAATTATATTTTTAAAACCTGTAGCTGTAAAACTTTCTTCTGTCATGAAATGTTCTGCTGAAAAGTTGTGAAAGCATGTCTCTATATAGCTTCTTTCTCATAGACGATCACATTCAGTCACAAATAACATTTCCAGGAAAGAAAGAGAAATACTTTTGCCTTTCATATTAGTTACAGAAGCCAAATGTGTTTTGGATCTAATTAATTCACATGTATTATCCTGAGTATGAAGTCTGAGGAAAAAGATAAAACAGAGATAGAGATGGAAGAATGGATAAATGGATGGATGGAGGGAGGAGGGAGGAGTGGATGGATGGATGGATGGGTAAATCCTAGACAGATACATAAATGTGTCTTCTTTACAAAGGGAGGTAGCGTTGTTTGGTAGAATAAAGACAGCTAGATTCTATGTAGGCTCTGCCACTGACTAATGATGCAGCTGGATTGAGATACGGGACAGTCTGTTTTTTCCTCACAGCAACAGCAATAGCCAGAGTATCATTATTCTGGGGCCAGTTTCCTAAGCCCTGATTCCTATCCTACAACACGCAGACAGCAGGTCACACACACACGTGAACAGCAGGAGAGGAGCCTGAGTTCAGGAAATGACGTTTGTATAAGGGCAGCATGCACGTCTGACCACTGCAGAGGAGGAAGACAACGTATCACTCAGGCTGTTCACGATACAAACATTATTTAAAAGATAAGGAGAACAAAGGCAGTCAGCTCCTCTGCTCAGAAAATGTGCAGGGAGCCCTGGCTGGGTGGCTCAGTTGGTTAGAGCATCATCTCATCAAAAGATTGGGGGTTTAGTCCCATGTTGGGGCATGTACAGAACTGACAGGTCTCAGAGGGGAGGGGGTGGAAGAAGACTAGAAGAGATTAGCCAAAGAACATGTATGAAAATATGCCATGGACACAGGCAACAATGTGGTGAAGACTGGGGGAGGGGTCGGCAGGGGCTGGGTGGAGGGGAAAAATAGGGGACATCTGTAAGTGTGTCAACAGCAACAACAACAAAAAAGGAAAATGTGCAGAAACATAAGAGACCCATGGTGAATTGCCTCCCAAGACAAACTTCTAAACAAACAATAGATCAAAGAAATTACAAAGGAAACAAGACATTTTAAAATACTGAATGAAAATGAAAACACATGTCAAAATTTATGGAATGCAAGTAAAGCCATATATAAGGCAAAACTCATAGCTTTAAACACCTATATTAAAAAAGATAAAAAGGTCTTAAAGACTCTCAGCAAACTATGAATATAATGGCATTTCCTCAACCTGTTAGAGAACATCTACAAAAACACCTACAGACAACATCATACTTAATGACAAAAAGCTGAATGATTTTTCCCAAAGATGAGAAACAAGGCAGGAGTATCTGTTCTTACCACTTCTATGCAACACTGTACTGGTTCTAGCCGTGTAAAAGGCAAGAAAAAATGAAAAAGTAAGACATCCACCTTGAAGAGGAAGAAGTGAAATTTCATGATCTTACGTGTAAAATATCCTAAAGATTCTCCAAGTATTCTAGAACCAATACATAAATGTAAATCACAGGATATAAGAATCTAGAATACACCAGATACGAGAATATACAAAAGTCAGTTAAATTTCTACATACTAGCATCGAACAATCCAAAAGTGAAATTAAGACAATTCCAATCACAACAACATCAAAAAGAGTAATATATTTAGGAATAAATGGAACAAAATAAGTACAAGACCTGAATAGAGATGTCTTAAATACGACAACAAAAGCAGGGCCATAATGGAAACAATTTAATAAATTAGACTTCAACAAAATTTAAGACATTTGATTTTCAAAAAAAACCAATATTTTAAAATGAACAGACAACCACACACTGGACGGAAATATTTGCAAATTATATAACTGATATAGGAACTGCATCCAAAATAAGGTTATAGGTCAATATAAGATAAACATTGCAATTTAAATATAGAAAGAGATTTGAATAAGCATTTCACCAAAGAGAATCTATGAATGGCTAATAAGCACATGAAACCATGCTTAATATCACTGGTCATTAGAGAAATGCAAATAAAAATCACCTTGAGATACAACTACGCACCGACTAGCATGGCGGTAACGGGAACTGAGAACGCCATGTGTTGGCAAAGACAGAGAAACTGCGAGCTTCACATGCTGCTGATAGGTATGGCACAGTTACCTTGGTAGTTTCTTAATAAGTTAAACATAAACTTACTATGACCTAGCAATTCTACTCTTAGTATCTACCCCAGAGAATGAAAATATGTGTCCACACAAAGACTCGTACATAAATGCTCATAAAAGCATTATTCATGATAGCGCAAACTAAACATTTCCTGACTTATCTACACTAACAGACATCTCTCTCTGAAAGGACCTTTCACATGCAGTATCATTAAGGTCCATCAGTATCAGTCGCTTGTTGCCCCAATGTTTATAACTGGCGATGGAGAAACAAAAATGATATATCCATTCAGTGGAATATTATTCAGCAATAAATATGAGTGGAACATAGATACACACTACAACAAAGATGAAACTTAAAACCATTGCCTCAGTAAAAGAAGCCAGATTTAAAAGGTTTACATGGTGTGATTTCATTTATATAAAACCTCCAGAAAAAGGCAAATCTATAGAAACAGAAAGCAAGTCAATGGTTGCCTGGAGCTAGTGGTGGGGGTGGGGATGCACTATCTTGGGGGTAACAACAATGCTCTAAAACTGGATCATGGGGATGGTCGATCCACTCCACACTGTGCTAAGTATCACTGAAGTTCACACTTACAGTATGCTTCTCACTGGAAATTAAATCGTCCAACTAACTGCCAAAATACACATTTATTTGTCTTATGCTAAAGCAATTAAATATGCAGTTTTGCTCTTTCTACGAAAATTGAATAAGGAAAGTATATAGAAGAAAGACCAATTTTTACATTTCTTTCCTGCCATACCATGATTTGTTACTGCCCTATTCAGAGTTCTTACCAGCGGTGAAGGAAACCCTAGGGAGCGAAGGACACAAAAGCAATGATGAACTCGTATAAATGTCTGCTCTCACTAGGAACCTGTGGGTACCACAAACAATTCAGAACCCACCAGGAGAGGGCATTATCAGTGTGTCCCTGCATTGCAGCCTCTCCCAACTCTCACCCCTACATTTCTCAAAGGACTTAAGCTTCCTAGACTGGATATGTTCAAAGAGCAGCCCCATAAGCGGTTTCTACACCACCCTGAGGCTATTCCTCAGCCTATCAGATAGCAGCGTATGGTAACACAGAAATACATACTTACCAAAAGAAATGTCCGGATGGTTCTAATTTTGTTCAGTTCAAGAAGCAATTTTTGTGCCTTCTCATGGTTACTACAATATTCATCATAGATACGAAACTTGTCTTTCTGTGAATGCAAGTGAGAATAAGTTATTAGCCATATTGAAATATTAACCTGTGTGATGTTAACGAACAAACTCTGTGAAATGTTTACTTTGCTTTAAGAGCTATACTGTATGTATGTATAAATATATTTTTTTATTTCTTTTCCCTGATTCATAAAGAATAGCCTTGGAAAGAAGTTAGACATATTGGTTACAGTCCAATATATATGCTGTGTGCAAAACAGGGAAACGAACCAAGTGGTAGAAACGTACAGAGAAGAGCCCCTAGCTTTGCTGAGAGGATTCAGATACAACTTTAAAAGGGAAGTAACATCAGAACAAGGTCCAGAGCGATGGATCCACAGCTCCCAGGCAGGGCGAGGGAAGGAAGTATTTTAGGTAGAAGGAAAGTGTCCGCCAGATCATCCCGGACTCTGGACACAGCACTCTGCAGTCCACAGGCAGCGAGCTGGGCTGTGTGTTGAAGAACACTGACAAGTGGGAGACTATTCAGCAGCAAGTGACTCAGACCAGGAAGCCACTGCATATGAGAGGTCATTTCAGAAAGATATATGCTAGTATAAAAAATAAGGAAATAGTAGCTGCATTTCAATAACTGTCGGAGTGCAAAGAATTTACAAATTTATGTAACTCCCAAACACAAAACTAGGACTACCAGGTGGACTGCAAAGGAGGGATAGGCAGTGATTGGCAGATTCGAGATTAATATAAAGATTTTCTAACAATTAGGCTGTCACAGAGAGTGGTCTAGTAAAAACAAAACAAGCAACCTTCACAGATGCTAGAGATGGGACACCTTCAAAAAGCAAGAACTTCTGCCATCATTATCTCTAAGTTTTCCTCCATCTGTAAGATTTTCTCTAAGTGGCTATGATCAATGTCTATCAAAGCAGTACCAATCAAAGAGGGAGACAGAAAATATATTGATCAAATATTAGAACAGAATGTGTAGCCCTGGCTGGTGTGGCTCAGCTGGGCATCATCCCATGCACAGAAGGGTAGCTGGTTTGATCCCCAGTCAGGGCTATTGCCCAAATTGTGGGGCTCGATTCCCAGTGGGGGCTGTGCAGGAGGCTGCCGATCGATGTTTCTGTCTCACATCAATGTTTCTCTCTCCCTCTCCTTTCCTCTCTCTCTAAAAATCAATAAAAATACATATTTTTAAAAGTGAGTTCCCTAAAATTTTAAAGACACCCAGTTAGAAAGAAACATGGAGTGCTATTTTATATAGCCAGTAGGAAATATATTGAATTATTTATTTCAAGAGACCGTATAAACCAGAATACAACAATGTCAGAAACAGTTTAGCTGACTTCATGGAGGACGGATTGATAGTGTGCTACAGAGGAAACGGATGTCATGGGGGAAGGTTCCTGTGTACAGCCCGGAACTGAGACAGCGACCCCGCCCACTGGCTGAAGACTAGGATTCTCTCCTGAAAGGGAACAGGCTGGGTTAAGAGTATACAAACATGCCTGGCTTCCAGCCGTTCATCTTCCTCCACCCAAGGAGCCTCTCGCTTTAATATAATTATGGAATATTTTCTAATTACAAAGATAACATATACAGAGACTGCTCACTGCATATAGAAATACAGATTTAGAAACTACATACATATAGGGTGGGGGGTAGTAAGGGGTAAAGGGGCCCAAATACATGGTGACAGAAGATGCTTTGACTTTGGGTGGTGGGTACACAGTGTAGTGTACAGATCATGTATCAAAGAAATCTACACTTGAAACCTATATGACCCTACTTACTGATCAGTGCCACATCAATAAATTTAATAAAATAATATTTTATGAGTAAAAAGAACAAAAAAAGAAACTGCATATAGTTACCTTTATAAAAAACGAAATAGCAATTAAAAATAAACAGATTGATTTTAATGATAAAATACTCTTACCCATTTTTTAATAGAACATTAATTGTACAGCATTTTGATAAATATGGATTCAAATTAGTACTCTGAAAATTGGCACCAGTGGAATGGTATAAATGACACTTTTTTTTAGATAAATGCTGTTTAGTTCTGAAAACAATTTACACTCTACAGGTGGCTTTCCACTTTGCAAATCGATTGCATAAATTATTTCAGCTACCATGTCCAAAGAGATAAAAATAATCATACAAACATGAGGTATAATCTGAAATAGCTGAGTCCTGACTGGTCCTTCTGCACTGCTCAGTACCCCTTTCTGAGAAACCATCCTTGAGAGGAATTCAGACACAGACGTTTGTGTACCTAGAGTGACCGGGTTTGTTCACCTCCAGGTTTGTCACCAGTTGATTAATAAGGGAACATTCTGACTGATCAAAGGCTCCACATGCCATTAAAAGAGTAAGACTTTTATGCTTCAAAAGAGAAATGCTCTATGTTTGAGAGAAACATAAAATCCATTCATTATGAACAGCCTGAATATTCATTAGAATTCAAAGCTAGAGAGGATGCGAAGAACTAACTTGTTGGGAAAATGAAAAGGCTGTTTATTCTTCACTGAATAAAATGGGTGACGTGAGGCCCTCTCCCCTTTTCTGGCTCCAAATAGGAGATTTCATTGGCCTTAAAAGACCCCAAACTTTTGGTGTCAGATTTTACTTCTAATGCTGAATTCCCACATCCTACCAGGCCAAAAGCTAAACCTTAACATGTAAAGGGAAAGAGTTTTTAAAATAAACAGAAATGTATCCTACAAAGTGAAGGAAGCAGGTTCCCACTTCTTGCAGAGGATTAGGTTCAGGATGTAAGCATTCTTCCACCACTTTTAAGAATTCCTTATGTACTGCAAGGATATCTTCAATGTTTGAGAACAGAATCTGTAAATAAATAAATATGTGAGTAAGTGTAGTAGTGAAGCGAGTTTTAAAAAAATAGTCTATGCAAGTATAGTATTATTATTATTATTTTTTAATCCTCATCCGAGGACATTTTTCCATTTTCAGAGAGAGTGGAGTGGGAGGGAGAGAGAGGAAGAGAGAGAGAGAGAGAGAAACATCAACGTGAAAGGGACACATCGAGTGGCTGCCTCCTGCACAGCCCTGACCCAACCAGGGCTGGGGACAAACTGCCACCAAGGTACGTGCCCTTAGCGGGAACCGAACCACGGTCCCTCTGGACCGCAGGCCAACGCTCTAACCGCTGAGCCAAACTGGCCAGGGCAAGTATAGTATTCTTGTCCAAGCTGAAAACTTCAGTGGAAAGCTATCCATCCCACATCCATTCCTTCCTCCCACCCAGCGGGCACAGTACCAATTTTATCTGGACATCCTCTCTCCTCCCACACAGCTTTGGGAACCAGGAACCTATTCCTGGCTTTCAGGGGAAGCCTGAGTGGCTGAATCCAAGCATGGGCCCCACCCCATTAACACGATTGGGCTGCAGGTAGAACAGTGCAGGCAGATTGGATGGCAGGCTTTTTAATCCCAAGAAGGGTACCCTGGAATGGACAGCCCTTTGCCACCTCTGGAAAGGTGCTTCGTCTTTTTGCAGCTGTGGGAGGAGCCAGTCCAAGGGCAGAGCTGACAACCTGGATGGCAGAGGGAAGAGCTAGAGAGAGCCTGGCAATCTTACTAAGCTCCCTGAGTCTCGAGTCCTGAGCTCTCTCTTCTGTCCAGAGAGCCAAAGTGTCTTCAAGTCAGTTGGAGAAATACAAGTCTTTTGCAACCAAAAGCACACAAACTAAAATACTCCCATAGTTAGAGAATTTGAATGTTAGTATTTAACTTATGGGGAAATAGAGTAAGGAGAGCCAATAAAATCCTTGGAAATTTTTTTTATTTTCAGTAAAGTAAAACAAATTAGCATCAAAAATAAATATCAATAATGATTTACACAAGGTAAATGAGTAATAATAAATACCACAATTCATTTTCATTTGCCATCCTGCTTTTGTTCCCAAAGCTCTTCTAAATTATCCTCCCCTACGGTCCAAAAGGAAATGCTTAGACATTTCTTTCCGCATTGCAGATATTACGCGGACTTGCTTTTCTGCACCAGCGGACCATCCAAATCGTTTGTTCTCTGTGATTAGAGACTGGGAGCCGCCTCTGCCCACGTCCCATGGTCCTGAAGCACCTCTAGCCACCCCTCCAGTAGCTCAGCTCCTCCCTCACAGACACTAAGGTTCCTGGTCTTGGGTTTTTCTTTTTCTTTTTGAACTTTCTCAAGGCCTTGGCAAAAAACGTCTCTACTATGTACTCTACTTCTACTCCATCCTCTTAATCCCTGTTTCTTTTCCCAAACTCTGGTTTTTCTTTTTCTAACGATCACCCACACCAGGGGATGTCACAAGAACTGAGGCTGGGATGAAGAGAGAGAGAGGAGCCCTGAAGAAACACCCCCCAGCTGAGATCTCGTCCGGGGCACCTCGTGTTGGGGCCGAGGGCTGGCTGTCCCTCCTCACCTTCACTGTTTCCTCTGTGACATTTTTGTCAACTTTTGATGCTGCACACTGGTTCATTCGGTGTAAGAATGCCTGCACAGAACAAGAAGAGATGGTATAAAGGTAACATCAGGTTAATAAAATAACTGTGTTGATCAAACTTAACATTTTTTTACAGAAACCAAAGTTTAAAAAGTCCAATAATTGTTGAATATGATACGTTTATTATAAAAGGGGATTCCTTGTTCACTGTTGCTCCTACCTGGGAATTATATTTCCCTTGTAGTTTTGGGTCAGGGCCATAGAGATCCTGTATATATGAATTAAATGTATCCCCTGAAGTCTCAAAGTTTGGAGGTAAACATTTAGAGTCAGATGTTTCCTAAACTTCTAAGTCTTGTGAAGCACAAAAGACCAAAGTCTAATGAAAAAAACAAATGGAATTTCTAGTGAAAAACAAAAGGGCCATAAGTTCTGAATTAACCCTTTTAGAACTGAGAGACATTGAGGAAGGGAGGGAGAGAAAGAGAAAATGACTCTTCAAGAAGAAATGGAATGATGTCCCTTCCCCATTATCCTCTCTCCCCCAAGTTTTAGGAAGCCAGGATTTATATTTCTGAGATCAGCTCCGGGTTCTGCATATCCCTGTGGTGGAAAAGTAAATTCACTGGCATTTAAAAAATCTGGACTCTTCTTGATGGTCATTAAGCTATGACCCATGGCTAAATAAGCTATTATTTTTGCAAAGAAAAAAAAAAGTAGAATGAGTTATTTATACTGAGCCTCAAAAGAGAAAGTTTAGAAGATACTTTCCATCCAGTAAAGGTAATGTGTCCTCAAGACACTGTCCTTTAACTATCTAATGCCCAGGTGAGACCATTCTTTCTCTTGTCTGTCTTACGGACTCCACCACTACCTGCGAAGTCAGGGTATAACTGAACAGGGCACCAACTCCCCAGGGCATGCAGAAGCTCTAGGGAATATCTGGACATTGTATCAAAAAATTAAGATAAGAATCCTATTTCTAGCTCACCAGGATTGGTCATGATGTTCCAAAAGTATCACCCCCAAGACATTGCTAGTAAGAGTATAAAGTGGCACAACATTTCTGAGAACAGCTTGACAACATATCTTAAGTTTTTAGATGGGCATTCCCTTTAACTCACAAAGTTAACTCCAGAAATTAATCCTAAGAAAATATTCAGACAAGAGGTTTCACTGTCTCGTTGACAAAAGTAGAAACATTGGAAATAACATAAATGGCTGTCAAAAAGGGAATCATTTAATATATTTTCATACATTAAAATTTTAGAATACACTGCAAAAGTATAATCATAAATGGAATACTATAAAAGTGTGTGTGTGTGTGTGTATAAAACAGTTGTCTCATTACATGGTCACACATACATATATACATATGCATACAAGCATATATACTTATATATTCATGTGCAATGTCAGTATGTGTGCATCCTGAGAAAAAATATGTAGTATATACCAAAACACAAACAGTGGTTACCTCCAGGTAGTAGGAAAGTATACTTCCTAATTTTCTGAATACTTGACTGTGAGCATGTTATAACTTTTGTAAAAATAAAAACAAAACTATTTGAGCCCAGCTGGTGTGGCTCTGTGGATTGAACATCGGCCCATGGACTGAGTTCCCAGTTCGATTCCCAGTCAGGACACATGTCCAGGTTGCAGGCTCGATCCCCAGTGAGGGACGTGCAGGAGGCAGCCAATCTCTCTACATATAAAAAAAATTTTTAACTTTTTGAAAGAAACAAAAGAGCCATAAGCTCTTACTCCTAACATAAGGTTCAGCACCACTTTTATTCCTGAGTCAACCAATTCCTGTTTTGTTTTCTATACCTACAAAGCTACATCAGTACTAATAGCTTCAATAGAACAAAATAATTCAGCTGAATTCAATAAACTGAAACAGAACATATTAGATGTTACCTTAATATTTTGATTTAAAAATGGTGATACAATTTTTTGAACTATTTTCTAAATTTGCATTTAGCTGGCAATGGAAACAGCGGTTTTGAATTTCCTGACTTTAAGTGTCCATTTAATCAGTATTAGTCTGTTTAATTTTAGTTTTGTTTTTCTTGAATATTTTTCCACATACTCATACCAAAAAATGTTCTTTAGACTTTTCCATTTAGTCTTAAAATAACATGGGTGGTTTAGTTGCCTGGTTTACATTTCAATATTGACCACACAGTAAACAGGTAACCTCTCGCGCTAGCCAAGCTTAAACTTCGAGTCTAGACTTATAAACCTTGTCTTCATAAACTGAACTCAGTCACATCCTGAAACCAATAAATTAAAGTAAGGAGGTGGTAAAAATGATTCAAAATATGAGGTAGAAGGGGAAATACTAACTAATAAAGTAAACAATTTCTTTATCTGACATTTTATCTTTCTCATCCTCTGTGACAACATGGAACTTTCTGCTTAACTGTATAGGAAAGAAGACCTGGGACCTACTAGCATTTCTGACCCAGTGTTTATTTTTCCCAAGAGCCTCATTTTACACAGGCAGATTTTAGATAGTTTGTTGAAAGTGCAAACTTATAAAAACTGGTTGACATTTTTTTTTTTACAAAATGTGTAGGTCTTCCCTCTTGAAGTTACAGATACATAACATGTGTTCAGAATCATCCTTTAACAACCAGTATCTAGAGAGTTCTTTCAAACTTTGGTGATTGGGGCATTCAGTCTTTCTTATATCAATCAAGAAAGCATTAATACCCTAAGTCATAAAATCAGGGAGTTCATATGCTATTTAGCTCTGCATTCAGTCATCCTCACTGGTCTAGAATTTCATCACAATTAGATCATCTTCGTTTTGATTCAAATATATTGAAAATAAGTACTGGAAAATAGCTTTTGATGCCACTGGTGTTCAAACTTTTTTTTTTTGTGTTTTTTTTTTTTTTTTTTTTGGTGTTGTTGTTTTTTTGGTATGTGCCCCTAGCGGGAACCGAACCCAGGACTCTCTGGTCCCCAGGCCGATGCTCCAACCACTGAGCCAAACTGGCCAGGGCAGTTTTCAAACTTTTTAGTGTGTTTTAAGACTTGGAAAATTTCTTCCAAATGTAAATTCCCTGGCTTATCCCCGGGTCTGCTTCAGCAGATTAGTTCAGGACCCAGAAATCTGCATTTTGAGCAAGCTCCCTAGAATACAAATCTGCATTCTGATGCAATTGGTCTACAGACCATATTTTGATGACCATTCTTTTGGGTTAATTCTTCCAAAGTCTGAAAAAATAGACTTTGAGAAACAAATAAGTGAGTCTGCATTAAAAAATAAATAAATGGGTTCATTTATTTTACCTTGACTTGCAGCTGTCAAACTCCCTCTATGTACAACACCCTCTCATTCAGCCACTTGGGATTACTAACACCCACTGGAGGACCCAGGCTTCCAATAATGAAAATCACAATCTGGGAGTAAACAGTTCTTAATACTCTCTGAAGGCTGGGGAGACCAAGAGACAGGTAAGCAAGCTGAGAGGGACTGTCACCTTTGGAGAAATGACGCTCACAGGTGCCCTCCAGGAACCTTTCAGCTGGCAGGTGTATCACATGCACTCACTCACCAGCACCCCCTTAACCTGAGTCTGTACAATGTATTCCTAGTGTCACTCCAGACATGGCTGCCTTTTTCCTGCCCCGAGAACAGAACTTGCTCCACATATCGTTTTCCTCTTATCACGTATTTGGTAAAATATATCCAATGTTATGTATTAATTAAAGATTAAGGAAGCAAAAAGTGTCACAAATTTGCTACCAAGAAATCAAAAGAAGGAGGAAAACTCATTAAGATACAGCAGAGAGATGACAGCAGCACCCTTTCCCCTGGTCTGCCCACTGGGCCACTGATAGCTCAAAGGTAATGTCCATGATGAGCCTTACTCTCAGAATACACCTGCTGATTCCTAGGTTCAGTGTACTCAATGATGTCTCTCAACTTAGTTTTGTCCTTTCCACCCTTTTCCTTTGTCAGGTACACACAGATCTCTCAAAAGGCCCACAGATTTTAAGCCTATACGTTTAATTCTTGCCTATACTTGATGCCAATCTGAATTTTATAGGCAGTAAACCTTATTACTTCTATAAATATTCTACATTCAGAATGATCATAGCAACAACTTGTGATCTTAAAAATGTGGCGATTTCAAATGTATAGAGATAGGTAATTTTTAAATATAAAGGGGAAAATTTAAGGGAAGGCCACACAATTGCAGGAAACAGTATACTCATTTCATGAAATTAAGTGAAAAAAATAAAAGTAAATATTTTACTTTTACCTCTTGAACTTAAAACAATATTATCACATCAAAATTCTTTAGAAGATAAGGTATTCTGTTTTGTCTTCCTGAATGAAAAGCAAAGTCCTAATAAATGAACAAGACTTGTCATTTGAGTGTGTCTTAAACACCTGGTTGATGGTGGTACTATTTTATTGGAATGGAGAAGTCTGAAGAAACAGTAAGTTTGGGGTGAGAGAATTAGTGTGTGAGTGTGTTCTGCCAGTGTTGAGTTTGAGATGCCTATTGGACACCAACGTGGAAATCTCAAGTAGGGAGTTGACTGTATCAACCTGAGGTTCTGAGGAGAAAGCAGAGCTGAAGGTAGAGTTGAGGGTCCCCGGCCCAAAGACATAACACAGGGAAAGTGCACACGGAGAGAAGAGACAGCTGGCCCCAGTGCATTGGAGAGAGAATAGCAATGGAGAAGGCAGCAGGTTCCAGGACAGAACCTTGGGGCACTCCAACATTTAGATCAAGCAGAAGAAGAGAAACCAAAGAAGCCATAAGGTAGGAGAAAACCCAGGAGAATGTGGTATCACAAAAATCGCAAAAGCGAACAGCAGAGAGGGTTTTCAGAACGAGGGCGAGGTCAACTGCTTTGACAGTGCGGAGAAATCAAGTAACATATAAACAGATACATGGCTTGACAATACAGAGGCGGTCCATCACTGGTGATTTTGACCAGAACAATTCCCAATGGAATAGAAAGGAAAAAATTATATTAGGAAAAAAATGAGAACTATTAGAAAAAAAAGTCAACAATGTTTC